GCATTTGTTACTTCGGAAAATAAGAGGACCGAAGAAAATGGTCGTATGAGGATAGCACGCCGACGAGAGAAGGTGAAGCAATGGGCACGAGAAGAGGCTGACCGCGATGATCTGATCCGGCGCCATGAGCTCGCCTTCGAAAACTGGACAGCTAACATCTACTCCTCTGAATATCTCAAGCATCAGAGACTGCTCCAAGACCAACAGGATGATCTTGTGTACACCGAAGCCGCCTTCAACCGCATGCAAAGAGATACCAGTAAACCACCCGGGTTGTTTGCTGTCAACAAACCCAGGAAATGGAGATTGGATCAAACAGAAGGGCGAAATCGAATGAGTATGCGACTACACGAGGACTACACGTACACAGAAGAAGATCAGCAGCCAAAGCGGAAAGGGTCTGACATGCCACAACTGCGGCTTGATACTAGGAACACCAAAATGTCCACAGCCGAGTCGATAGGCGTCACCCCAGGCGGAGCCACACCGAGCGGGAGCACGCCAAGCGGGACAACACCAGTTGTCGATACCCCCAAGCCCGTGAGCGCTGGGACCGAGCCTTTCCCTGCACTTCAAGAAAGTAGTGATCAAACTCCTGATCAGTCAGCCGGCAACGATACCCAGAGCGAAGCTATGGAAGGCGAAGACAGTTTCGAATTGGTTGAGGATCCAAATGCTGAGATGGATGAATTCGAGGACAAGAATCGGAAGGTAATGCGCAGTCTCCATCGCGGAGATCAGGTCAAGCATGTTGCCAACATTTCGCGGATTCTCGGACTTGAAGCTGTGGAGGGTCTGCTCATTCTGGGCAAAGACTATGTTTATATCCTCGACAATTTCTTTCAACGCGCCGACGGCGAGATTGTGAATGTTTGGCAAGCACCACAAGAAGAGCGAGATCCCTACGTGCGAATGATCTCTGGGCGAGATGTCACGGAACGCAAGATCGTCTCGCGCAGTGATGAACATGGGACTCGAAGCTGGAAGTGGTCTAACATCATCAGTGTTTCCAAGCGGCGCTTCCTCTTTCGAGATGTCGCAATCGAGATCTTCTTCGGCGATGGGAGAAGTTACTTGCTGACTGTGACCTCGCCTCAGATCCGGAATGACTTGCACAGTCTTATCAGCGCCAAAGCCCCTTCACCCAATGGACCGAGCGGTCATTCGGAGACAGCCTGGCGCTATGAGACTTTGAGGAGTGTGGACGATGAACCCCAGACACTTGGGTCCAAGTTTGCCAATGTGTTTGGTCAGCAGTCGAGCTCTCTCGCAGCAACTCGGAAATGGCAAAAGGGGGAAATGTCAAATTTCCACTATCTGATGCTGATTAACACGATGGCTGGAAGGACATACAATGACTTGACACAGTACCCTGTGTTCCCATGGGTCATCGCCGACTACACCAGTGAAGAACTTGACCTGACAGATCCAAGGACATTTCGTGATCTCTCCAAACCCATGGGTTGTCAGACGATCGAACGTGAGAGAGAGTTCAGAGAACGATACCAAACTTTCGCGGAAATGGGCGACAACAATACTCCGGCTTTTCATTACGGAACGCACTATTCCTCGGCAATGATTGTGACATCTTATCTGATTCGCTTGCAACCCTTCGTCAAGTCGTATCTCCTCTTGCAGGGGGGCAAATTTGACCATCCCGATCGCATGTTTTTCTCGATAGAAGGGGCTTGGAGGTCTGCAGCTCGCATGAACATGACCGACGTCCGCGAATTGACCCCTGAATTTTACTATCTGCCAGAGTTTCTGGTCAACGTCAATGATTTCGACTTCGGAACGAGGCAAACCTCGCAGTCAATCGGAAATGTTGAGCTTCCGCCATGGGCCAAAGGCGACCCTCGCATCTTTATTGCCAAGCAGCGTGAGGCTCTTGAGAGTCCCTATGTTAGCCGCAACCTACACAAATGGATTGATCTGATCTTTGGCAGTAAGCAGAAGGGCGAAGCCGCGGTGGAGGCCGTGAACGTATTCCATTACCTATCATACCAAGGGGCGAAAGATTTGGACGCCATCAGCGACCCGATGGAACGGCTCGCAACCATTGGCATTATCCATAATTTCGGTCAGACGCCATATCAGGTCTTTACGAAACCTCATCCCGCACGGGAGCAAATCCGGCATCGTTACAAGCGGCTTGACACGGCCGCGGAATCATTGACTCGTATCCCATCAACTCTCTTGGAGACTGGGGAACGAGTGGCTTCGCTCAGATATTCCTGGAAGTCTGACCGGTTGCTCTGCTCTGGGCCATTCAGACTGAACATTCCTCCCGATTACGAGATGTACCTGGAATGGGGGTTTTCCGACAACAGCGTCCGTTTCTACTCGACCGAGAACAGGAAGCAGATCGGGCTTTTTGAGCATTTGCACATCGGACAGTTGTCTTGTGCGCTGTTTGCGGATTCGAAAACGCTGATCACTGCTGGGACAGATTGCACCGTGGCTGTATGGACAGTCATGGAAAACGGGAAGAGTGTAGAACTACATCCGCGGGCCACACTTTTCGGCCACCGCAAGCCGGTGAGCTCATTGGCCATATCCAAGTCTTTCAATGCGTTGCTGTCTGCTTCGACGGACGGACAGGTGATGCTCTGGGATCTCAATCGTAGCGAATTCATCCGCAAGTTGGATGATGAGCTGCCAGTGCAATGTGCGGCCATCAACGACGTCACGGGGAATATTATCCTCTGTCATGGGCATGAGATCAGCATGTATACGCTGAACGGCGATCTGCTGCTGCGACAGGACTCTGGAGAGCGCTCGCAGGAGAGCATTGTGTCGTGCGCATGCTACGAGGGAGCGGGCAACGAGTGGCTGGAACGAGACCTCGTCTTTACAGGCCACAAGAGGGGTCAGGTCCGTATCTGGAGCAAAGTGACCCGCGGGGGCCGCTTCGAATTGGAGCTCATTCGACAGCTCAATCATGCTGACAGCAGCCGGGATGATGGAGCAAATGTGAGTGCAGGGATCAGTTGCATCCTGCCGATGCCACAAGTTGTGTACACCGGGGATGAGGACGGGCGAGTGGTGAGTTTCTCCGCCTCGACATCCTGTCTCACAAAAGATCTCTGGCTAACTACGGATGCAGTATGAATGGAACTGTGTGCAGAGGCACTAAGGCAGAATATGCTTTGCTGGGCCGTCCTCTGTGATGGAGGGATGCAGAATACACCAATTGTGAGTTAGAAAAGGCATAGCAAGGCGCAGGTTTCAGTGGCGCGTGGGCGAGTTTTGAATACGAGCACTGAGCTATATCGACTTGAGTTGGCTGATTTACCATACTTGCGGGCACCTAGAAAAGCCTTTTTGAGGGGGAAGGAAGGGTTGGATAGATCGCGTAGACCCCAAGAGCAATGAGCCCCTAGGAGGGAGCAATGGGAGGACAGAGCAAGGAGGGAAGAGGGGGAAAAAAAAAGCAAAGGAAAAGGAAAAGGCACCAACTGTCATGGAATTCCACATGCATTGATCTCACTACAAATGTCTTTGGGATATGTTTCTCTTTGGATCTACATCCCTGTTGATGTGGCCCGTCGTTGGGTGGGGGAGTTTGCGAGCTGCATAGGAAGCCGAAGCTGGTTGCATATGCGCCAATGCAGCTAAGCTCGACGGGAGACAGCTGAGAAGCTGCAGGCAAGACCCAAGCTGTGCTCGCCCACGCGTCAAGCATGTCCGCCCTCTTCACGTTGTTCACGTCAACTGGCAGAACGGTGTAAGATGTGATGCACGGGTTCCGGAAAGTCAGGGCGGAATGCATGAGAGGCTTCTTTTGGCTGCGTCGGTGAGGCATGAGAGTGACACGAGGCCAATGATCAGGATACACGATGATTTTCTTTGGGCTCGAAGGGGGGGCGGGATGGCTGAATGGCTGGATGGCTGAATGGCTGGATGGCTGGATGGCTGGGGAGCTGGGGAGCGGAGCTTGCAGGTGTGGCACACCATCTGGACAGGCCGGTACTGGGTCCATCAGGGCGGCTGTCAATCGGTACGGAGTATTCATCAATATCCAGAGTCTCTTGTCGCTCTCCTGTCGACGACGAAGAAATTGGACAGAAATGAAAGAATGGTGTGAAGGGGCGCAGGCAGCAGCTGGGCCAACACCGGAATCGGCGATGACTGAGCCGAAAAGCCACTTTACTACATTGGGATTTCGCGTTTTTCGCTACCGTGACAACCGGGTCCGTAGGGCAAAACATGGTCAACAAGCGTGTCGGTTGTTGTCTGTGCTGTGCACTGTGCAGTCCCAAGCACCTCTGTGTGGGAACTGGGCCACTGGCCACAGAATCAGCTCCCAGCTCCCCCCCCCCAAGGGTGCCAATCTCAATCTCCACTCACTTAAAAAGGCCTCTTGTTGCTGATGGTCCCTGCTCTTTCTCTTTCCCCTTTCTTCATAAACAAACCTCACACACATTTGGCCTTTTTGCTCTACAACCTCAAGCATTGTTGCTCCTTTTGCTCAGCGTGCATTGTTGGCTTCCTCGTTGCAACTGGTCGTTCGTCTCTTCCCTCCAGAGAACCAGATTCCCCCAAAAGACAGTCTTGACTCTCGACTGCCGCAAGGGAGAAGAGAGTTGAGGCGCCTTTTAGAGCTGGCAACCTGGACTTTGACGCCCGAGTCCCCATCCCAATCAGTGTCTTCCCGTCTACGTACAGGAGTGACGCTTCTGCCGAAGAAACTACCGTCACAAAGGTAGAAGGGGAAGTTCAATTACCCAGACCCTCCTCGCGCGTCGGACGGGAAGATACTCGATTTTCTAAGGAAGAAGTCGACATCTCCGTGAGAGACAACCGTCCACGCCGCGACCAATATCAACGAGAGGACGTGCGTATCTACGAGGAGCGTGATCGAAGACACCCCGAGGTAGAGCTCACACGCGAAAAGTACGTGCCTCAATGCGTTCCGTGCCAATGCCCCCCCCCCCCCCCCCCCCCCCCCCGGGGGGCTAACATTTGTGCTGCCTATGCTTCTGACGCATGGACCCCTAATGCACCCGTGCACGTTGCTAACTTGCCGTCTCTGTCTCTCACAGGTACCGCGGACCGACTGACTACAAAGCCGCCAACGTTAACATTGAAGTCGACCGTCGAGACTCGCGATTCCCCACCAACGTCGATTTTGAAGCTGATCGCCGAGACACGCGTGCTACCAACGTTGACATCGAGATCGATCGTCGGGACACCCGGGACCACGTTGAAGTTGATTACGACCGCCGGCAGACATACGACAAGACCTTAGAGTCCCAGCTAGACATCACTGAGCGAGAGTACCGCCGCCGCGTCGATCCCACCTACGACGTTGAATACGAACGTCGCCGTCCCGTCCAAGCCGACATCACAGTCCAGAAGCAAGAGATCAAGGTCGATCAACCAGTTCGAAGAAGAGATATGGGTTACTACGACGACGACGGAAACTACCACAGCTTCCGCCGCGGTGTGGAGCGTGCTGCCGACCGCATCATGCACCCTTTCTCCCACCACCACCATCACCACGACGGTGGCCGTGAGGAGGTTGTCGTGACAGATACAAGAGAGACCAGTGGCCCAACCCGTGTCCGTGACGGCTCCGTTGAGCAAGTCCGTTTCGTCGAGCCTCGTTTCGGCGGCCGTGGTGTGCCCATCCAATGCCACTTCATCCGCATCGGCGACATTCTCCTTCTTCAGGGCCGTCCCTCGCAGGTCATCCGCATCAGCATGTCCTCTCAGACCGGCCAGTACCGCTACCTGGGTGTTGACCTCTTCACCCGCCAATTGCACGAGGAGAGCTCCTTCATCAGCAATCCCGCTCCATCCGTAGTCGTGCAGACCATGCTCGGCCCCGTCTTCAAGCAGTACCGTGTCTTGGATATCCGCGAGGACGGCCTAATTGTCTGCATGACCGAGAGCGGCGATGTCAAGCAGGGCTTGTCTGTCATTGACCAGGGCGGCCTGTTCAATCGGATTGATCGAGCCTTCGCCGACGGCAGAGGCAGCGTCCGAGTGCTGGTCATCAATGATGGTGGACGGGAGTTGATTGTGGATATGAAGATCATCCACGGTTCCAGATTGTAGAGTCAAGATTGAATGGGGGGGAGAAGACGGGGGTGGTGAGGCGAGGTGAAAGGGCGGGTGATGAGGTTTAGAAGCATGTGGGTAATATGGAGGTGGATGGGAATGGGTAAAAAGGGGTCATCTGGGCTAAGTTTACCGGATATATTCATGTGCATATGCTTTGACAAATCTCCTGTGTGTACATGGTGGCAAGACAATTATATGACTCAAGACGAGAGAAGACAATGTAGGTTGCTTCTTTCCCGCCGTTGCTGAACCAATATATATGGATAGGATAGGACCCAGGGTAGGCGCAATGGGATTGCGATTCAGTCGATAACATGCTCTTCGACATTGGTATTGTCTTGACAAGTTACTGAAGGTACATGCAGGTATGGAGCATACATGTCGTTCTCCGTCTTTTGAGGAATCAATCCCCATAAACTCGTACATTCTGCATGGTAAGCATCCTGCATCCTGCATCCTCCATCCTCGATACTCCGCCCTCGATTCAGGCGGGGGATATCAGGTCTTTTGTAAAACCATCACATACAGTACCCGCCTGCCCCCTTGAACGTCTCCCTTCTGGACCGACTCCAGGAGTTTGGCGATGGCTAGATTGGGATCAGAATCACCATCCGCCGCATCACATCACGTTACGCCATATCGCCCACACGTCTCGGGACTGCCAGCGGTCTCTGGGGTCATGATCGCACCGGCGGGGTGTGTGAAGGGGAACGAATCAGGCACTTTACCGCCGAACACGAACACGAACAACAAGCGAATGGGCTTGGAGATCTCTCCTGTCATCTGCATCTGCATCACTATGTACCTCGTACTCGGTACCACCACCACCACCACCACCACCACCATTACCTAGTACGTACCGCCCAGCTAAATCCTAGCCACCGTGATATTGTCGTCATCGACAGCATTGTATCCCGGCGGGAGCAGAAGAGTAAAAGTATACCGAATGCGACGGAGTTCTAACCTACCTACTTCCCTACATAGCTACCCAACTACCTACCTGGGTACCCGAGTACTAATTCTGCTATTCAATGTACAATGTACAACTAACATTCAGTTAGTCGAATAGTTTAGTTCGTCGAGGAAGTTAAGGCCTTTCTTAGTGAGGGGCTGCGTCCGGAGTGCAAGCGAGCGAGCGCGTGAGAGTTTTTGGGTCCGCCTGTTCTTGATGACAAAATCCCCAGGTGGACACGCATTGGAAATATTATTACTATATTAGTGGAGCGGCACCGGCGAAGGAAGGAAGGGAAGGAGAGCAGAACTTTTTTCCTTTCTCCCCCCCTCCCCGCGGATTCTTTTTATTTCGGATCCCCATGCTTGACGATTGACGGACGGACGGACGGAGGGAGGAAGCATTACAGACATACATATAAACACCATCCATAACCCCCAAGTCCCTCTCCTTTGTGTCGAAACCCCCCCGGCCCCGGCCCCTCTGTCTGAGAAGAGTGTCTACTGTCCGCATTCATAATGACCTCGGCGACCCAAGCCAAGTCTTTCAGGGAGATGGTCGGCGTTGCCCCCGCCACTGCCTCCCCAAGCGACAGCACGCTGGTCATCATCGATGCGCAGAATGAGTATGTTGACAGTGGCCCACCGCTGCCACTTGGCCCAATCTTCCCTGATTGATCCTGACCAAATGGCCCAGATACGCCCAAGGCAACCTCAAGACCGTCAATGTAGAGCAGACCCGCAAGGCCATTGCTTCGCTACTCGAGAAATACCGTGCCGCTGGAGACGGGAAAAACATTGTCCACGTCGTCCACAAGACTCCCGAAGGCGCCCCAGTATTCACCCCCAACACACCACTTGCCGAAGAGTTTGACGAGTTGAAAGCCCGTCCGGGCGAAAAGGTGATTCAGAAGGAGGCCGTTTCCAGCTTTGCCGGCACAGATCTGCATGAGTACTTGACGAGTCTGGGGGAGAGGGGCAAGAAAACGGTCCTGACGGGTTACATGGCACATGTTTGTGTGAGCACCACCGCCCGGGCGGGCAATGACTTGGGATACAACGTCCTCTTGGCCAGTGATGCCATCGGAGATCGAGATGTAAGTTGTTCCTAGGCCCCCAAACCTTGACCGGTAAGGCGGTACACGTGTCCGACAAAGTCAATATCTCGATTCTTCTTGCGCTTGCATGCAGCTCTTCCGCGCCCAACGGTCAGGCCAGCACGGTTTCTGACGTCTTTTACAGATCCCCGGGTTTGGTGGGGCTGAGGTCACCGAGGCAGTATTGAAGGAGTTGAATGACGCTTTTGGGACAGTTGTTCATAGTGCAGAGATCAAGTGATCTGAGCCTGAGTGAATACAGATTGTCATGAGGCTTGGACATGCCCCTGGATGCCATCGTCTTTGCGCCACCACATCACTGAGCCATGGAACGGGAAGTTTTTGAGAGCCAACTCAGGCATTTCTGCGTGCTCGTGGTCCTGTTTGAACTTTGTTTTTGCCTCAAAGCTTGCCTTTGCTTCCTGGCCCCCCAGAAGCGAATGGTCAAAAGATCTGTGCAGCCATATCCGTGGACCGCGAGACATGATCTGACTCTCAATCTCTTGTTCTGCAGCCGGAGAGTAGACGAACGAATTCCGATCAAGCAGTTCGAATGCTTTTGGGTGGTCAACTTTGGTGATATTGAGGCTGGCCAGGAAGAGGCTATCCAAATCATTGTAATATGGCTCTTGGGCATACGCTTGCAGAGGATGAGCCTGCATTCGTTCCATCGCTTTGACCACGGTTCTGAAGGCCGCCAGTTGAAAATATGCCGACTCGTGTCTGTCAATCCAATGAACCGCATCGCCGCAAAAGCTGCCTGTCCCGAAAACAGCACAGTTAGATACTTTACATTTCCCGGTCAAGATCTTGTCTGTCACTGTTTGTTCAAGCATCTTGCAGAGGTTCGTTTCCTGCCATCGCGCCTCAAGGCCGGCGAACTGCGCTCGCATTGTCTCAAGCGTTGATCCTTTGGCGGCCGACATTGGGAGAGAGATCGGTGGAGAGAGCTCTATGGTAGCGTCTCCCCCAGCAGTCCAATTCGAGTCCTGCTCTGACTCGCTGTCAGTCGGGGGCGTCTGGATTGTCGGTGGCGCTGAGAAGCCGGATGTGATTCTTGTCCAACCGTCATCGTCCAAAATTTCCCTCCTCTTGCTGTGGAGACTCTTTTTCTTGCGACTTGTATGAGGCATTGTGAGAGCCACGCCCGTGATCCGAGCCTCAAGGCGGAACTCTGAAGGAAGGGCCAAGTGGGCAGGAAAGCGCAAGAAGAGGATCGTTAGGTGAATGAAGGAGACGGCCGCCGAAAAATTCCTGCACGAGGCCCCTAGACTGCAGACACCGCGCGCACATATCGGAGGAACTCGATCTTGTGTCGGAGAATGATCTGCAGCTGTAGGACATGTCGAAGTACATAGGCACAGAAGTACTGGATCCTCATCCACGATTTGGGAGAAATTATCAAAGCGTGGCCGCCAAGACCCGGCCGAGTTTGTAGAGCATAGGATCTTTCAATGGCCTTTTACACTTACTCCATTCAGCTCGAACTATTCCACCATAACCTCACAACCACTGCTTGGTCCCATAGTGAGACACAAAAGAGCCACCGTTTTCTTCCGCATTGAACTCCCGCATCACCTTCAGGCAAGCCTCGGCCGATTCCTGCGGTGTCAGAGGTCCTTTCCAACCCGGAGCATTCTTTCTCAGTTCACTGATCACTGGGGGCTCTCCTTCTTCTTCCTTCCAAGTTGCCACTACGCCAGGCGACAGGGCAAAGAAAAGAATGCCTTCCTTCTTGTACTTTGCATTATATTTGAACATGGCCATATTTGCCGCGGCCTTGCTGATGGTGTAGGGGCCGTCAGCGAAAATCCCCGAATTGACAAGATCCGGGTCAGCCATTCCACTGGAGATAAGGACCACTTTCTTTGCGGAACCCTTCTTGATGAGCGGAAGGAAGACGTTTGTGACATGGATCACGCCCACCACGTTGACGTTGAAAGACTCGACCAGGCCCCGATCCAGGGTTTCCGGTGTATCTTCGAAGTCGTCCAGACCCTTGCCGGCGGTGTTTTGGTCAATCCACGCCGCGTTGTTGATCAAATAGTCGAGTGATCCACCAGTGATTTGAGCCACCTTTTCTCTGGCGTTCACCAGCGATTTATAGTCGGTGACCTCGGCCTGGATCATGGTGACGTTCGTGAGGCCATCGGCAGCAACAGACTTATCTGCAGCTGCTTTGTCCCGAACGATGCCGATGACGGTCTTTTCGGGATCCTTGGCCAGGCACTGCACAAAACCATACTGGAGAGGTGTCAGGAGAGCCCCTTGAATGTTTTGGTTTCTGACTTACTCCAAGGCCGCGATTGGCGCCTGTCACCAAGAAAGATGGCATGTCGATCTTGGAAGACTTGCAGATTCGTCGCCTGGTGCCTGGTTGCGTAAGATACGGTTTCTGGAGATATATTGTTGAGATTGCTAACAGATGATGTTGTTGACATTGATCTCCTCCGGTCGAGTCGACACAATATATAGACACTTCTCACTCTCGAAGTGTCCGTTCAGATTTCTTATTTGTAAGCAATGATGGATTTATTCCCACCTATTTGACAGCAAAGGCAGTGAAGCCGGTTGTTGCACTCGTCCGAAGGCATTCGAATTGGCTTACCTGAGCCATATTCGAAAAGACGAAGTGAAACGGACAAACCAACATGCAGTCGGCGATCAAGTAGCCTCTAAAGATAATCAGGGACCTGAATTGATGGAGCATATGGACCGTTCTGTTGATCACCAAGGTGTGGATGTCTGAAGACGAGGCTGAAGAGGGGGCCGAGAAGGGAGCATTTATTAGCCTCGTCGAATCCAGAGACCAAGAAAAGGCCGAATGCGGCAAAGCCGGACTCGGCAGCAGTTATTACTAATACGAGGATGGGGCTGGAGCGAACAGGCACTATGAGAACTCGGCGCCGTGACAAGTGCAAGGAACATTTGGCTGCACAATGGGATCGATAAGACGTGCCGCGGGCCATTTTTCAGGCCCGCCATTTGGCAGAAGTAGCTCCATCTGCACCATACGGTAGGTAACGCGTACTTACGGAGGACCTGGTCCGAAGTAAGACCTAAGAAAAGATGGCATTTTTTTCTCTGGGACTGACGGGTGGCGTGGCGTTGGCGTAATAGCGCATTTGCTGAGCGGCTTGCGAAAGTGATTGATTGCTTCTCTCCTGACTCCCGCAATCTGTGCAGCCGCCTGGAACGCGTGGTGTTGAGATGGGAACCGCCGAGTACCTCGTACCCAGTACAGTGCTCAGAGTTCAATGATCCGCCGAAGGGGAAACTCCAACGGTGGTGAGATGGTGGGTGGCGGGGCGGGGGAGGAAACAGTGCAGCTGGGCAAGTGGCAAGTAGCAAGTAGCAAGTGGCAGATGGCAGCTGGCAGGTGCGAGGTGGCAGATGAGAAGCGAGGGAGATCCTTGTCACATCTCGGCGCTTAGGAGACTGGATTTCACCAGCCAGCTCCGTGCATTGCTGTCCACCGCCGCCCACCTCCATCAGCAGCCATCCAATCGACTCCCCCAGATGCACATCGACCAGCTGGTGCTGCTTGGTGCTTGATGGTGCCCTGCCTCGAATCAGATGCGCCATCACAGCTGGCTCCAGACCTGTCAATCTAGTCAACCCGGTTGCTGTCTTTCACACTCTCCGAAAAGTGCCACTCATCTTCACAAACCACTCACAGCTCGCCCTACACTCAAGTCTCACATCCCGAAAGCCCAGCGAGCCAGTCACGGCGTCTCTACGCCTCATTTTCTGGGCGGCTGCTGGTCTGGCCTAATCATGCCCTGCATTACCCCATTGCCATTTGCCCATCCCACAGGTCACAGGGGGGGGGGGAAAGACCTAAATAACACTCCCATGCCGTTATCATGGCTCCTCGACAGTTTTCCACCTGGACAGAAGCTCGCCGCCTGCGACCGACTTGGCCTTGCCTTCCAAGATCTCCATTGACCACATAGGTCACCCACTCAGCAACATTCGAAGAACACTTGACTGTGCAATCTTCCTCCCGACACCGCTGCTTCCGCAGTCCTCAGGATATAAGCCGACTTGAAGAGACGGACGCTGGCAGGATGCCCTGCAGATCGACCTCGGGAATGGCACTAGTCCTGCTCTCGCTTCTCAGCCTCGTCTCTGCGCACACGGTCATAACATATCCTGGTTGGAGGGGAGACAATCTACGGTCGAATGGCACAACGGTAGAAACAAATGGCTTAGGACAATATGCTATCGGACAATCCGTGGCACAACAGGACTACCTTTATCCATATGGAATGCAGTGGATGTATCCTTGTATGTACTTCCTGACAAAATTTGTCCTTATCCCGAGGGGTTGCTGACATGACTCTGGCAGGCGGTGGTATGCCCACCTCGCAAAATCGTACCAAATGGCCGGTAAAAGGTGGTGCGGTCGCATTCCAACCTGGGTGGTTCCAAGGCCATGGAACAGCCTTCATCTACATCAATTTGGGTTTGGGGACAACCCCTCAAAATATGTCCAACGTCATGCTCAACGGAGTTCAAATCATCGGGCCCAGCAAAGATCCATACCCAGGATCTTTCTGTTTCCCCCAAGTGCCTCTTCCTGCCAATGTGACCGTCAATGTCGGCGATAACGCAACGATCCAGCTCATCGAGACTGCAGTCCACGGCGCCGCGCTGTACAACTGTGTCGACATCACCTTCGCTGAACCCGAAGACGTCCCCGAAGTCAATGCCAGCAACTGTTTCAACTCGAGTCAGATCACCAGTGACCTGATCTTCACCACGGCTTCTCTGTCATCTGACTCAACGGAACTATCCACCAGTCGGTATGGCTATCTGAGCACTGCACTGGCCGTGGCTTTAGGCCTCCTACTACTGTGACTTTGAGATGGTGTGGAAAAATCAATTAAGATTGAATGGATAGGCTCGGGCGGAATAGGCCAGTTGGGTTCCTGCTTCAACAGGGCAACCTAGAAGGGGACAGAACATCCATCCTTCCACCTCCCCGCAGCATCGGAGTTGGAATCGAATTTCGATGCTACCGTTCGCTCGACTCGCGAACTCGGCGTCAAAGCCGATTGTATCCGAGGCTCCTGCAGCCGATGAGTCAAGCGATGTCATTTCCTACATCTCAGCGTGCATTCCCAGCGAGCGAGAATTGCCAAGATTCTTGGATCGGGCGGTTCTGAGGGCGTCATACCGGTACATAGCAGCAGCAGGGGAGTTCGGTTTCCTGGCGGTCACGATGGATGAAACCATATCCCGCTTCGCGTCATTGAGGACGCATTGACATCTGTGAAGAAAGACGAAAGCACCTTGTGTTCCTTCGATGCACAGCTGCGTCGAAAGGACAAGGTATCACGAAATGATCGTGTCTGAGGGAACTTTGTTTGTCTAGATCAACGTGTTGCGCAAAGCAAGCTACTTGAAGGCTCTTAATACCCTGTAAAGCTATTCCTTGTCCATATCAGCTCATGATTTGACGAAGCCAATACGAATGAAACCGAGGATACATTCACATCAAGGTGCAGAATGCCACTGTCCTTTCTCCGTACCTCGACCCCATAGCCATAGGCAAGCCCACAATGCTTTTTTCCACTGAATCCTGGATATCTCCCTACACACCAGCCCGTGAACTTTTGTGGCCTTTGATTGGATTTGTTTACTAATCGTGACGTCTTTGTGGGTAATCTGCCCCCGTCGGTGCCAACGACTCCCGTCTATTAATAGCTCGATAGCGTTGTCGGTTGAAATTTGCAATATCGTCCGCTCACGCTCCAACAACAGTGCCCCATGGCATAGTGGCTTTGTCGTCCCCGTCGCTGCCAATCAGGCGTTGCGGAAATACCCATCAAACTCTCTCAAATCATCCATGATATCGTCGGTGATCTTGTTGTCTCTGGCATTATGCTCTGTTGATATCAGCTCTTTGGGTTCAAGAGCCATCGGTTTATTGCGCCTCTCCACGAAGTTGCTCGGCCCTCGCTTGTCTGACTTTTCTGCCCCAGTTTGAACGTTTGAGACTCGATCCGGTTCTTTGTCAGTGCGACTGCTATCGTTTGCAAATTGACCACGGAGTGCCTCGGTGCGCAATGAGCCTCTGCTGTGGGACGATCCAAGTTGGTATTTGTGCAAATATCTTGTTCTGCCATTGCTCATGGCTACAACAGCTTCTTTCTTAACTGGTGATACCTGAGTGAAGCTTCTCTGAGTCTCGCACTGGGCTTTTGAAGACGCAATCGCTGGTTGATTTGGAAGAAAATGTCGGGTGTTCACCTCGGGAGGTCCGCTATGGTGCCGGCCAGAGGGAGATTGCGCTGTCAGCGAATTTACACGTTCATCATCAGCAACAAAAACTCCTTTAGCAAAGTCTTTCCAGCCTTTCCGGAGTTCACCCTGCTTTTGTGGAGATAAAGGATGAGTCTTCATAGTCTTCTGTGATGCCGTTTTCCAACTCGCCGCTCCCGGATCGCCTTGATTCGGCGGTCCCGGCCGCGTCGAGGGTGATACATCAACATAAGGGCCCCATGCTGAGATACGGGGTAGGCCAATATCGTTTCTATGATCGAGAGGAACGCCCTGTTGAGGTAAGCAAGATGCGCTGCCATCATAGGTAAGCTTCTGACCATTGAGCTGTGATCTCCCCATATCTTCTACAAACCCAACACACCCATCTCCCCTCCCTCCAGCTTGATCGGACTTCGCAAACACCTCACAATCGCAATAGCATATCTGAGAACATTTGCCGCTACAACGATGGCCACACAGCAGCGTCTTATAACAGTCCTGTGCGCAGTGCACGTTGTCGTGAGAGTATTGGTGACAGGGATGAGGGCAGGGGTGACCGCAGCGTAAGTTCGTGTCGCAAGGCTGCATGCACCCCCCTTCGTTATTCTCCCAGTCTGCCGGATATTTCATCAAGGTCGTTCTGCGATGGCGTTTGCACTGAATGGGGAGAACATCACCTCGGCGCCTAGGACTTTCTTCGAGCAGTGTGAGAACAGCGTGCCACAAGCCACTTCCATTCATGAGAGTCCTGGCGTTTCCGAAGAGGTAAAAGCCGTATTTCGCACGTGAAAGAGCTACACAGGTTCTGTTGACGTTGGACAAGAAGCCAATTTTGCCTTCCTCGTTATTCCGGGCCAGTGACAAGATGACGATGTCATTCTCTTCTCCCTGGTCTATGGCAAGGTCAGTATCAAAGTCGCCAATAAAATCAATACCTTTCAAAGTTGAAGAGGATCCTAGCGAAAGGCCACAAGCGGCCGCACCTAGCGTTTCCCCATTAAACAGAACCAAATTCGGGGCTGACAAGCAGGAGCAGAGCTTTACGAGACTGTCACTTACACGAATCGACCGTCTTCACATTGAGCTGGCCAGGCGCCCTAAACTCAGGGAAGGCCTTTAACTCAGTAAGAATGCGCTTGCGTTGTCCGTTGTAATAGGTCAGTACGGTGATCATAGCAGGGTCGACACCATTCCTATACAGGTAGCGGTAGAAGCCGGCAATGAATTTGGCTTCTTCCGAGTTATACGTCGAGAGGGACTCATCTTTCGCCTCCCACCATTCGTGGTCAAAGAAAAAGGATGCGAGCGTGCCCATACCCCAAGGCTCGACCGGGCGGTCAGCTACACTAGGATGGTCCTTCAAATCCGGGTAGAGGACGGAGATGAATCGGCGAAATTCGGGCATCATTCGACGCTGGTGGAGTAGGATTTTGAATGGCATATTGTTCCGGACAAGTCTCTCGAATAGAGACACGTTCAGATAGAAAGGATTGTCCTCTAGTTCTTTAACGCTGCAGTGACCCTGAAGCTGTTGATGATCTCCCACAAGGATGAGATGCTCGAGGCTCTCCACGCATGCGACTGTGACAGGGGCCTCCAACACCTCGGCCGCCTCTTCGATGAGGATAATCTTAGGTTTAAGAGCTGCCACCAGAGGTCTGTATTTGCTCAAACCAGTCGTGGTCATGCCAATAACCGAGGCTTGTTGGAGATAGACGATATCTTGTTCCCATTTGCCGGTAAGATGGTCTTTAACGAGTTTGTTGTACACCACTGCTGCGTCGCGGAACTTGGCGGCAATTGCGTCCTTCGCTCGCGACTGAATGATATGGTAAACAGGGCCTCGGAAGTAGTTGGGGATTTTCCACAAGTCCGAAACAGTGTCCAGCAATTTTGTGGCTCTAGCAAGGTCTGCGGCTAACGGTATTTGGACAGTGAATCTGTCGTGAAGTTCTTTCCACGGGCCTTTGAGCAACTCGATGTCCTCCTCATCATTGACTCCCGTGGAGTCTTCGTTTTCTCTGAGCTGCTCAAATTCGAGATCGTTATCCTCAGCTTCCTCGAAACCGTAATTCTCCTCTGTGTACTTGACTTCAAACGGAATGAGTGCTTTGTCCAGCCACAAATGTATGGGGCCTTCTGTTGTGGGGGTTGCTGAGACCCATTCCGAGGCACCGTCTTCGAGTGATTGAGCTTGTTGCGTGTTGATTACTCCCAGTTTCTCGAGCACCTTGGGGCCAGAAACCTGACCCGTGGACCATGGATCTGGCCCCGACATAACAAAAGGTTCCAACATCGCAATCATGGCGTTTGTTTGTTTAACCAGGAGACTGTGGGTTTTGCCGAGCAGGCCACCTGGAATGGGTCTGAGTCTCTCCATCTTCCGAATCGCATACAAAGCCCGCTTCTGGACTTCCGGATTGGTGGAACGTCCTCCCAATCGAATGTAATTAGGCTCAAAGACAGAGACATGTTCCAAAAGCTGATCGAGAGCGTGATTCGTCTGAGCAGCAATGATTATCGGTGGATCTGAAGCCGTCTTTCGATTGGCATGCAAAACCTCAAGTGCGACCATGGAGACATAGGTCTTTCCCGTACCAGGGGGCCCTTGGACAATAGCTAGTCGCCTGGTGAGGATCTCTTTCAAAGCCTCCCATTGCGTGTCGTCTAGCGAATTGGTGGGTGCCGGTGGCCAATGTTTGGTGACGTCGACTTTGGAGTACTCTTGCTTCTGCGCCGGGATTGCAGCCGCGCTCAGGTCGAGAGTGGAATTCCCATGTACGTATGCAGGAGGTTGGACAGAAGGGGAAAGATGGCAGATATGATCAGACATGGGGAATCTAAGATGTATTAGCGCAGCAAGCCATATCTTGCATCTAATACACGTACGTCTCCTGGCTTAGCTTCTGCAATGCCTTCAATGTGTGACGGTAAGCTTCGAAGTATCCTTGCTTTGCTTCGATCATGAGCCACTCTTTCTGTGGGTCGAGTTGAATATCTTCAGGCTGACCGAAGTAGATGTCGATCTCCGGGGGCTCACACATCACCCCTGCCAACGGCCTTGCTGCGACGACGGCCACAACCATGTCATTCAAATCTACGACTTTGGTTTTTGCGGGTAGTAGAGCGATAATACTGCCACTGACGAGTCTTTTGCTGTTGGCCCACTTAATACGTCTTCCTGCCCGATGCGTTGAAAATTTGATCCTGGCAGCAACACCTCGTCGCGTGAAAGTAAACCCAACAATGTGGACTTGGTCGTATACTGAGAACTTCACAGTGTCACCAGTCGTGGGATCCTGGCAGTAGTCTTGGAGAGCATCGCGCAGGGAACCGAGAGCATCCTCCCGAAGTAGTGCATAGTGAGTTTTGAGATATCTGTCCTTGCTCTTGTATGGGCTGTCAATCTTGTTCGGAAGAAGACTAGCTTCTCCGACTGCCAGTTCTTGTTTTGTCGGGATCTCAGGCTGGGAAAGCCAGGCATCTTTGTCTGAAGTGGACTGGATCCGTTCTTGTTTTGCGTTGTAGTCGCGAATGTCTAAAGTGAGAGTGGGACTTGGGCCATCGTCAAAAGAATTTTCCGGAGCATTGCGAGTGTTCGGATGGCGGCGACCGCTTTTGAAGCGCTCTGACAGGCCTGCATTCATTTCTGATGAGTCGTCAGCACGTTTCCGTTCAGTGAAGGAGGGCTGACGGAGATTTTCATCCTTGAAAGTAGAGACAAGGCTTTCCTGGTGCTGGAGGGTAAGTGTGGGCTTGAACTCACGTCCATCGTCAAGTAAGGTAAAAGAATTGTGGGTCTCTGTTTCATCAGGGTGTCAGTCATTAGTCGGGTTGAGAGAAGGGGGATAGAGGTGTAAATAACACGCCTCGTTATTGCAGGCTGGCCATACCAACAGCACCCCTACCGCGGGGATGATTCCCTCGCCCACGTCCACGATGGTTTGACTCTCGTCCAAACACCATTATGTTGAAGCCCCAGATGTGTCTGAGGGAACGCTAGGCAGTTGATGTGACCGGTATCTCTTAGCCGCCCCAATACACAAGATTGCAATGAACTGAAGTTGTTATATTCAAATCAGGGCGAGGAGGGGGCCGCATGGATGTGAACAGCTGACAGGCGTGAAGACAAAGATCCGGGAGGCTGTCGTGCAATAAGGAAGACTTGCGTCAAGAGACGAGCATGTGGTTCTGGAGAGCGGTTCCAAGTCGAGAGGCAATCTAAAAGATTTTTAGGATCTGGAGGTTCCATAGCATGCGCCACTTGAAGAAGAAGAGGAGTTTCTATGCTAGTGGTAGCAGGAGGACACCAACCCAGACGTCAAGCCAGCCAGATATAGCTCAATAATGGTCCCGCAGGGGAGTGAAGTGTTTCGAGCTGTAGTCTAGCTTCTGTCCACGGCACCGTGGGGTATCGACTGAGAGAGTTTCTTTCGGAATGACAACAAGACTTCGAGTTGGAATAAAATCTGTCCACGTTCCACGTATTGAGGAGGATGTGCAAGAATGTGATAGCCAGCACCGAGTAGATAGTCGTGTGATACTGACTGGACGAGAAAAGGGGATCTTGGTGTCGGCGGTATACCTGCTAAGGTACTCAGCCTTGTCGTCTGAATACGAACCAAAATATCGGTAGAAAACAAGAGAACACGTATCTTTGAACGACAAGAAGTCAATTGACGGACGACCAGCACAGTTGTCGTCTCAATCTGATCGACAACTGTTTGCTCGAACGAATTACGGAACGGAGAAATATGTACCCTAGATCAACGCTAAGCCTCAGACGGAATAGTACCATCTGCTGCTTTGAGGATCCGACACTGTCTGGGAATTCCACCTCAGATGAACAATCTTGAGATCACTGACGCTCGATTGATGCGCTTTCACGATCATTCATTTGATCCGATATCTGGCTGTGTCTGGAAAATCTACACTGCCGCCTACAGGCCATGAGCCAGCAGAATGCCTGCATTTGACGAGGATGACGACCGATCTCAGGACGGGAGTTTCGACAACGATGGTGATGAAACCATGCAAGATCTGGATGATGCAGATGCAGATGCAGATGCTGACGGCGATGCTGATGGCGATGTGGATCATGATGTGGACGGCGATGGCGACGGCGACGGGGATCTTGATGCCGACGGCGATGCTGAGGCTGAGGCTGAGGGCGATGGCGAGGAGGAAGAAGATGCTGAAAGTCAATCTGAGCAATCCGACAATGAGGATGCTTCCGGTGAACCGAACGCAACACAAGAAGGCACTCAACCGGCTGTGTCTACACAAGTTGACTCTTCCCGAGGAGCTGCAACGGGCTCAAACATCTCCCCCGAATATCTTGAAGCACACACCTATGATATCGTCCCAACCATCGCTGCCCCCCACAGCACATCAATCAATGCCGTCACCACTACTGCAGACATGCGATGGGTCTTTACTGGGGGCTCGGATGGTTATATTCGCAAGTTTAATTGGGTTGATTCAGTCAACTTTAAGCTTGCCCTTACGGTGGCCCAACGGCACCCCTTCGTCGACAGTGTCGTGAAAGCTGGGGTTCTGATGACTTACTGGGAGAATTGGGATGCTCGCCCCAGTACTACTCGAACCTTATCCCCCGTTTACTCCCTTGCCTGTCAGAGTCAAGCGTTATGGCTGCTGTCTGGTACCGCTTCAGGTCCCATCAGACTACAATCAATCAGACACGACGAAGGCAGGGAGGTCGCGTTGTTGCAGAAACACACATCCGCGGTCTCAGTGCTGACTATCTCCTCTGACGAGAGAAGCTTGTTATCCGGAAGCTGGGACAAGACAGTCTTAGATTGGGACTTGAATACCGGCCAAGTACGCACTACATTCGCCGCCAGGGCTGGCCAGATATCTTCCATCGAAGCTCGCCCGCTGTCATCTGTGCCTGTGCCGGCCGAATCAGGAGAAGTCGTTGTAACCAATGGTACCTTCTCATCCAACGATGGTAAGCCCCTTACAAATGGGGTCAAAAACGAGGCTCCAAGTCGGAATGCTCAAGAACATCCTACGGTTGCTACCCCTGATTCTCTATTTGGAGACGATGACGACGACCTCTTCGGAGGCGGAGCTGGAGGGGTCTTGGGAAATGGTGGTGATCTCAACGACGCCTTTGGAGAAGAGGACGATGAAATGGCACGCGCAATGGCAAACGGTCCACAGCCAGAAGAACTAGTGGATCATCCCATGCTGGATTCTGCAAATCCGACCCATGAAGCCGTATCTCCGGCTCAAGACCATCCAGATGCCCCAGACCCCGCTGGCGAAGTCGCCAACGGCGTTCCAAACACTGTTGAACAGCCTCTCATGAACGGCTTGCCGCATGCAGATGACCTCGAAAAGCAAGAAGACGGCCAGAACGACACCCAGGGCAGCGAAGCGCCGCCTACATCTGACTCGACCTTCCTTGCGACATCTATCGATGGGGCAATACGTGTCTGGGATCGGAGACAGTCTAAGCCAGTCGCGCGTATCCTACCACGGAACACTCCTCCTTGGTGTCTGAGCGCATGTTGGTCTCCTGATGGCAACTTCATCTACGCAGGCCGGCGAAACAACACCGTGGAAGAGTATGACTTACGAAAAGGACTTAAGGGGCCTGAACGAGTCTTTCGATTTCCAAATGGAAGCGGCGCAGTCACGTCAGTAAAGGCCATGCCTAACGGGCGCCATCTAATATGCGCTTCATATGATATACTGCGACTATATGATCTGAAAGAGTCACAGTCTCAACGCTCGACAGTCCCGTTCCTGATTGTACCTGGTCATCGGACTGGAGTTGTGTCACACCTTTACCTGGATCCGGCTTGTCGGTTCATGCTATCTGCTGGAGGTAACCGGGGGTGGGAAGGCTCTTCCACCGAGGTCCTCCTGGGATATGAGATAACGCCAGGCCGATGAAGATTGGCGGACAATATTTCAATTTGCCAGCTGTTCAAACCAGGTCTCGAGGCCGGTTTTCATTCCTTTGTAAGTCCTAAAGAACGGCATAACAGACCTGGTCAGTCATTGAAAGGAACTGCCTCGACAAAAGGACTGCCTGCACAGTGGTCTATTCGAGACAAAGCCGACCTAGAGCATGCACAGCTGGAGTATTTGTGCTGGGTGGTGTGCTCTAGTGTCGTTAGCAGAGGGCACTGAGCACGATGTTGCGGGCGCGCCCTGGGTCTTGAGCGTTTGAAACTGTGACTTCTTTTCTGCCGGGCCTCGAAATACCATCACCATCGGCTTCTTGTGATTTTCACCGATTTTCACCGCTAAACTAGACCAAACAAGTCCATCCATTACCGCCAAAAAAAAACCTCTTCCCTCCGCTACAATGCCTTCTACACAAGGCTTCGAGATCGCCGTCGAAGGGGCCGATGGAGTGCCCTTCGCCACGTATGGCACGAAATCGTTGAGTGGAGGGATTATTTCAATGAAAATCCAAGCCAAAAACGGTGTCACATTCCGGATTCGAGTCAAGCCACAATTCCCATTTCCTGAACCAAACGACGTCCCCCAGAGCCAAAGCAGGTACAAACTGAGACCTTCCACGCAACATGCTGCAGGGTCAGATACAAGAGATGCCATGGACTGCGAGTCATCAAAAACAATTGGGAAAACAAACGATCCGGTCTGTTATATCGCTTATGTGTTTATCGATGGTAACAAGACAGCTGAATGCACGGGTATTATTGTCGTGGACCCCAAGTGCAGCGCATATAGCGCAAAAGGCTGTGTGCTTGACGGTCGGTGCTCTCTACTGGATGATTCGGAGATTCAGAACCACTCGGAGCATGACTTGGCGCCCAACATGTCCGTCTGTCCATGGGTATTTACAGAGAGGGGGATTGATGTTCTGCTGAGTCGAATGGACATTTCAAAGGCAGATCCTGACATTCCGTCAACGAAAATGGAGCAGGAAGTGGCCGACCTTACCCAAGCAATGGCCGACGACAACTTAACGCCCGCAAAAGGGAAGCGAGGAGAAATCGAGGTTAGGATCGTCAGAGCTGTGCATGTTGCTCGGATGAGCCCGGATTCATACTGGAAGCGAAAGGAAGAAGGGGGTCCTAGAAGTGACGACGATAAAACGCACGATGTTACGCTTGCCCGGGATAAAGAGGAACATGTCCGCATGATCGGCATCAAATACCGCCGGTATCGCCGCGACGAGGCATTTCTATGCAAAGTTATCTTCCAATATATGGACATTGCCAAACTCGTGACCCTTGGATTATGCACAACAGATGGCAAACCGATTGAGCATCGTCCAGGGAGGACTAACGGTGGTCCTTTGGCGATGCTATCCAGCAGTCTTGATTCACAGCTCAGTCCTTTGAAGCGTGTGAGGTATCTAGAGCCAGAGCAGGGCAGGAGCGGCGAGTCTGAATTAGACAAGTCTCAGTCAAGTGAGGAAGAAAACTCGGCTGCAGACACAATGAGCGACTCGGACGTGCCGCTGCTAAAGCGTCGTGGGGCAATCAGAAGACGCAAGGCTATGACATTGAGCGAAGAGAAGGTACTTGGACGAAAAGATCCAGCAACTGTCGATTCACCAGCCCACAGCTTCAGCGAGGTATCTAAGTTTGAAGGTAAAGCCGAGGGCTCGGACTGGCTGCAACTCCACCCTACGCCGAAGGAAGGATCAGAAGCAGAGGGTGGCAATGGACAGCTGCAACTTGGAAGAGCAAGTATTGAAGAGGAGGAGGTCGGAGGACGAGACGTGGAACAGACGAGTATGGACTAAGGCGGATTCATTCAACGGAGAACATATTGGACTGATGGCATTCGTTTGGCAACAATACATTGTTAATATGCCTATTACTTCCTCAAAAGGGCATTCAAGGTTCAAAGACTTGGTCTGTACCGGACTACCGGGTTATGTACTGGGTACCCAGTACTTGCACCTGGCACGGAGAAAAGTACTGGGTACTCGGTACTGGCTACGGAATATGGGGTCAAACAAGGCTGCCATCTTGATTGGAGCAGGAACTGCGCTTGTTGCTAGTGAGGCTGATGGCGGGCGGTTCACCAGGTTGACAAGGCAACCGGTGCCATGCCGTCTCGCCGTGTCCACAGACGGTAATAGTCCGCTGTCACTTCAACAAGGTGACGACGATGTACCTCGTAGCAGAATGGAAATGTGTTGGAATCGCAATGGCCAGCTTCACCGTCTTCATTCCTATGTCTCTCTTCTGCGCTGGTGTCGCAGCTGTACCCTTTGGATGCACTGAACCCCGGCTCCTGACTGCTTTCGAATGGTTCGCACTCCGGCTGACACTATTACGGTCTGTCTCAGCTCGCCTATTCTGTTTGGCTGCGCCCTTGGCCCCCCTCCACCTACTGGTGCTACCAGAAATACCACCACTACTGCAGAGAAACACGAACGAAGGGAGACTGCTGCGCCTGTCCTCAAGGCTCAGCCTGACTTCAACAACTCGGTGCATTGCGTCGCTGCTTCAAAGCTCCATCTGTGTCCGATTCAGAACCGCTTCTCCACCAGATATACCCCTCCATCGTTCATGTTCGGTGGTCAATCAGGCGCTGAATTGGTTCCTATACACCGGACGGACGACAGCTTCCGCTTTCACTCATACACGGAGGCCCTCTTTTGCTTGGGTCTCGGGAAGCCGCTGTAATCATCGAGAATGTCGAGCGGCGGAAGGAACTTCTCCTTCGAGCCCCAAGATGACAACACTCTGAACCCGCACGGACGGCTCCCTCAGCACCCTCAGACCCAGGCACAGGAACAACCGCGGATGTCTTACCAACCCTACCAGCAACAGCCATATCATGAGACTCCACCCAGAGATTTTGTCTCTCCTCCTCCCAGATACGCCTCTACCTCCCCTGGCCGCGACCAACAACTTTCTCCTCCCACATCGCCTCGTCGACGTCCCGTCCCTCCAGACACCCATCTCCTCGGCGACATCTCGCCTCCCAGAGCGCTTTCAAGACGGCCAGCGCCTACTGACTTCGACGACCTAGGCCCTCCCCCGCCCCCTCCCCCACCGCACAGATCGAGTCCAAACCGACTCTCTAGAGACGATTCTCCCCAGCCGTATCGGCCCAACTTGGGCGTGACGGCAGGAATGGACAATTTGGGCACTAGGGTAGCAGGAGGGGGACTCAACTCGACCGCACAAGGTGTCGCCGATCACCATCCTTACGAAAGTGGGATTGAGGTTGCTCACTCGTTTCCTCAATCCTATTCTCCATACCAACAACCAGGGCCCTCACGGCTGCCCGAGCGAAACTCATACGGCTCGACATTCGCTCTTGCTCATGGCGCTGCCACCCCTGGCACCATCACTCCTTCTCCCTCTCCGGGGCCCAGATCATCTGGCTACTCCGGCAGAAGTATTCCCTTAGAAGACTATCATCCCAGCTCCAACCAACCACTGTACTACCCCAGCTACCACGATCTTCCCTACCAGTCAAGTAATCCCGGCAGCTTCATGAATCAAGCCAGTATCAACCCCAACAATATCCTTGACGATGGTGACGACGGTGTGCCACCGGCTGGCCAGCAAAGAGGCATTGGAAAGGCTACCACTGCCACTGCAGCGGCTGCAGGTACTGCTGGCTTACTAGGAGGGCTCTTCGGCCGCAAATCAAAGAACCACACTCCTAGCGGGACATACGATGCAGTGGGTACTGCTCCTAAACCAGAGAAGAGTGAATGGTTAGCAGAACAGACTCGAGGGAAAAGAAAAATGAAGTTGTGGGTGGGCGTCGGCATTGGCCTTGTTATTGTCATCGCCATTGTCGCCGGTATCCTCGGTGGTGTCCTAAGTTCAAAAAGCTCACACAGCTCCGGCTCGGGCTCGTCCAGCGGTGACACTAACAATGCAGCCTCAGACACCGAGGCGAACGGAGATCTTGACAAGAATTCGGCAGAGATTAAGGCTCTCATGAACAACCCAAACCTCCACAAGGTCTTCCCAGGCATGGATTACACTCCCTGGGGCACACAATATCCGCTGTGCTTCACTTACCCTCCGTCGCAGAACAACGTCACGCGCGACATGGCCGTCTTGTCACAGCTCACCAATGTCGTTCGACTCTATGGCACTGACTGCAATCAAACCGAGATGGTGCTCCATGCCATTGACCGTCTTGAACTCACCGACATGAAGCTCTGGATGGGTGTCTGGATCGACACCAACCAAACAACCACAAATCGCCAGTTGGATCAGATGTACCAGATCCTGGCGGAAACAAAGGACCATTCGGTATTCAAGGGTGTCATTGTTGGCAATGAGGCCCTCTACCGTGCAGGCGAGGACAAAGCACAGTCAGAGCAGGAACTGATCACCATTCTGGACGGTGTTAGGACCAAGTTCAAGTCTCTCGGCTATGATCTCCCCATCGCAACGTCCGATCTCGGGGACAACTGGAATGCCCAACTTGTCCAAGCCGTGGATTACGTCATGTCAAATATACACCCCTTTTTCGCCGGTGTTACAGCAGAAGTCGCCGCTAGTTGGACGTGGACCTTTTGGCAAACCCACGACGCGGTCTTGACTGAAGGAATGTCAAACGTCATGCAATTGATCAGTGAGACCGGTTGGCCCAGCGGAGGTGGCGAGGACTGTGGTGGCACTGACGGATCTTGCGCGGCCGGGCAGAGTGGATCCGTTGCCGGCGTTGATGGCATGAATACCTTTATGGACAATTGGGTATGTCAAGCATTGGCAAATGGTACCGAGTATTTTTGGTAAGTCTCATCCCCCAAAGTGTTGGTGCTTGGAGCATACTGACATTGGAACGATAGGTTTGAGGCATTCGACGAGCCCTGGAAAGTCGTTTATAATACCGCCACCCAACAGTGGGAAGACAAATGGGGTCTCATGGACCCAGGCAGGAATTTGAAGCCTGGCCTGAAGATCCCTGACTGTGACGGGAAGACTGTTGGGTCATGAACCAAAGAGGGAATGGGCGCGTGTATGGATCTTGGGAATCAAGATTGGCTGACCCGAGCTGCAAGCAGACTTGTTTCCTGAGCTAAGTTGGACATAGTTTATTGCATGATATCCGTCTTGCAGCGATTTTGGCATTGGATGGAGAGGATGCCCCCCCTGTCTGTGGTCTGAAGCGGCATTGTTATGCGCAAGCCTACTTGGAAATCATGCTGGTATTGGGGTACCCCCCTGCCACGGACAAGTTTTTAAGGACAATATTAAATATGCGGACAGTATACGAGGTTGAAGAAAGTCACGACTTTGGATGCAAGAAAAAGTCCTGGGCAAAGGACGGTTTGTATATTACTGGCAGTATTCATGGAAAGTACAGGAACAGTGGGATAGTGCTGGATATGAAAATAGGGTGCCGTTTTCAAAGTACCGGAATAGTGACATAGTATGTACTGTATATGAAGATAGGGCGCCGCTAAGAGATAGTGTAGAATGTTCTATTACATGCCAATCAATGGTAGATGTGATTCCACATCGCGTTGTGCAAGTCCTGCCACAAAGGGATGTGCCAGACCGACTGGTTGAGACGTCACGAGGCCATACATACCTGGAGACTATGATCGCAAATGCGAATGCAAATGGAGGCCAAGGGGGAAAACGGAAAGGGAGAGGAAAAGGGTTTATGATACTCTGTACGGGATACATATATCCTGCTTGCTGGCTATGAGACAAAGAAAGGCAAAAGTCAAGCTAAACAACTTCCGAAACGAGCTCGATCCGGAACACAAAAAGCAGTAATATCATTCATTCTCTCGCAATTCTGATCCTGATCCTCCCCTTCCCAACATACAGTACTATTCAAAATTTTTTTCCCATCAAAAAAGATCCGTGATTAACGGAATTTCCTCCTCCTGTTTGTTTGGACTGCTCCGTCCTTTCCTTTCCCTTTCCCTTTCCCTTTCCCTTGCCTTGCCGTTGCATTGCATCGCTTTGCCCGTTCCATCCCATTCAGTTTGATGAGCCCCCACAGTACATCCCCTCCGCTGTTCACTCCCCCCGGTTCCAGATTCCAGATTCCAGATTCCAGATTCCCATTTCCATCCCAATTCCTGTTGCCATTCTTATTCCCAAGTTTCCATCCATCGCGGCCATGCCAGACCAAGATGCTCAAAAATCAACAAATCCGCCCGGATGAATATAAACTATTCAAAACAACAGGGAAGAAGGAAAAAAAGTATCATGAATGCATCCAAGCAACTAAGGTTGCTCTCACCTCCTAAATCCCATTCCCAGCCTCTGCTGGCTGTGTGAATTGAAAAAAAAAAAAAAGGTCTTTCTGTTTGATGGCCAGTCGTAGTCGGCATCGTACTCTGCCTGTCGCTGCGCGGCCAAAAGGAGGGCGAAAATGGAGTGACAAACTGTGAAAAGGCTGTCTCTGCGAATCTCTTCCCCCTCCCGTTTTGCAGTTCCAGTCCCAGACCATCTCAGCTGTCATGTCGCAAATCCTTCCCCGAATGCAGCGATATGATGAAACTGGAAGGGGCGCAGCGGCAGACGGTACACTTGATGTCGAAGCTCTCGTCTGATCGAAGAGAACCTTTGCAATGAAAGAAACACGGAAATCAACCTCCACTGGTGACCCATGATAGACGCGCAAGGATATAGGAAATCGCAATAAGGGTATCCACAACATGCTCCTTTTCCTTTTCCAAACCACGGGTTCTCGTATGCTGGGGTCCTAGGACCCAATAGGCACGGAAAATGAGAAATATCCCACTCTTCCTCCCCTGGTACAGATCTCCACAGTAACGTGCAAAAGACCTAAATCTTGCTGTACTCTTTCCCAAACAAAAAAGATCGTAAGTCGAATACCGACACATGGCCCACCAAAGAAGAAAAGACGACTATTTCATATAGATTTTGAACGCATTGGGTATAAAGCTCAAGGATCTGACTTTTGTGTCTCGTCCGGCAGCGTGGTCATACAGCGCATCGCTCGGGTAAGTCGGAATAATGTACAAGTTCGAAACTGTACTCGGAGGTATCGATCGATGGCGCAAAACAGTAATGTGCAGGATTGCTTCGCCGAGTCAGTCAATCATTCAGTCCGAAGCTGCGCCTGGTGGTGTTGGAGCTTGCGCCGCGGCAGTTCTTGTTCTTTCGAGCCACTTTCTCTTGCCCGGTCGAGTTTCGAGGTGAGCGGGGATATTTGATGGGTCGGAACCAGCGTTGATGAGTGCACTTCGTTGCTTGCTGCGATAAGCGTCGACTGTGCAAATGTCAATATTTTAGAGACATATCAGCCTGCGAAACACTCACGCGCTCGAGCGAGGAAGATTGGTCTGCCCGAAAACACTCGACCCTGTCCCCAAGCCATGCGATACCCCAGTTCATTGATCTTCTGCTCTCGACCTCGTTTGCTTCTAGAAATCAGAGGCACAGACACCTCAGCTTCTCCATCCGTGGTCGGAACAGAGACAGACGTTTTTCCAATTGTCGGCACCCCGCCATCAACTTCATCCCCTTCTTCAACAAATCGGGCGCCTGGAGTCGGCTCGGGACCAGTTTGCATCTGGACCGGGAAGTATGCTCGGGGAAAGACGGAGTTCTGCTTGCGGTAAGAGTCCGGGATCTCACTCATCTCAATTTGATCCAGAGTCACTTTGACTCGTACGCGGGCATTCTTCTGCGTATCCTCGACCAAGATGAACTTTCGCCGCTTGCCTTCCGGCAGCTCTCCGAACAAGGCGTTGTCTTCCTCATTCTTCTCCTCTTGTTCTCTTGAAGTCATGGCAGCTGTCCCTCCAGGCCGTCCAAGATGGTGTAGACCTGCCTGCATTGATGGAGCCATGGACGGTCCCATAGAAGGAGCTAACGACGCCGGGTAGCTTGGATAGCCCGTAAAAACATGACTTTGGCGCAAGTCATTTGGACTCGTCATTTGCGGAGTTACGGAATTTTGTCGGTAAGCTTGCTGGGCGGGATTATAAGTAGGAGCTGCTAGAACGTTAGCCGAAAGCTGTGATTTGCGTCAAGTCTGGAGAGATGCCAGAGCCATGGTGAAAAGGGTTGCGTACCTCCGACATTCTCATGCCCCGTGGGAGACACATCCTGGGCATGATGAAGGAGCTGAGCCTGTGTGCTGGATAGAGTACCGGGTGGCCTAGTGGGGGGAGCTGCCATTGAGTTTGGACCGGGAAGCCCTGTCGACACGGGACCACCCGATCCGGGGGCCTTGCCCATGGTCGAAGGTGTTAATTTCGACCTGTTCATTTTGGCTTGTCGCCTGACCCGACGACTTCGCAATCGCGGATCTTGGTTGCTGTTTCTCCAGCTGTCGACTGCCCTCTGAATCAATCCTCGCTTGCCTCGAAGGCACGGATTCAGCTCTGCCAATGCCCAACCCACGTTGTTGCAGTCTGTCTCATAATTCAAACGGTTTCCTTTGTACTGTTCTTTTGGCACACAGGCTCGCGGGTAGACACAATTTTCCGATTTGAATTCTTGCGGTAAAATAGCGGGGTCCACCGATTCGACATCACACCTAATAGTATACTCCATTTTGACGCGGTCTCTGGAGTATTCGAAAGCTATCCACTGCACACCGTTCCCATCTTGCCGGATCTTTAAAGGTGTCGTGGCAGGAATAGGTCCGGGGGCGGCGTTGGAGTTTGGCTGCAAATTCGGCGGCATTTGTTGTGATGGCGGTTGCTGTTGTTGTTGCTGTTGCTGTTGTGCTTGTTGTTGCTGCTGTTGGAGTGTGGGTTGCTGCTGTTGCTGTTGCGGGAGAGCGGGCTGCTGCTGCTGTTGCTGTGGCAGAGGTGAGGGCTGAGGACCTGGGGTCGGATGTTGTTGCTGTTGCTGAAGCATTCCCGGCCGCGCCTGTGGTGTTTGTTGATAATGTTGACTCGGCTCTGACTTCAATCTTGGGCTGCTGGAAATGGCTGGATGGTGTGATGCAACCTGGGGTTGAGCAATTTGCGGATTTGTGGATTGATATGGTAGCATCGACTGAGAGTTGATCTGGTGTTGCTGAGAAGCCGCATGGTGTTGTCCGTAGGTGGGCTGATGTACCGAATTCATCCCATACTGATAGCCATAGAGCGGCTGGCTCAGTTGAGAGCCTGGTTGAGCATACATGGGCCGCGCCGGATCGTGAGTTTGAGGCGAGGTTACGGAAGCCGGTGAATTCGACTGCGGAGTGTGATATATCGGAGGGTAAGGCCTCTGCATGGTCGCGGTTGCTGCCATAGAATCGGATTTTTCTGAACATGGATCAGCTCACCGAAGAAGACTACAGCGATGCTGCCCCCGCTCCTGGACTCACCTGAAGGATAATAGGCTCCAGCACCGCTATGCTGGCTTCGCGGGCTTTGCGTAGGCGGATAAAAGTTTGGTGGGTCAGTAGGGGCGGGTTGTGCCTGGAATTGCGCCTGGCTGTTGAGAAATGGCGACTGGAGACTGGGTTGAGGAGTGTATACGTTCGGCGACGGATAGGGTTGCTGGGCGCTTTGACTACCGCTCAACGTTCTCGTTTGCGATTGTTGCGGAATGTGATGCAACGGTGCAACGGTCGGGTATGGCTGTGTTGTGCGATGCTGCATCGAGGATCCATATGTCAGCGCGAGGTCGTGAGAATAAAAATAAAGCGCAACAGAACAGACTCGCGTCAATCATTGAGAAGGAAACAAAAAGGCCCCTTGGACAGAGGTAAGAACAAAGATGCTCGGACAACAGTCAGAGCCCGGTCCAAAGCAACGAATTTTGGCTTGATCAAGACCAGGGGGAAGGGTTCGTGATTGGGATGACCCTCAACCACCCCTGCTCATGGTGGAGAGCCAGGGGACCTCAATAGATCCTGAATATCTCTTCGTTAAAGAAGCGAGGATCCTGACTTTGCGGACAAAGAGAGTTTGGGAAAAATTGAGACACGCGCCACCGAGGACACGGAATCACGGGCAATTGATACACTTGTTCGTACCTGTCGTAGAAGTAGCAAGGTAGGGCTGGGGCATTGGCCAAGGTGCCAGGGGATATTGAGCGAGAGGACAGAGGGGTTTGTCACGCAACGAGATAGAACCAGGATAGCATGCGGCGAACAGGCAAAGCTTTAAGACTGGATAGAAGCTGTCGAGATATGTCCAGGGTGTGGATATGATGGAGATTCGAAACGATGAATGGATAGGTGGGAGGGGTTAAGGCGCGCATGTGATAACGGATAGGGCAATGACAAGGTGTTGTGGGCGGGCAGGGCAAGGGGGGCTCTTCGGAAACCAGCATACCATGTACTGAGATTGTCACCGTTGAAGGAGCCCAGGTAGTCGAAGCTTAGATGGCTGGATATTGGATGGTGGAAGGACTGGGGTGGAGGGAATAGGTTGTTCCTATGTAATAGAGCAACCAGGACATGTATGGAGTGGAGGTTGTTTTGACAGTCGGAAACGGCAAACGCAGAAGTCTGAACGTCAGACGTGGCGGTGCAAGGTCCAAGGGAGGGGGGGGGGAATTGATAAAGAACAAGTTTTGGCGAGAGTAAAAAAGATGGAATGATGCAAAAGAAGCCGAGGGGCAAGGGCGTTGTAAAAGGCGGATGGGAGAGCGGACTGGATGGTGTGGATGTGTGCTTTTTCGAAACTTGTAGCGTGCAAATCAAGTGGATCGATGGCGCGGGAGCTTAGAGTAAGTAAAGGCACTGGCAAGGCGACTTGGGAACCTGGCAGGGTTGGAGCCGTGAGAGCTTGGTCCTTAGGTCCTTGAGTTCTGCTAATAGTGGGGTCTGGAGCGGTCACTGGAGGATCCGGGAGGAGCATTGGACAGGTGGATTGGAGAGCCCTGGTCCAAGCGTCGACTGGCTGAGCCTGGAGTCCTTCTGGCACCTTTGGTGCTTGAAGAGCCGGTCACAGACGGAGGCGGGGGCCACAAGCGGGCTAATCATAGCTGCCCGAGGGCCAGACAGGACCCGACTGAGATCAAGCCAGTCGGGGTCAGGATCCTGGCTGGGCAGATGCAAGCCAGGGCTGCAACATAACCTACCTACCTGCCTAGGTGAGCCAGGAGGAAAGGATGACCGGGGGGTGGGAGGTGCCAAACGACCAGGGCCAGGGTCACAGCCAGGGAAGCAGAGATTGTAGGTCGTTAACCGCACATTGGAGGACCGGCTTTGGACCAAAAGAGGCTTCAACGGTCAGACCAGGATGTGCCCTCGCATGACAAGTGATTGACATTGGAGCAAGCCAAAAACGCGGGACTGCGCGGGACAAGAGGACAGAGACAGAAAGACGATGCAGAAGCGCTAAAATGACCTCAAAAGATTGACAAAGAATGAGAGAGGTGGACTTACATGTGGTTTAGCTTCTCCAGGGCCATGAATGTGAGCAGATGCAGCGCCAGAGCCAGAGCCTGGACCCGGACCCGGACCCGGACCAGGCGCTGCTGGATCGGGGGCTTTTGCTGGCGCGACAGCATGTGAGAGGGGATGGTGAGGGTGTTGCAGTTGCAGTTGCTGTTGCTGCTGCTGCTGCTGCTGCTGGGTGTGAGAATGACGAGAGCTATTCTTGAAGGTGTTGCGCGTGGTCGCCAACTGGTGCGCTTGCTGATGGTGAGGATAGTGTACGTGCGCTGGGGATTGATGCAGTTGCGAATTACCCAAATTGGCAGCATTGAGGTTCAAATTGGCAGGGCCAGGGCCAGATGATTTCTCCGAAGCGACGGCGTGTTTTTTGCTCTGGGCGGGCGCCATGGCGCGGCGGGGAGCCAGGTTGTTTGTAGCAAGTAGCGAGGAAAAGTGAGAAGGGGGTGACGAGTTCAAGATTTGACCGGCTGGCCGAGGTCAGGGTTTGGAGTTCGTCTCGGGTGTTCGATTGAGGGAGATCGGAAGTACTCCGTAGGGCGCTGCTAAGAGGAGGAAGGAGAGGAGGGGGGGGAAGCTGGAGCTTGGAGCTGGAGGGGCTTTTCGAGGAATGAGGCTTCGAGGCTCGAGAGGCGAGCGCTTGTCGCATCAAGGGCCGCAAGAGATGGGTCGCTAGGTGGGGTGAGAGAAGGGAAAGAGGAGGAGAAGGAGGAGGAGGAGAGGGTCGAAAGAAGTTGTAGGTAGGGATGATGAAGCGGCAATACTAGTACAGGGCTGGGCCAGGGTCCCAGGTGGGAAGATAGAGCAAGGAATATTACTGTACCAAAAGTCCAGTCAGTCCAGGGGAACATGCAAGCACACAAAGCAACGTCGGGATTACAATGGTGAGATGGCGGATGGCCAAGATCAAGTTGTGCAGTTCGGGTTCTTCGAGAAGGTGGACTGGCTGGAAGCGATTGATTACTCGTGTCCGGGAAGAGGAGATGCTCACCACCACCAAGGAAAAGCATTTCAATCTGGCATGATTTAGTGAGTATTAATAACAACTAAGTAATGGGAGACGCAACACGGAAAGAAATAAACAACATGGACCAAACAGACGACAGATCACAGACTACTCTCTCTGTACGGTCTGACAGGATCCCCTCCAGCTGAAGGCATTTACAGAGAACGCTTCTAACATAGCGGACAAAGATGTGAGTGCACGCCTCTACATACTGTACCTATGTTTACACACTTGTAGTTACCCGTTTACCAGTAGCGAGTGTTTAGGTCTCTATGTACCTCACAGCATTTGGATACGATGCGGGTAATTCAATTAACCCTGCCTACTACTGTCTTTTCTGCTCCCCGAATAAAGTTGGGGGAGGGCGGATGTTCTTTGGGGGGAGGGGGGAATAGGCAGCGCGCTGGCCTCTCGCGTCTCGTGGGAATCCCTGTAATTTCCAGCAGTGCCCGCCCTGGCCCCTTGCTGGAGCCTGCCGGGGGCATGATGGGACCCCTGCTGGGGCCTGCTGTTAAGTCCGACCAGGGTCCTGCGGGCCCAAATAGTGAAGACCGCGACAGAGTTTGAACTCGAAACGCCTAAGTACAAGCAGAGGTCATCAACGGCGCTCCGGCGATCATCACGCTAGTCGGCTAGTCGTTCTGACTGCAGCCCAGCATGCAACCTCGACTTTGGCCACAACCGCAACAGGTTATACGGAGTATGCACACGCAATAACATACCTACTTACCGAGTGTACACACACACACACAGAGCTTTGCATCTGTACCAGTCGCCCACCCCGGTCACGCAGTTCATGCTCCTCCCGCCCCTCAATCGACATCTGCAACAGACCTTCCAACGCCCCCAACGCCTCCGAAAGGCCCTCCTACCTCCTTCTCGAATCATATCCTACCGCGAAATTACAGAGATCGAACCTTCTGCCTTCCTCGTCATCAAGCCACCGAACTGCCGAGCCACCGAGCCCATCATCGAATCGATCTCCGTGCGGTTAAAGGAAAAAACACCAGATCCACATGGTCTGCCTTCGAACGCGTCTATCATTTCTTAAGCACGCAAAATAGTACCTAAAAGAAACAGAGAGAGAGAGAGAGAGAGAGAGCGAGTCCTTCCTGCATGTCTCGACCTTAGCCTGAGCGCGTTGTTGTGACAGCCAACCCGCAGTCCGTTTCTCAATCCCGGATCCCTGGAATCTTTCTGCTCTTGGACGACCCTTCTCGCTCTCTCCTTTCCTTCCCTCCTTCAGAAGCTCACCTTTCACCCCAACGTCTCCAATGTCTCCGCTTGGTGGCGAGCGTGCCCGCCGCCTTCTGGACATTCTTGACGCTACACCGGAAGCAGCCTTAGTCCCGACCTACCAATACGACCCGTGAGCACGAACTGCCATGTGTGGCCCGGCGTTGATCCTGGTTCTGGTTATTCGCAGCGTCGATCTCAGGGTCAAAAGGGACGCCGTCCTATTTCACCACCACTCCCGCCCACACCCATAACTGAATTGCCCGAACAAGGCACTTTAAAATATCGATTGAACAACTGGAATTTTCGTGATGCGTCGCTTACGCAAGGTAGGGGTGGTCTGCCCGTGGCGGTGGGCACCCTCATTGGCTCTCTCGGCCTGCGCATGAATAGCGCTTTTCTTCAGAGCTACACCGACTCAGAATAGCAGCTGGAACCTACCATCTTAGCTTCCCTTTGTAGAAAAGACTGGGGCAAATCAGCATGTCCAAGTGCAGCGAAAAAAGGCCACGGCCACAAGGCCAATAATGTCGGCCGAGTTGACAATAATCAACCTTGGGCAGACCCCAACCGACGATGCGGTGGCGAATAGCCATCTCTGGCTGACCGGGGTGCTTGCTTGGTGCTTGCTTGGTGCTTGCTTGGTGCTTGCTTCGTGCGCGTCTTCCTCCTGCAGTCCTGGTCGTTCCGTCTCTGCTTCTACCGCCCACCCCGGTCGTTACTGACAGGCATGCAGAGCCTATCCAACCCCCCCTGTTAAACTGGATGAAAGGCAATTCTTCACGACGTCCTCCAAACAGTCATGATTGTAGCAAACACTAATACTCCGTATAGGTAGTTTGCTCAGCCTCGTTCACGATGCCCATGACAGAAATATCCTCCAACTCGGTCGTCATTGGGGCCTCAGGATAGCTCTCGGGTGAGTCTCAGGCCAGGTTACTGAGTATATTCACATACCCCATAGCAGTAGCACAGATTGCAAACGCAGCTTCAAGGCTGCATTAATAATAGAACCTGCCTTTCTCTGGCGACGGTCCTTCCTCCAGAAGGCTGGCGGAGAGAGCGAGGGCTTCTGATTCGCCCTTCTTCAAAAGCTGTCTCTGTGCCACCTTTTCGCGTTCAACCATAAAGATAACATATTCCAAGTCCGGGCTTTGGAGTACTGGGTCCTTCTCCCAACCCTCATCAGCCAGCGCCCCCGATTCTGGTGCCGGTGACGAGTTGACAGCGCATTCTTGCTATTGGAGCTCAGCAGTCCGGTCGGAGCTTTGATCCGTCACCGAAAGAAAAAACCTCGGAAGGAGGCGGCCGTGAACCTCGACGAGACTCGGAGTAATAACGATTGTAACGCCGCAGCGGGGTGTTGGCCACAGTAGCCCGTTTCTGGACTCATCTCACCAGAGCGGACCAGGCGATTCGATCATTCGTTCCTTGATATGTCTATCCGCTTACCTAGTCCCCGGTGGTGACGGTCCTGAATTTCAGGATTTCATGTCATATCGGTTGCTCTCTAAGAGCGGCGCACAACCATGACCGGTGTCCACGGGTTCAGGGCTTATTCGGTGGATTGCGATGGGGCCTTTGAGCTGCTTGTCGCGCACTATATCGCGACATCATCTCGGGAAAGGCAGCCAACTTCTCGGCTTCTTCCAGAGCGAATAATTGCAGGGTCAGTGGTGGGCATGTATAGACTCACCCTCCTGGCGCCCTTTTTCATGCATGTTTGATTGACCAGCGTCTCATGTTCTAGACCTGGTGAGACCAATCTTGAAGCCATCAGGTTTGCTCCCCGCAAACAAGCCTCAAAATGCATGACATGGCATGGCTCAACATTTCAACGTACTTAGGGGCGACATGGCCGCTGGGCTGGTGGTTCAAGCCATTGGGCAAGCCACCTGGGACTTGGGGAACGCAGTGGCGGCAGCCTATCTTGAACAAAAGCAACGAAGTCCCCACCGGATGAGCGCGAGACCCTATCGCAAGTCTTCTCTCAGCAAGCATCACCGATGCCTACCAAGCTTTTTCCCTCTGGCGTCCGTTAGGACTCGCACTGGTGGCCCTCCCCATCCCTCCAAAAAGGTTGCCGTCATCACGAAAGTACAAGGTACGCCGTCCTTTAATGCCATCAATGCTCTAGTGCTTTTTACGTGATGAGCTTATTAGCGTTCCGCCACTTCCACGCACCATTATTGCGTGGAATCTGCCTGTTAAGCTGGCTTTGAAGCAATACATAGGTCGTGGGAATTGCTGCTGTGGATCTGCAATCGCAAACAGTTTAACCCAAAGGAACGGTATGTGGCGCAGAGTGACCACGACGGCCACCCGGACACCACGGGTACCTGTTCAGGCAGCTAAGTCAGAGGGGTGTGTAAGGTTTAAATTGCTGAGTGTCGGCTTCAGATGATGCAGAAGCGAGATCAGCTGTCTCGCTCGACCACGCCCCGTCGGAGAGCGTTGTTGAAGGCTGATAATCTTCCAAAGGCTGGCTTTTCGCCAAAGAAACTTTCAAAGAATACATATCCAGGCGCTTGTGGATTGATATCGAATATGTTTCTGGCATTGAATTCCTTGCCTGTAAACCTCGGAAAACTGAGCTGCAAGAGTCTAAGGGTTCCTTGTTGTAGGACCATTGGACCGTTACTTTGCGTGGTCAATTAAAGCTTCTCCTGCCACCTGCATGTCACCGGGACCTATTCCGTGGAGGAGAGAAGGCGCATTTGTGGGTTCAAATTTTGTGGCCGGCGGCGGCGGAAATGCAATCCCCAGCTGAACATTCCGTATTTAGGTAGGTGCGGACAAGTGCGGATTATACCATGTGGGTGGAACATGAATTTTGACCGGCAGCGAAATGACATGACCGAGACGACTGTAATTCGTTGCATCTGTTGAATCGATAACTGATATGCCGATCGCGATGTCGCGAGGAGACTTGACCGTCTACAGTAAAGGAGAAGGTTATACTGCGATCTCAGCGTGCTTGACAAAAGAAGTGCGTGGGCCTTTTTACCCTCTCTCCATTGGACACGGTCGTCAGCTCAGCGGGCGCCCAATCTCAGAATTCTGTCTTGCCTCAGACATCATTTCACCATCGACAGACCAGCAAAGCCCTAACGCACGCAGCTACAGTACCCAAAGGGCTGTGCTATCATGGAGATTTGAAAGAAATCCTCGCTCGGCGCCGAGTGGCTGCTTCACGATTTTGGAAGTGCTCCAGACATGGTGGACTGTGGTTGGCACCCAGCGAGGCTGGTTAGCGATTTCCGAAGCTTTTGGTTTGACAGAAAAAGAAAACTAACTGCCAGGAAAACTGGCGCTGCAAAGAATGCAGATCACCTCCCCCTGCACAGGCTTTCGGCTCGCGAACGATTCGCCGCCGTTCCTCCCGGTCTAGCTTCCTCGCGGCGATCGCTGCGGGCACAAGGGGGCTCCCAACAGCCGAGATGGTTGGGGATCGCACAAGAAATGACAGGACCCATTTGCACCTTGATTTACCAGAGCTTCTATGATGTTAGAGAATGGGTTCTGAACCCAGGCGTAACCCAGTTGGACAAAATGTGTTGGTACCGATCAGCGACAGATCAAAGAAATGCCTACGTGTAAAGGCCAGTGCAACGTTGGCGAAATGTGGTGTGTCACTAGAAAGCATAAATATGGTCCATGTCCATCGCGTCGGATCTGAGGCAATCATTCTGTCACCAGACCGTTTTTGCGGGTTTCGGACATCTACAGTTCGGTGCCATTGGGTCGTCGCCTGACTGGTCCAGCAACAGGGTAATTGCAGCATGGTTTCAACGCTATCTATGTTTGGAGTAAAGGTGTTTGTGCCAGTAAATGCTGCTGATGTGATGCTCTTTCTCGCCTGCGAATAGCGGAGCCCCCTTGCGCACAGTGCAGTGGCATGCCTGGAAACGGGCTGCTTAACTCTTGGGCCTCAAGTTCTCGGATTCGACTGGCAAGCTGATTGACAGATAACGTGGTATCCAAGACCCTGTTTGGCTGGAGCCCATGGCAGGCAAACGTGTCGTGTCGATCAACCACGCTTTCCCACAAGTTCTACCACGACAAGATGGTAGGGAAGGCATGGCCAGCCGGAAAGGCAAGGGTTGGCTCGGCTGAGGGGAAAGATCTTCAGGTACCCAGTACTAGTTTTTGGGGGGGGGGGGGAAGTGCAAGGGTGGTAGCATAGAGCCGGGGAGGCGGAAAAGCGAGGACGCCGTTCGGGAGGTGACAGGCCATGGGTGGGTGATCGTTCGGCAAGCCAACCAATTCTCCAAACGAGGTGTCCAGTGTCGAAGTGTGCGAATGGCATTCGGATGATGACATGCCCGCCCAGAAGGAGGCTTGGTGTTGACAGCAACAAGTAAGATTTCGCCTCGCCCCCTGGAGCGCAGGATAGCTGTTCAACACCGGAGTCATGTCAGGAGGACAGACGGCGTTGACAGGTGTGGATGGCATGGTGAGAGAGGTGAGAGAGGTGAGAGAGGTGAGAGAGGTGAGAGAAATGATGTCACGGAAACTGTAGCCGGGAAAGGGCGAAAATGGGGACCGTCTGACAGAAGATTATTTTGGTCAGCTGTGGCTTGACTCGAATGACCCCCTTGCCCTCAGCCTCGCTTCCTCGTGGCGCCCTGATCACAACGTCAAGTCGCTCCTCAAAGCATTTCGATCAACCACGGGGGATTCGCGCAGGGCTGGATTGTCGAAACTTCATGGCTAACAAAACATCTCCTTTGGCTTATCAAGACGATCAGAGTCTCCGTCCACTTCAGGTCGTGCATTGCTTCAAACAGCCACCTCTTAATGCCAATCTCGCATCCTTCTTCCAAAACTGAATCCGTCACTATCAAATGCCTCCGCTCAAACTCTGACAATGGATCCCCCCTTGCTTCCCAACCACAATTCATCGAATTCAAACAGCAAACTCAACACCCAGCAGCCACCATGGATCCCCCTCATCGAACATAACCATGTATTCATCTCGCGTTAACTCGTCTTTCATGCTCGTACATCTTTCATACATTTGTCGAGTAATTCCCGGCATTTGGCTCAACCCTTATATCCGGCACGGGCAGCCCCTGCTGCTGCTGAATTGGTGGATACCCCCCGGCCAACGGAGCTGACTGTTGCATTGGTGCCGCACCAGGCTGTCCTGGTGTGGCATTAGCAACAACAGGAACTTCCACTCGTTGTTGCTGTTGTGGCTGTAGCTGCTGTTGTTGCGCGAAGTACGCTCTAGGGTCACCCTGTAGACCTTGAGCAGCAGGCGGTTGCTCTATAGCACGTAATGGACGTCGACCATCGTCGCTATACTCGTCGTCGCTGCTTTCATCGCTGTACTCGCCTCGCTCGGCTCGTCGACGCCGCTTTTCTTCAAGCTCAGCTTGCCATTTGCGCTCTCTTGCTTCTGTTGATTTCTGTTAGCTCACACCCCCAGCTTCAGACACAGACCCTATGCTTACCTCTGATCTCCTTTGTCTTCTCCGCCAGCTTTGTGATCTCTTCTCTAGAGACTACTCGCAACACAATCACATAGTCGTCTCTCTCCTCGAATCTCTCATGTGCCTTTTCCAGGGCTTCTGGATTCACTAGTGCTCGGCTGATTTTGGTCCACCGTGCATTCGGTGGTATACCATCTTTGTGGGCATCTTTTAGTGGTGCAACACCTTCTCGTGTGGGGTTGGGATCTTCAGGAAAAGGTATTTCTCGCGGCGGCTTGAGGATGCCTTTCGGTTTGAACTCCTCTTTCTTTTCAGCCGGCTCGACTAACTGCACCTTTCGAGGACGGTCATCTTCATCTTCACCTGGGGAAATGGTACGGTGTTCCAGATTTGTTGGCACATCCTGACTTGCGTCGCGAGAAGGCGCTCGGTCTCGGTGGCGTCGTTGCCGGGCGTCATTGCCCTCATAATCCTCAGTGGTGTCTGACTCGGTCCCGCGGTCCGCTCGGTCGCGGTGCTTCCTGTGGCGATGGTGTCTTCTTTTTTCGTGGCGGTCATCATGATCATCCATGTCATCAGCTCGGTCCTCGTCTCGTCGACGCAGATCCCGGTCTCCGTTGGTCAATTTGAGATCACGCTCAACACGACCAGCAAGTTCATCTGGACTTGGTTCGTCGCTGGCGTGTTGCCGTCTTCTTCGATGCCTTCGCTCTTTGCGATCATCAGTTTCTGACTCTTCGTCGTCCTTGTTGCGGGTACTCTTGATAGCGGCACCAGCAGCAGCGCCCACCGCGCCTACGCCAGCTGCTGCGGCAAGCCCTTTACGTAGTCCTGAATGTTCTGGGCTGCTGTCTCGACTTCGGGGCTTGCCGGGCTTGTCAACCTCTCTATATCTATCCCTGTCTCGGTCGCGGTCGCGGTCCCGATCCCGGTCCCTATCCCGATCTCTATCCTTGTCCCTCTCACGGTCCCTGTCGCGATCACGCTCACGAACCCGTTCAGGCTCGCGTGGGAGCTCGCGCAACACCTCTCTTTCACGCTCATCACGATGCCTGTGCTTGGGAGGTTTGTCATCGTCCTCTAGACGGTCATGACGGGGTCTAGGCAAGGGTCGAAGGTCTCGTTCTTCACGCGCAGACACGGAGCCGTCATCTGGATAGTGATGTAAAACGGGTGCTCTCGTGGAGTGGCGGCGTCGGGGGATATCTCCTCGATCTTCCGTGTCGCTTGTCCGACCGCCCGCATATCGGGCAGGTTCGTTCCTCTCGATTCTATCCAGCACGCGTGCGGACGAAGAGGGAGGCCCGTCTCGCGTATCTCTCCTTGCAGGCAGCCTATACTCGGGCAACCCAGCTATACTTACGGGGCGTTCTCGTCTGCTGTAGCTCTCTCGCCTCTGAGGAGGTCGGGATGACTCCTGTAAAAACTGCTCCTTTGGAGTTGTATAAGAGAAGCCTTCATCCTGCAGGGGACCACGGGTCGAAGAGGAGGGGTATGCATTGTAGCCACCGCGGCGGTGGTATTCAGGTTGTCGGCTGACTCTTCCGGGCTGTAGACGGTCCTGTTCAGCACGAGTTGCGCTCGAATGGCGGTGATGATTTCGACCGCTTGACGCGGGGACAAGATATCGATCCCCCGCAGAGGCCAGCACCGGGCTTCTTGGATCGTCACGAGAGGAACCACTGATGATGGCCGGGCGCACTCGAGGCGGAGAAGAGCGACGCTCCATGAAGGTGCTCACTGGCCTGCGAGTCTCGAGTGTGGAATTATTTCTTGGACGCACGGCATATTCTGTTCGCACTATGGATCCTCCGCCCGAATGAGGATCGTCGAGGATGGTTTTCCTTGCGATAGGTTGAGTAGTGTACACACTTCCGTGTCGCGTGGCAGGGAAGGTGTCAATGACGCTGCGAGGCTGGGAGGAAGAGGAATATCGAGGGTCGAAGGAGGAGGAGATGACCATGCCTGTGGATGCTCGAGGGTCGGCATAGCGATGCCTCGGAGGCGAGTTGGCACGATAGCGGTTTTCAGTCATTGTGCAGGTGTTGGCTGGCTGCTGTTGCAGTAAATCTTTCTCTCAGGCATCGGACGTTGACGACCGAAGCCAACGTGCAGGCTGCTGCCCGAATAACGGGGACGACTTCAGGGATAGAATGTAATATGAAGGACCTGAACTGAGAACAGGCTCGGGCTCAGGGCCAGTAAGGTTTCATATGTCAGGGGTTTTGGCAACAGGGTCGAAGAGCGTGATGCCAGGGCTGGACAGCAAAGGGATGAATTCGTACAAGCACAGGAAGGATGTGTGTTGGAGGGGTGGACGGTGAGTGGTGAAGACGGGCAAGGGCTGGCAATCCTTGGGGGCCAACGGAAATGATGAATCGATGAATCAGGGTTGGACCGAGGTGGGATTTGTGGCTGACGGCACACAAGTGGGAGTGGTCGGGTGTGGAAGCGCGGTAGTAGGGAGCAGGGCGCAGGGAGCACCAAGACTTCGAGATGGGAGTCAAGTGGTCGGCGTGCGTGGACGGCCGATGATTTGAGATAGAGAACAAACAGTACAAAGAAAGTGCAGCGTGTGAGGGCGACTGAATTATTATGGTGTTCGTGGAGGTGCAGCCAGTCACCAGCGGGTGAAGTGGAAGTGAGCCGAAAGTGAAAGTGAAAGTGAAATTATTGACAAACTTGAGGCCCGACGTCATGGAAACATCCACATTTGCATCCACCGCCGTCGCCATCGCCATCGCATCTGCCCAAGCGGCACCACCATGTTGATTTTTGTACAGAGCGAGGGACACTAGTATTGTCCTCCCAAGTGCTCAGTAGTCGTCTCTCTCAGTCCCTCTCAGTCCCTCTCAGTCCCTCTCCCTTTCATTATTCACTCAATCACTTACTCACACATCCTGTAACACCCTCTCTCTCCCCCTCCGCATCAGCCTCCTCTCATACTCTGTCCCTCTGCTTCTTCTCCCTCTCTTTTACCCTTCTCCCAGACTCTGTCCATAACAAATGACTCACCTTCTTGGCCGATGTCGCCCTTCTCCTGTTCCGTCATTCTAGTCAGTACTTATATCAGGCATCACCGACAACAGTCCCAAAACTCGTTGCCTTCTTGAAACCGGGACAGTACTACCCTTTCTACCCAATCAATCTGACCGCAAAGTTACCTTTTGCTACCAAATGTACGTCGATCAAAGGACTGCTGCCCAATCTAATTTCCAGGTTACCACCGCGTCGGTCGCTCCATCCTTTAGTCCTTTACCTCTGGGACCGTCTTGAACACACTCTTCCCCTCCGACCCATGTCCCATTGACCCCGTGACCAGCCATCCTTCCAACAAACTTCAATGCTGGTGCCGCTCAGGCTCAGTCGTATACAGAGGGCGCGCTTGCCTTTTCTACCCCAATCTTTCAGGCGTTCTGGTGGCCAAATGCAATGTTGCATGCTCCCGTGTTCCCGTCTTCTCTCAAGTCGGGCGCTGATATTCAGAATCACCCCACCCGCCCTCGAGAATACCTCCATCTCTTCCGAGATCCCGCTACCGAGGACTTTGTGTCACTACTGTTGTCATTGAAGGATGCAAAATTCCTGCGAGCTCGGATGGGTCCCTGTTTGGAGCTTGGGATGCCGATGCTGGCCTTGTCACCCAAGTTTCAACCGGTTGGCGAAACTACAACAATTTTGCAGCTGACATCGAGCTCTTGCCAAAGGATGATTGCTCAGGCCCTGTCTGTCGACACATGACCATCATCACTCTGACTCTGGACGCTTCTGATCGGAAGTTCTGCGAACTATAATCGGGCGCTGGGCTCATGCAAGAGTCCGCAATCGAGAATTTTATCCCTTCTTGCACAAGCTTGCCTCTCGCTTGCCGCCAATCAACCAGGTCCTCAAGATCCCGGACGATTCATGCAGAGCATATCCGCTCGCCAATTTCCCGCAATGACGTCTGACTGCCTCGGAAAGCCACTGTAAGCCCTCCGCCTCGGACGATAAACCGCCTTCTCGGTCTCATGCCAAGTCATATGCCTGCCGTAGGAGCTGCAAGGCTGTCACGCACTTGAGGCAAAAAAGGTCCTGCTTTGTTCCCTATACCACTAGGGTGATGTGTGCCCGACCAGGTGGGCGTTACGGGGTGTACTTTTGACAGCCAGCGTGGACAGTGGTGCTGATCCTCTTCGGCAATCTACACTTCGGCACATCTGGGCAAGGCTTTCCAACTTCGGATGTGTGGATAAAGGACCACGACGCTGCACAAATCACTCGAAACCGCCTGGCTGCTCTTCTCAAAGGAACCAATGCCATGCTGATCTTCCGACGCCTACCACAGCCACTGCAAGGTAGATTTGATGTCACCCCCTGATCAAGCCAGCCTCGTCTGAGATAAGGCGTGCTTATGGGTATCGGAGTTGCAAAAGCAAGAAATCGAGCACCATGTACCGATCTAGGGGTGGCGCAGACAATTTTCTCGCCTTGACATACCCGAGATACCGAAGAGAGAAGACGGGATATGTACCAATCAACGAAAAAAATTAAGGTGAATTCGACTGAATGGGTTGTTTTGTTCATCAAAGCACGATCACCTCCGCGTCGATAGGCGAGCAGGCGGCTTCTGGTGAAAGGGGCTGATACCATGAACGTTAGATGGAGCAGCAATACTGCACGGCAGAGTGGTAGAATTGTCCTCTCGCAAAACTACCACGCTTCACCAAGGCGAAATTGGCCTGTTAGCCACATTGTCTCAAAGCATCTTACACATGTCCATTGAAGTATAAGAATACTTTAGACTTCCTCCTAAAGGTATGTCGTGTCCATTCTCTCTTCATCATCTACACTTGCAACTGTTTTAGACCAACCATTCTTCTTCTCCTTCTGTCCATTCATTCTTCTGCCTTTTCGATACCGCTCCTTCCGGATTCCACCGCTTCGAACAAAGGTCTATTTCTCAGCAGCTCTCTTTGCAAACCACCGGTCTCCTATTCAGCCGCTGGTCACCGTTTGCCACCTTCACGGAGATCACAGGCTCCTAGTTGCCAATCCATTCACTTCCTCTATCTCGACCTACTATCACTTCCGACATAAGCCGCGAACATGAGCCAGCCAACGTTGTGGCAATGTTGTCGCTGCAATGAGCGCCCCATGAAAGTGGCCAATCACCCAAAGTGCGTTTGTGGTCATGAACGCTGCGGTCTATGCAAGACAGATGGTGATATTGACCCTCCCGGAACTACAACGGCCGCCCCTGCCGACTGTAATGGCAACCAATATCAGCCAACTTCCTCCTACGGCGCTCGAGTGTATGCTACTCCTCAAATGTTTCCTGAGGCCGTTCACTCGATTCATCATGCTGCTCCACTGTCGAGCAGGAGAAACCTGCGCCTCAGACATCAAGCAGCCCGGGCATCCTTTTGGTATTGGGCGGCCATGGAGCACCTCGTCTTGGCACCCGTTTGGGACAGCAGCCGGCCGCTTTGCTCAGGTATCATGTGACCTGGCTCAACTTCGGCTCAGCCTCAGCGTGAGCTGCTCGGCCTGCTCAGGCCGCAGCTCACCCTCCTCGCCCTTCTCGTCCGCCGTGCTCAGTCCTCTTTCTGGACCCCGCCGTCATTGGATGCTCACGCCATACTTCGTAGGCGCCTCTCTTCAAGTATGTGGAAGGTTTACACGACCATCTGCGAGGGTACAGTCTTGGGAACCCAAGGTCCGAAACTGTGACTCCTTGCACTAGACGGTGGATGCAAAATCTCGCAACCCACGCCCTCTGCGCAAGATGGAGCGCGTCTCCTATGTTGCACTCACCTTGGTGACCCTTTCTCCTGATAGCGACATGCACGCAGTGCACGTCGTGTCTCCCTTATCATACCGTCTGTCCGTCGTCTCGGACGTGCCTTCTCCCGTCTGCCCATCACTTGCTGCTTCTTTTGTTTTCCTTTTCGCTTCACTTGATCCCACAGACTCTTCCATTTTCCAAGCACTGCTTTACTATCCCATCCTAGCGCTGCATTCTAGTTCTTCGCCATGGGGAAAAAGCAAACCGCTAGCGAAACTCTTCGCAAAGCTAAAGAGAAGGGCTCTGCACGAGACACTGGTATTGTTAATGGCAAACCAAGTTTCCGGAAACTTCAGCCTGGAACGGAGAAAAACTATCAGAGACAGCTGGACTTGTGGCATGAGTATGTGACCCGGATCCACAGTAGGCGAATTTACTGACGAGGTCTGATAGATTCGTTCGGCAGAACCCTGACGCGTCTCCATATGACCTACGCTCACTGCAGGCGTTTGTGAAAGAAATGGCGTACGCAATTGACGGCGCAGAAGACAACGAGAAGGGCTGCAAGGAGACCGTGCGTAAGTATTGGAACTCTTTTACGGCTGCATGGTGCCGAGCCAATCCCGAAAGTCCTGAAATACCTCGCGGCGTTGCCAGATCTATCACAAATGTATGTTCTTTTCCAACCTTGATGCTTGAACAGCGTTTAACATATGTGTAGTTTATCAAGGGCCCTCTGGCCGAAGAGATTGGGTTGACTGGGTCTAAAAGACGACGGAGATTTGCCACCAAAAATCACTTGCTCCACTTTGCCAGACAACTTTGGATGGCGGACTGGTTCGAATATAAGTCGCCTACGACGAGATTGGACGATTGGCTGTTACTTTTGGCTAATACGTTTTCCTCCTCCCGAATTGGCGAGTACATTGAATCCAACTGCAGACCAGGGAGCGGCCGCGGCCTCTACTACCGTGTAAGTTATTCAAATCTATGGGTAAACAGAACAGCGTCGGACGCTAACACACGCCATTCAGGATATCACTTTTGGTGCGTTTATCAACGAATATGGGAATCCCGAGTTTGCCGTTCAACTCACGCGTGATGCCAAAAACATGGCAGACACGCCTGAGAAAAGGTAGTTCGGACACCGTCCATCGCGCTGATTCCGGATGAGGGGTGCTAATTTCTAGTATGTAGGCCGCAACATGCCTTGTACGAAGGTGAAGTACCTATGATTCTCTGCTTTAACCCGATGCTTCCGTTTCTTGCTCGTCTCCTCGTTCATGGAGCGTTCAGGGACTATGATACGATTGAGGAGCTCCTTGGCATCATGCCACCTGAAGACGAGATGTTACAATTGCATTGGAAGGACGAATTGCTAGATACTCCATTTTTCAAGGCCCGATCTAGCAAAAACTCCGAAGAGAAGATCGAAACTGCAGGCGCATTTAGCAAGAGACAGCGAGCCTGGGGGCTGCGCGCTGGCTACCCCAAACCACCCACTGGCCATGACTTCAGAGCTGAAGGCCTGTACTGGATTGGTACGTTTCCAGCCCTTCTGTTGCCTTTTTCATTTACTGACGGGATTGTCCATACAGACAAGTTCTATTCTGAGGCGACGCGGATGGTCCATGCTGGCCACATGGATCCAAATACTCACCGTCGGCACTACATGCCCACCAACGGGGCAGATGGGCAAGATACATATCTGGGCGGCAAGGGGCGAACCATCGTTGCGGACCTATTTCGGGGCCTCACAGTGCCTCGAAACCCCAATCTATCGCAATGCCTCCCTGCGGAGAAGCAATTTGAGTTAGAAAACACACCTGAATACGCTTCACTAAGTGAAGAGATCACAACTTTAGAGGGAAAAACAGATACTGAATCGGTGAAGCATCGACATCGGCTATACCGCAAACGGCGTAATTTGACGGATAAAGAGCTGCGTGATTGGCAAAAACGACAACCGAACAGGCCAAACGACCCACCGGGCTACCATCGGGCAATCTTCAGTCGAGTCAGTTTCCTGATGCCTGAGAGAGACAGTCTCAGTCAGGATCTTTTCAAAATTGACACTCTACGAAGTCCGACCGGTCTTAACACCCTGCACGCGATGATCGCGCTGTATCAGCAGGAATCCGAAGTCGAGTATCGGCCTGGGTTGGAACCTGACAAGTGCTGTTGCTCGAAGCGGCAAGGGAGTAAACTCGAGGGGAATCGACAAGCCTCTTATGACTGGAAGCATATCTACACATGTTATAAGAGAAGATCCGAGAGGGCCTCTGGCTTTGCCGAACTGTGTTTTCTGTGCAATGAGTGGGTATTTGGAGAGGAAGCCTGGGAAGGCCATTGTGAACGGCATCTATCCTGGCTACAAGACCTCCCGATGTTCTGTGACCCTCTCACATATGGCGGGGTCCTTGCCACAGCTGGATACTGTCCATTTTGTCTGACGGATAAGGAGTTACCTGCAGCATCCGTACGCCTGAAGCAGTTCCTCGACCGTCGAAGATGGCTGGATCACATCCATAAGCACATCTCTTGCCTCGACGCCGAAAACCCTCTGAAATGTCCACACCCGCAGCCTTACTGTGCTACACTATTTGATTCAGTCATGCAGTTGCAATTCCACCTCCAAGACGCTCATGGCATCCCTTTCATTCGAGAGACGGTGAGATCGAAGAGAAAGAGAGATGAGAGCGAAGATAGAATACCCGTACAGAGAAAGAGATGGCACCCTGGCCACAAAACGGAAGCTGACTCAGATGAAGACATAGTCAAACGGGAATATGCCTTTATCAACATCACGATTGAGAAAATGCACGATCACGGACCAAGCAGCACCAAATCATCTTCCGGCTGTTCTACTCCACTTCACAGTCTAGACAGCAGCGTGACAGGTGATGAAGTCCCTCGTTATGACGAGACGCCGTTGTCGTCAGTGTACGACGAAGACTTGATCGATCCCGCGATCCTTCCCGCAGCGATGGGACGAGATCTAGATGATCTTGAGGTTGTGGGCTTCACCAAGCTTGACGAAGTGGTCTCAGCGAAAATTTCCGCGGCAACCCTGGCTCCCGGTACGTACTGAACGCTGAAGTCCGCATTTACACATTTTTAACCACGATATAGGTGATCTAGCTAGCCCAGGATATGCAAATAATGGTAAAGCCACCAGAGCTACCCTCAATCGGAGCGACACCAATGTGCAGCAAGACACTGTCCAAGGTGCGATGCGCGGGGAGGCAAGAAAGGTGTACCCGCCTGTCGCTGATGAAGAACTAAATTACGAACGCCCCCCCGGCTGTCGATTCCGACGACGGCCAGTTCGAGGTTGAAAAGCTGATTGAGAAAAGACGGGTTGGTAGGGGTGTCTGGTACTTGGTCAAGTGGCGCGGTTATCCAGACAGTGAGAACTCTTGGCAGAAAAAGATGTATATTCATCTCGACATCGTTACGGCGTTCGAGGCCGGTCGCCTCATGGGATGAGAACCTGGTCCAGAATCCTAACGAATGTTTTGAAAAATCAATGACCACTTCTGACTATCGTCGCGTTTTCAATTCCTCTGACTTTGAAGCCAGTGACTTGAACCAAATATCTCCGCTAGCCTATATTTCCGGCGAAGACTTTTCCACGGTCGGCTGTATTCATGTTTTGCTCGTCAATATCTCAGCAGCGCTAAATTTGAGAGATCCGGAAATCGGGCAATATTGGGCGGTGGTAAATGGTAACGACATCACCACCATTGATTTTGAGGTTTACCGTGGCGGTCTCCACTGGAGTATTTAATGCAAATGGTATCCCCTATTTTGCCATTGCTTTGCGACGTAATTCCACTCCCACTCGCAGGCCCTCGACTCCCTTTCGCCCTCGCCTTCTGGGGGTGCTAGGCTAATTGAGTAAACCCCCTCGACTTGTCCCTTTTGCTCAACACAATTAAATCTAGCCGGAAGAAACACCCAAAGTTAACCCTGATTTTAGCTCCTCGAGCACTGGGAGTACTTTGTCTAGTCCCTCGAAGCATTTCATGACTCGACCTGTTAGGTAATTTGCCCTATCTGAGTAATCCCGAATTCGATCTTGAAGCTGCTGATTAGTGTCGTACAGTCGGTTGGCTTCTTCTTCTGCAAGTTGTCTGCCTTTTGATTCAGCTGTCGCCTTATCTCTCCACTGACATAGCTCGTGGAATAAACGAGCACTTTCATTTTCGAGGTGCTCAATTTTTGCGCTAAAGCTCTCTTCAGGGCCTTGAAGCTATTCAATTTGTTAGGAAGTCTCGAGTAGTCTAAGGATATTGTTTTTCCATACCGATACAACAGAATCTAGGGCGTTTGTAGGTGGTGGGGTTGACGAAACAGCCTCAAAGGTTTTGTCCACTCCTTCACATAGTTCTCGATAAGCGCGTATAGAATGATCGCTTATATTCTTAGAGAAAAGCCCGGATAGAGCTTCCTCCTTTTCCGGCATGATTTTCCATCTATACGGATCAGACGATTTAGGCATAAGACGAACCTGAGACGGGTGTACTTTGATGCCTATTTTGCTCTCTCAGATAATCTTAGTTCTGATCCACAGTAAAGATTACTTCACCTACCAATGTGCTTCGAAAGAAGCTCCCGGCACTCCTCTCTTAGTCTCCGACGTTCGAGGTTACTGAGCCTAACTTTAGCCATTTTGATGCCGTTCCACTATTCGATAGAAAGCAGATGAATCCCCTCTGTATGTAAGAAATCTAGGTAGAGCTCAGGTCTTATCCTTTCGAAATGGGGAAGGGGGCCCAGTTTCGGGACATGAGGATCTCGATCTTTCCCGAAGGGCGGGAAACTGGGCACATTCCTCCAGTGCTGGACTGCAAATGTTGTCCTTGCAACCCCACAGATACTCGCAGTCGCCACTACACAACAGATTACCCTTGTACAGCTTCGTACTGTACCACTTTCGTTCAATTTTTTTTTTTATTTGTCTGTCAATTGACAACATCCAGTACCAAGCTCAATAATGCCAGATCCTCCATGGCCTAGATAGAGATCCGGCCATCTGGCCTTGTTATAAATCGTTTGTCAAAAGCGCTATGTACGTGGTAGCAGACCAGACCAGTAAATTCATTGAAAGAAGCACCTAATCATTGGGTAGCAACGGATTATGTATGACTGTAAGTGTGATTGGCAAAAATCCCACAGACTATTGCCTCAACATTTCTAAATCTTCATCCTAACAGCGGCTTCATCAGAGACTCCGTGTCGCTTGAAACCCTCGCCTCATAAGCGGCGTCGTCGTATGGTAGTGTTGACGCTTCGGTATCTGACCTGGCGTCGTTGCGGATGTCCGGCACGAATCCGAAATGACCGCGCTCACAAGAGTGACATGGCGAAGGGTCTCGATTGTAAATTGTGTAAGAATTCAATTCTGCACGGGAGCGCCGCCAGAACACCCTATCGTACAAACGACTGAGAGAGGCCTTCACCCGACTTCGGAGGGGCTTTCTCGGCTTATGAGAATTTGTAGCTCGTAATGGACGTTGCTTGAAGCTAAAAGCACACATTATGAAGTTCTGGAATAACGTTGCCTAGGGGAGAGAGCAGTACGACTCTATAACATCATTCCTTATATTTGAAGTGGATGCCCAGAATAGGGCACCTCAAGGGGCGGGTATGGAATGAGATGATAACAGACTCTAACAAAGAGGGGTCCCAATGTAGGGCTTTGTCCCTACAATAAGTCACCAATAATAACTTTGCGATAATTTCCGCATCCTCATCGCCGCCGCCGACTGAATGGTCTCTCGCTGCCACTCTTCCTGCCACATCATCTGAGCTTGATATTTTAAGGAGTCTAGCTTGTTTTCGTTCATGTGCGCTGTGAGGACAAGTATGAATCTGGTAGCATCTCGACGGATCGGCTGTAGAATGAACAAGGTTGAAGGCAGAGGGTACCCTACAATGGTAGGAATGCTTTGAGCGCGATGGCTCTCCTGTAGCATGATTCGCGCCTTTGAGCGATACATGACGGATCTTTTTGGTGCTGTTTTACTCATTCAGCTAGGTCAGACACCCCTAAAGAGGACTTACAATATCTTTGATCGCGTCTGTGATCGATGGTGGTTGTGTCCATCGATGAGTACAGATGTATTAAATCGTCTAGTTCTTCGGTCGCGAAGTACCACCACCAGCATTCTCATTGTACAACTCGGCATATCGACGAGTTAGCGCAATAGGTCAGTCCTTCATCTCCTTTGCTGCTCCTGTCGGTGTCGTCGCTTTATGGTCATTGTTGACGGGAACTCGTTGTCTAGTATGGGCCATCGTTGCTTTGTGATACGAAATGTTGATCCAGCCGTTGAGTCCGTTGAATATGAGAGACGTATTTGATGAATCTCATCGCAAGAGAATGTACCACGTTTAGCACAATCTATTCTTAGATCGATTTTGAACCGGTGTTGTGATGCGTCCTGCGAATAGGCATTTAGTCGGTCCTCAAGATCTAGAATCCAGTGTAGGCTGTAGTGGCAGTGAAGGTCGACGTACATCTAAACTGTATTGGCTGGTATGGTAATGAGCATGTTTTATATTGTCGGTATCGTCTCTGGAGGCGCAGCAATTTTCACTTCCTTATAGACTATGTGTTTTAATGGACGTTTATCCAAGTGTCTTATTTTAGGGATTCTTTCGGTGGGTTTCAATCCCATCGTCTTCTCTTCTATGCTCTAATATCACTGTTCTCTAGCTTGAAATCTTTGGCAATTAGTATTGGGTCCATTATTTCTTCTACATTACGAAAGCGGTCAGTGTCGTTAATAAATATGGAGACAGCATTGGCATTGGAGCGTATAAAGGAGCTACATTCCTGTGCATGACATGGGCGGCAGTGGCTACTATATTGCTTGCAACTTTGTCGTCGATGGCCTAATCCTATTCATACAAAACAGCAGCAAATTGAACAATCTATTCTAACCTGGAATTTCAAAAAGAAGTGAAGGGGAGGGAAATTAATACTCATGGAGCAACTGCTCTGGTCTGATATGTACTTTTCGTAGTAATGCAAATTTCAAATGCTTTGACAAGCTTAGTAACTGTGACCATTATCCTCTACGTTAGCACAGGGAGGCCTGACTTTACCATTCTCATCTTCTACAAATTTTACATAGAACGTCTTGCGTTGGCCGAAGAAGGGGAACCGGAGAACACATAAGCTGGTCCCCTCCGCTGGGTTCCCCTTTCCCGGACCCTTCTCTAATGAGTTTGCTAAGTTCCTAAAAAAGGTCCCTCGATTATGGATATTTCGATTTTAATCTCTGCTAGACAACAATTTCCCATCTCTCCTGTAGAAGTTGCCTTCGGCCCTGAAAGCTTTTTTAAAACCTCCTACCATACCTACTCAAAACAATGTATTTTCCTCTGAGTATTTATTCATTTCTTTATGTTTCCTGCTTGGCCCTAAGAAGCGTTGCGGCAGGTGTAATGTTGTCCCCCGAGACTGCAGATGTTGCTGGAGGAGGGGCACCGAGTGGTGGAATAGCGACCATGATTGCAACAAATACGATCAGGGAGCTGCAATTAGCCTTCTTTCTTGAAAACCTGGAGCACGCATTCTTTAATATGAGTCTCACGAACCTTGGGAAATTGGGTATAACGGGATACCCCAATGATACTATCCAAGTCGTTGAGAAAATCGTTGCGGTGAGTGAACCTTAGCACGGCTTTGGCGCCTCTACTCTAACTCTTAGACAGCAAGAAGAAGTCCACCTCGCTATCCTCACCAATCTTTTGGATGATATCTAAGTTGCGCCAACCCCACCTTGTAATTACTCTTTCCCTATCGCCTCGGCGGACGAATTGTTTGACCTCGCTCATCTAATAACGACTGTCGGTATAGGAGCCACCATTGGACTCATTGAACATCTCGCAATTATCGGTTCCCCGCTCGCGGGACCGTTATCGTCATTGCTCGCAGTTCAGTCACGACACAATGCGTTCTTCCGTTCCATTAGAGGAAACGTGCCAAACCCCACTCCGTTTGACACAGGGATCAGCGAAGTATGGGCATATAATCTCGCCCTGTCCTATGTTGTTCCCGGATCCTGCCCTGTTGAAATACCTTTGCCAATCCTACCAAAGCTAACAGTTGCGCAATCAACAAGTGTATCTATGAACACCACCGAAAGCCCAACGGAACTTGAATTTACATGGGATCCCACACAAGCACCGTTTGCCACTGAAGCGAACAAGCAATTGCTGATTGGGTGGGTAAACCAACTTAATGTCCCGATATATACTGCTGTCAATATTACAGAGTCGGGAAAGGGAACAGCTTGTGTGCCACAGGAGATGGACGGAATTGCTTTCGCGGCGTTAACGGCGCAGCTGCCTAATAACGTCCATGACCTAGCCCTTGCCACAGTGGCAGGCCCGGTGATTGTATCACTGCGCTAGGGAATCGAGATCAGGCGAGAGGCGTTAAGGAGCGGTGCAGTGTCCCCATGGAGATAAAAGGGCGTGGGTTAGATAGGGAAACGGGACTGCACTCTTGAAAACGCTAATGATGGTCGACGACACAAAGACTGGCCTCGGCTATGTTTCCTACAGCGAGTATAACCCCTATTACATAGGCTCGGCGCAATGTTATTACGGATCTGTTCAGCCAATCAAGATCTAAAATTCACAGCCTTCCGACTCGGGCCTGTGGGCCTGAATATTCGCGCGAAAAGGGGCAATTGCTCCGAGGCTTTCTTCTTGCAGAGTAACTCTTGGGCTGACCCTCTCTCACTTTACTATCTGGGAAACTCGAGTCGCTCCCACTGATACGTATAGAAACTGATGTGCGGCGGAGGCCCGGTAGACGAAAGTCAGCAATAGTTTTCCTGTGGAAGTTCATAGGCCATTTGGACAAATTTCCGGCGGGGAAATTGGGAATGTTATGTCAGAATGTATTCCGTGCCCACCTGGTATCAGCTCTGCCAAAGTTTTAGGACGTGAATCCTCTCAATTTGATGACTCCGCCAGTGAAAAGGCTCGTCGGGATCACCATGAGGCCACTGAAGAGGCCAAAAGTGCAAGTCATTGTCTCCCAGCCTGCCACTTTTTCCACCATGCCTGCCCAAAGCGGGCCTACCAGCAGTCCCCCAGAAACAAACACGAAATAGAAGGCGTGTGCCCGCGCAATCGCCCCCCTAGGACCAGAAATCCCAGGATGACTCCGTTCCCTTGCCTCTACTGCTAAGGTGATTTCCGCCATCAATGGCCCACACACAAAGGTCATTGCCGTGCTCAATAAACTCAGCAGGAAACATAACAAAATGGCCTGCCCAACATTGTCATCTTTAACCAGCCGCAATAATATATATGCCGGAACTGCAGCAAGAAATCCAACGCTAACAAGCCACTTAGGCCCAAATTTGTCGGTGAGTTTGCCTATACAGACCGCCAGTAGCGATGGGGCTACAACAGGGATGAATATAAGTCCAGCCCCCTGCGGACCCCAAGAGAACACCCGGTGGACAAACAGAGGCAAAACAGCGTCCAAGGAAGTAGTCAACGTGACTTGGACAAGGCTGGCCCACAGCGCAACTTGTAGCCTGATATCTCGGAGAATGATAATCCACGGCCTAATCCGTTGCCCCGTATGGCTAAGCTGTTGAGTCACAAGGGTGATATTTTCGCTTTGAAATGGATTTTCGAGACCGAACTCTTGATTTCTCGGAGAGAGGAGCTCCAGCCCAGGGACTTCCTGCCATAAAGGCGATGGGATAATACTGGGTGTACCATGGTCTCCATAGGCGAATGTCCAGTATCCTTGGCCTCGTGAGCTTGTCCGCTGAGTGGTAACGTCTCCTTCTATTATCGTCAACCGCCAGATTATATCCACTGAGAGGAGCACAAATGCTGGACCAAAAACTGAGTTGTAGCCACTGTGTTCAAACAACACTCCTCCCACAAGTGGAGACACGAACATGGCCAGGCTCATTCCAAGGCTGCAGAAGCCCATGGTCCTCCCGATTTCATCTTTTCCAACAGTATCTGATGCAAGGGTGAGCCCCGCTGTCCATGTGATGGCACTTGAAGCTCCCTGGAGGATTCGTCCGAGCGTTAAAATGGCGATAGACGAGCCGGTGCACAGTAGAACGGTAGCACTGGCCTGGGCGGCAAGGCCGATGACAAAAGTTGTCCGACGCAAGGAGAAATAGTCTGTCATGTAGCCCGCAATGGGACAAACAATTAGACTGGTTCCAGCGTAGCAGGCTAATAGTGCCGACGTCCAAGGTCCGACTTAAATAGTCAGAATTTTCACTTTCGCGTGAAGGTCGTGGACATACCATTACTCGGTGCTATTCCTGCCCGCTCGACTAATATAAAAGGGAATACAGGGACCACCTCATTAAAAGTCAATAATCTGAGCGCAGTTACCGTAGCTCTTTCTTACAATGCCATAGAGAAATGAGTCTGTAAAAATCGCTAGAGTGCATCCAGCGATAATGAACATCTTGGACGATCGAGTCCTTTTACACAAGGGAGGTCTCGGGATGCCCCTTTTGCCGGTACAGTTCGCGAGACCTATGACGAGCCCTTTTAGCATCTTATCGTAAAGTGACACAGAAGTCTAGGAACTGCAAGTGGTTTTGTGGTAAGATGTTATCAATTTGTCTTTGATGCATTATGGGCGGTATTTTCCAGGGTAATTATCTACTGCTGGTGGAGTCATGATCAAAACTATTCATTTCAATCTTTGCGGAATTGTCCAGTCCGATATAAACGACCAAATCAGAGAATGAGGTAAGCATATGAAGGTTTGGTATGTTTGCGTCTACTGCATCCGTATGTGCCGTTTCCTCCTGGACAGAGGAGGGAACCGTTCAAAAGGATTGTTCGCATTTAATCTCATGCTGGAGGGTAGACGTCGCCCTCACTCGCGTATCCAAAGCCTTCTTCCTTTCTTTGCATCACTTTCTCGAGTTCGCTTATGCCAGTTCTTAAAGCAACCTTCCGGGGTCCATATCAAATAATTGTTCGGGTTTCAACTAGTATTACCACATGGTGGTACGCTGTCGAACCCCCTGCAAATTTCAGTAAAGGTTTGATAAGGTATCAGACCATGTACCTTGATAGTGCCTATCGGCGAACCTCCTCCTCAAAAGCACCACCCCCACCCACCCGAACGCGGACGTTCGAAAAGACGCATTCGGCCAGCCAAGACTAAGGCCTGCGGATTTCCCAGGCGAGAACAATTTGATCTGTATCTGGTATACGCAGTCGTATCCAGGCCCAACCCATGCCTTAGTCTTGCTTTTGGAAATTATGGTATCGTTCTTGTGTTCCAAGAAAATAGCCGCACCACCTTTCGTGTCTAATGTATCCGTCAACTTTCCATAGCCATTGTCCAGGTTTACAGAAAGATCACATGCTGGGCCTGCGACAAACACTGAAATCGCGACTTGAGTCGTTCCGTAGAGGTTAAATAAAAAGTGATACTGTATGGAGAAGGGTGAGGGACCAAACACTGGAGATGTTGCCAACTTTTTACTGCCGTATGCGCATTCCGGTGGGTTGAGAGGAACAGGGTGTACTGAGTCAGGGTGTGCGGTGAAACTGTCTATCTTCGGAAACGTCGTGACGTTGGAGTCAGAATCCATCAGAGCAGTGGTCACGCCTGCGCCCAGTAGCTCGAAGAACTGCAGCATGGCCACCACAAGAGAGATGAAACGATAGGCTCTCTGCCAAAACATTGTCATTGAGCTTCAAGCGAGCTCTGGGGAGTTGAGAAAAAGTCAGAGAACAAGTTGGTCATGAACGATGCTTATATAGCTGTGGGTGTTCCAACCCACTTCGCATAGCAGTAGTGAGAAAATTGGGAAGACATTTTTACAAAGGCATTAATAATCACTCGAGTGTATCAAGCGCCCTTGAAGCTATCCATGCACAGGGTTGTTAGCCCCCAAACTCGCCAGTTCGTCCACGAGCGTTTGGACAATTTGGAGGTCTATCTTTCCTCTGAAAATCGCCCCTATTACTGGAACGAGCCGAGGCAGGCGTTCCCATAGCTGTGGCCTCTTAGACCTGACCGTATACGCCAAATACTCTACTTGTCGAAATTCCAAACGTTGGTACCTTGAAAGGTTAGTCTGAAGGGCCTGATATTAGGAAGCAGCAAGAACATACATCTCAGGCTTTATGAGAACTTGAGGGTCTTCCGGGCAAGGTATGTCTCGCATGGGGAGCATCACCCACATTGGATACTCGAGTCCGCAAACATCTTCAAACATTAGAAGCGGTTGGCCGTGGTAGTTGGCGGCTTGCAAGCGTTTTCGAAGAGGAGACGGCTTCTCGGGCTGGCGCCAAATGTCGATAAGTACGTCGTATGCCTTTGACTCTGCACCGCGACCCTTGACACTAAATGCTGCGTGAGGATGCTCAGGCTGTGCCGGAGGACTTCTTCCCTCGGCTCGCAGCATTCTTGAAAGCTTTTTTCTTTCCTTTTTGTTTTCTTTCAACTCGTCCCGAAAGCGAGAGACTAATGCCCTGAAATTGCTCGCAACAATCAATCCCGACAAGTCCTTCTGGAGACCCGCAACGAAGCGGTGAGTTTCGGCACAATCAAACACTTCCATAACAGCTGCAATGGTGGATGTCGTTTTTTCCGACGTAGAATGCACGTTTTGAGCTATTTTTGCAAAATCATGCAAAACGGTGCCACATCCAATTGCCGATGCAAGCTGATCCAGGTTGGCGTCCCGTAGAAATGGCCGCTGTTCTTGAATTGTGTTCATGTTATAGGTTGATAGCAGGGCTGGCGTCATTAAGGTTTCCGTCGATGTGGCATCCCTGCAAAATAAGCTCCAGGAGCTCTTTTCTGCCAATAACTCGCCAACAAGGAGACGGAGATATCGTAATCGAAGGCTCTCTAAATTTTCCACAATCCTTGAATAGCCTCTTATAAGCATCTCGGCCTCTAGTAAGAGCACAATGCCGGAGTTCTTGCCGTCATCCTTGACAGTCTATCCACTATTAGGGCAGTCGTTGGATGGGGGGAATGTACCTACCTTCTTATACCGAAACTCCCAGAGACTGTCACCTAGCTTTGCCGAAGAGAAGGAGTTCACAATATCGTCGTGTTGCTTATTGTCGTGAATGGTTATCATGCGATTCAAGCCATTCACGCTCAGCAAAAAACAGTGCTCCCCGTCGCGTATGGGGAACAGTATCATCGCGGTGGAAGCCTGGTTATTTTCGATGAAAGAGTGGAGAAGAAATTCCGAGGTCACTATGTGCACGTCATTTCGCCCTGTCGTCATTATGAGGAGGATTTCCTGAATGGCATTGTTGTTGAGTAATTTCCGTGGTCGGAATGAGTCCAATATGCTTTTAGCGTCGGGGGCATTGGTAACCTTCCATAGTAAACGCCACTCATGCCTGAGGGCGAGAGCGATGAGGTCTTCAATTTCTTGGTCAAAGATGACGGCCTTGGACTCAAAATTCATAGTACTGGTGGAACCTGTGGGTATTGGTGCCGTTAGGCACCAGCCGTACTGTTCAGCACATGTCTGCCCAGGTGGCAAACAACGTTCTGCTGTGTTCATATCGCCTTCTAAAACCAATAGAGGCTCTTCGAAACTAGTAGACAGAGGGATCGAGAAGTCATCTGCTGTTGTTCCAGACCCAGAAGCATCTGGTTGCAAGGCCTCTGCACTCCGGATTTGCCCTGCCCATCCGCTCGAAAAGTCATGGTGGCTGGGAAAACCATGGGTCAATATCTGAGGGTTGGGGCCGCCTTCCAACATGTCGGCGTCTATCCCTAGGGAGCTGGATGGGAAAAAGTACTCTGTGCCAAACGGATCAAACGGGCCGATTTCACTTGGCGTTTTGTCAGGGACGTTGGCGCTTGCTTGCTCACTCCCGCCCTCTCCTCTAACGCAATTTCCGCCAACCGGAAGTATTGGGGTGCCATATTCTGGATGGAGGTCTCCCGGGGACGTCAATCTTGACTCCGCACTCGTATCTGCCCAGTCGATGTGCTGCAGGGGACTGAAATAAACAGATATTTCCGTATATGCTGACTCTTCGTCTTCCATTGTTTCATGATCGGTGCCAACTTCCCTTCCGTGGAAACAAGCTGCTTCTATGTCGTGGAGGGAAATATCGGCGTGTATGGACATTCCAGGTTGAAATGGGCTATTGTCTAGCCTACTCGACGAGGATGGGCGATAGTTCTCCACAAGGTCGAGAGCGCATATCGTGTCTGTGCAACAACATCTGTATAGTGGTGGCGCTGACCAGAACCACTCATAGGAATTGACCGTCTCCGATATTTGCTCTCCTGTTTTCCAAGTAAAAAAATAAGCGTTCTCTTCGATTTTGATAACCTCTCCCGGGAACTGTGCAAAAATGTTAAAGTCGATCTCCCATCTGATTAGTTCAGACGGGGACATGACTAAGCTGGCGTGGCGAACGAATTGGCCGCAACGCGGGAGTTCCCGCGTCTCTTGCGCGACTAGGGCTTCCAACCTGGCTGCATGCTGCGGAGGAATAACTACCCAAATGGTAGGTTGTCCATACCATAAGATATTGATCGACTGAAGGTCTAAGGCCTTCTTATCCACACTTGTAAAAGATTCGCTGCTGCCTAGATATGCACAACATGAGTGCATGCGACTTCCATTGCCTTCACTCACTAGAGGTTTCCGATTGATAGTGAGTGAAGTTTCAGGAAGTCCTAACGTGGTTCGGTGTGGATTGTTGCGGATATTGCAAGTGACATACTGGGCGGTTTTCGTTCGTGACCCGGCATGCCGCGCCAAAGCACTTTCGAGGGCGGTGGCTAGGTCTGGCCACTCCGGTAATGTCCTGATCTGGGGGAACGATGTAGGCATCTGAAATGAGCTGTGAATTTCGTGGGTTTCCAGCCGATAAATACCCTCTTTCGCGTAGATTTGTTGAATATAGGCCGTATCAGGCAAGCTATGGTGAGTTTTCGGGTACCATTGGTAGGTACGATCTATTCGAGCCTTGCTGTAGCCTCGTCCGACTTCCCAAGGAATCCAGGTCGGAGAATCTGTAAGAATAAGCAGAGGCGATGCCATCTGATTGACCTTTCGTAGCACCGAGCAAGTGTATTACTCCGCAATGTCATTGAACAAAGAAAGTCGTGGTCGAGTGATCAATCGTCTCAGGAAAAATTTCAGGAGAAACCGTTCCTTCCACTGTCACAGAGGAAATATGACCACCCTCTTTCCATTATGACCCCTCGCTTGATTCATTTCCTCCTCGATGCTGAGGAGGAAACGTATCATTTCTCTTTCTATTTTCGACCTCTAATGTATATCGTTCCCACTTAAGCTTTCAGAAGTGCTTCATACCCGACAGGGGCCGTTAACCTCGGTGCGTTTAACAAGGATTAACGGAAAACATGATAGATCGGAGTAATAGAATAGTCAATGTCACCTGTTAACCCTTCCCTGGCGAAGTCAGCCAACCTGCGGAACCCATGATAGACCGTCTCCCTTGGCAAAATAGATTGACCAGATATCGTACAAGTACTTGGTCCGTCCAAAGCTCTATGCTCCAGACCCCAATCCTTCGAGCAATAGTAACGGGAACTATTCTGGCCTTGGCATTTCGAACCGTCCGAATGACAGGAACAGCCCTAGTTACTCACCGCGGACTTGACCACCTGCATTAAGCAGACGATTATTGCCAAGAGGTCCTATAAGGATTAACCTCCCACAGCTTGCCTCATGCTGAAGATTAATGGATTTGACGGGAAAAGAGGACAGAAAGTTTCAAGCGGAGTAGGCGGCTCCATAGTCGCTGAAGGTTGCCGATTTCAGGTATACGGGTTTGCATTGGTGCAAACATAGTCAATTACCGCTCTCTTCTTCCCTGTCACGCAACTAGAGCATGGAGTTAACACATAGGGGCCATTATTTCTTCAGCCTCCTGCAGTGATCATGTCACGGAGGAAAAGTCTCTACGCGATATGCAGACATCCCGAAACGGCGCCTATTAGCGCCGTGGGGACAGGTCGCCCTTACCAATCATTGCGAACGTACTCTAGCTACGGAACGCCCGGAATGGGGCTATAGGCACTTATCTAATAAGAGTACAGGGGATGAAGGTTCGAGGTACCGTGACCGCGGCATAACTACCAATCAATCCGCACCCTAGCTTTAACACCAACACTTCCCGAACAAATCAAGGGCTGATCTTATCTATAGCGTAACTCTACCAGGCTTCGCTATTCGTAGCCCGTTCTTTGATGGGGATTTATCAGGCTTACGTCCAGGGGAACCAGCAGATGGCGTGTTATTTACGCAATTAGGTGCCGATCACCCTCAACTGCCGATCACGCCTTTATCGTCTTATTTGGTGCATCCCCCAGTTTGGCCGCATATTCCGGACGACGCACCCTTGCGTCGCACATTGGCACCTCGGGGCAACAGGCGGAGCACTCTGGGCAATAGGCGGAGCACTCTGGGCAACAGGCGGAGACGGGCTCAGAGAAACGCGGCGGGAGATAGAACCGGCCAGCCCGTTCTCATAACTCCTGCCAAAAAAACTCTTAGGTCGCACATTAGCGATGAGAGTCCAGAATGCAACACTTGCCCCTGCCACGGTTCTTCGACCACCAATAGACCCGTTCAATGCCCACGTCTCCCGCTAGTTCATGCAGTTAGATTTGCAGGGGAACTCCCCCTCCTTCTGTCGTAGTTATGAATGAGCGAGGCACTTTAAGGAATGCAGAGATGTTCTTAAAAATATTTCATCAGCAACTGAGTACGCGCAATTCTGCAAACGCACCATCTTTCATTTTCTCAACCCTTAATGGTTGCCTGTAGCTCCCCTGGTGGGTGATACCTTAGGCGCGGGAAGTTCGGGGTAGTTGGTAGTGCACCGTGCGTTTAATCCGTTCCCCCGAACCTTACTTGAACCTTGCGAAGCGGCTTCTAGTCCCTCGAGCCCAAGTCCAGGTCGTAGTATTACGCGGTATAGGGGCGATCCCCAGCGAGGGACGCTCTAAATTTGCGTTGTCTGAGTCCCAGGATCGTTCTGTTGTCTCATACCTACGGTTATGTGGTGGTGAGACTATCGTGGTAGTAGCTTCAGTTGGTACCCTGTGGGTTCGGGAGGCGACTCAAATGACAATGAGCAATGTCCCGTTTTTCGCCGGAAATCACTATGGTTCCACGGCAAGGTATCCTGCATAAATGCGAAGGAAGGGCCCAATCAATCAGGACGGCTACAAGGTTAGTTATCTTGTTCAATGTCGAATAATAGTTCGACTTCGGAGGCGCTGATCGCTTTGTTGGATGACCAAAGAGTACGGACACTTCTCAGGAGACTTCCTTCTTCGACGAGACACTCAGCCTCTTCGAAGATAAAATAGATTTCAGACCCACATAGCAGGTTGACAACACAGCCATCAGATGATTATTCGTTCTTCTCAAGTCTCCGCATCATACAGGGACTTATTTTCGTTCCATATGGACCACGACCCTTGAAACTCGCGCCGAAGATAGTATCAACGTTTTATTTAGCTCAACTCTTGCCTAAATAGTTTCTAAGTCACTACCCTGGCACATTTTCCGGCCCCTTTTCTCATAAAACCTCTTTCTAAATTAGTCGGATATCATCATTTTATAGTATATAAACTGGCCTTGAACCCAATTGATTCAAATGATACATGTTTTACACAGTTAATTAACTTTATGATGATGGCTTCTCGTGGTCAAGGAAACGAACAACAGGGGGATAGATCTGCTGCGGTAAGGATTCCTCAACATCTCGGACTAATTTCTCTGACAGCAGCAGGCCGAAAACCCTGACGAGTCAGGCGGACATGCCGTGACCCTTACATCTACCTTAGTCGATATCAATGCCCTATTTTCGGCTTGGACACGTCTCCAAAATATTAACCACAACGTGGAAGTGTCTCAAAAGGAGTCACGCGAAATGGAAAGGTTTCTCTGGACAGGCGTCGACAATTTGTGGCATCAACTTGGTTCTTCGGAACGGAAATGCCAGGATTACTATCGTGCCTACACCGCCGCCGAAAAAGATCGGGCCGCCATAACCAACGAAATACAGACACTCACCGAACAGACCCAGTCTTTGCGAGAAGACTTGAGAGATGAGAGAAAACTGACGAATCTCGCAAACGTTAAGGCCAACGAACTGACTGCCATCTCCACCCACCTATCGGAGAGAAATATTCTTTTGGAACAAGAGCTTCAAGAGTGCCACCAAAAGATTCGAATATTGGAAGACACAGCCCTGAAAATGCAAGCCATGGAAAGGACGGACTTGTCTCCGAAGAAGATCACATATGGTCCTCTCGACAATAATCAGGACCGGTCATCCGAGGCGCGGCTTTTGAAACTCGAGGCTGAAATGGGAAAAATGGAGGCTGAACACAATAGCGTGGTGCGAGGATATAAAAAGTCATTAGCTGACCTCACCGAACAGCTTTCAATGGCGGAGAAGAAATTACTTATTTCTGAGAGGAAAGGAAACATAGTGGATGTGGGAGTCGAGTCGGTCAGACCCTCTGCTGTCGAAAGTTCTCCATTTTCATCTAGTTGTCGAGAAACTAGATCGAAGACAAAGAAGGCAAGCAAAAAAGGAAAGAAGTTGACTATTACAACGCAGAGCTAAATGTCGCTCTGTAGTCAAACGTGATTGAATAGAAGCATTTGTCGTGAGGGTTCGAAGGAAATTAATGTACGTTGTGCGCTGGTTACCTTGCTTCGAGCTACGAAGGTACGATATAGGAGGTACTTTGCGGAGATATTGTCGATTAGTTGAAGCGCGTAGGCATGTATAGAATTTGAAGCTATAATATCGGATTCAAACGCAGAAATATACTAGATTGAAAAACCATAGATAGGATACTTAGCATCGCCGTCGACATAGGTGTAAACTACTTTCAACCATAGTCCAAACTCAGAGCATCCTAATAAGCTAGTCCACGTGCCCATCAATCTTAATTTCTCACTTGGTTCTTGTAATCTCTTATCTGAAGATCCGATTTCGGCGTGACTAGAGCCCGTAGACCGATGCTCCGGATAATGATTTTTCCCATGTCCGCATTTAAACATCCCAGGATACTGAAACGCCTGAAAATTCGGGGCTATATGCAGCTCGTTAACCCAGCGTCAACTACTCTACCTTCCACACAATAAAGGGCTAGGATGCTTACTTAATCTAAAATACCCTAGGCTAGATATGCTGGAATTTCACATATAGCTTATCTCCCTTCGGTCCGGCGAGGAACCCGTCGTCAAGCCTCATGTCCCCATGCTCGTAAAGCGTACTGAAGAAATTCGTGTAGATCGCTGCGATAGCTTGTTTTATGCCTATCAGCCCGGTTAGCACTAATAGCATGCCAGCACTTTTGATATATCTTACAATAACCCGCAAAATACATGCCAATACACTTCCTGTCGCCATCACCGAATGACCACAGCCAGTGTTTCATCTCTGCGAGGTGATCTGGGTGGGATTCAATCCACCGTTCGGGTCTCCAGGCTTCGGGTTGAGGAAAGATATCTCTGTTACGGTGTAGTGTATATGGATAGTATTGAAACTTCACTTTGGGGGGAATGTCGTTATAACCTAAGAAGGAGCACGTTGAAGTGGTCACACGAGGCCTGGCACGTGGGACCACCGTCCAGACCCTGAGGGTCTCGAGAATAATGGCGTGTAAATATAGACAAGAGTCGACTTCTCTAGGCTCTGGTTGTCTCAAATCGAGCGCTCCTGAAGGGGGATATTCAAAGGGCGGATGTAGGCTCTTAAGTTCTTGACGTAACTTGTCCTGTATTTTTGGGTTACGGGACAACTCAAATAGAGCATATGTAAGAGTGTTCCCAGTAGTTTCGTGGGCACCTAAGTTATGGTCATACATCTCGCTGGCGATATCGAACTGAAAGGGATAAGCTGGTTGTTGCCTCGTAGAGTTGAGATTCATGATTTCTGGATGTATTCGTCGGAACGCGGTACGAAGCGCCGCGAAAATGACCGGGTGGTTCGCATTTACATCATTGACTCCTTTTGCACCCTTGTCCGATAGTAACGTCTCCGCTTTATCGCATAGGTCAAGATTCCATTTTTCGAGGTCAAGTAAAGCTTCACTTACTGACCTTGGTAGCAGGTTGATACCCAGTCGGGCGAAAAAGGCAAAAAGGCCAGGGAACTCGGTTAATAGGGAGAAAAAATGTCGGCACCTGAAATATCGATTAAAGTACCATCTTCTTTTTTGGGGGTGTTGAATAAATGTCGTTCCCAAAGATACGCCAAATTGGTACCTTGTAAAAGCATCCATGGCATATGCGCGATTAAGTTCACACATCTCAATGGATATATTTCTGAGAGAACTTTCTTCGATGTAAGGTAGAAGATGATTGTAAATGAGTTCTTTTGTTGATTCTCGGAGGTTGCCGGAGGTAAGGATTTTAGACTTATTGTAAACATTTTGAATCATTCGTTTTCGGTCGGTATGCTGTCTTCTATCTGTTATTGTAAACATATTCGGAGTTCTATTATGCTATCAGTGGTTGAAGTTACTTAAAAGTAGACTAGACGGACTCATGAGAAGTGAATTGTCGTGCAAATAGACCAGCCATAGGGAGTCCATCTGTATAGATTTGTTTAACCGCATCTCTGGAGGCCACACTAATCTCGTTGGGCCCCAATTGAATGATCGGGCCGTACTCTTGATGAAGTTTTAGAACACGTTCATTCTCTGAAACCCGCTGTGACCAACGAATGCAACAAATCCAAAGGGATGAAAGACGAGCAGACCAATGGCCTGCTGGGATCTCGGCTAACGGCGATAAAAATAAAGCGTAAACAAATTTTGTACATATTCCGGCGAGAATAACGAACAAAAGTGTCTCTGCCCACAGGACGGATAAAATATCTTTCGCCATCTTTTGAGTATTTTGAGTACATCCAATACAGAAGGAAATGGAAGATTTTTCTAAAGGTTATATACTTCGAGCCCCTAGCCTTGCGGCGATCTAGTGGAAAATACCCGGAGCTAAAAGGTCTATACCTTGTACACTCAAGACTAGGTGTTCAAAGATACCTCTCTCAATCTAGAGCTAAGGGCAGCAGTGGGTGACGCTTTTCCCCTCTAGCTACCAATCACCGATGAGTATATTTTTCGTCATAGTATTACCAATACAGTACGGTCCTTCGTAAAGACCCTAGCTAGTAAATCCTCGATGTATGATGCTGAATATAGGTAGAGATGGTTAACGCATTATCGTTACTTTTCCAACACAGCTGCTTTCTTCTGTTTATGCTACCAATCAATCTCAAAGTTTATTCTGCCTTCTCGGGAACCCAAGTTGGATTGTTAAAATCTGGCTCACATTTGATCAACTTAGGTGGTGCTGCTCTCCAGGTAATAAGGGCTGGCCTTTTCTGCTCAACTTCGGTAGTTTGAATAATATCGGAAACATAGCCGTGAGCATCCTTAACAAAGCGTGACTGCTCGTCATTGTAACCGATATTGACGCTGGGAATGACGGCGATTCGACCGTACCCGTAGGCCCATAAGTCTTTGCAAAATAGAGTTGGTTCGCCCATATAGCACTCCTTCTCGCGAGAAGACCGAAAGGCGACTTGACGAAGGAGTAACGGCTTAGCGGTAAATGCAACGGCCCCATTCCAACAGGCATACACTTGGAATGGAATTTTCGCCTCAAAGGCAGCTCGAGAAGCTGGATCATTCCAGAAAAGATTTCTAGCGAATTCCCAGCTACCACTTTGTGGAATCTCAAAGAATAAGTCTCCTGTCATACCGCGCGAAACCCATACGTCGTAGAATGAACTTCCTTCATTAATCCAGTCGAGTGCACACACCATATGTGCATCTTGAAGCACTCTTTGGTATACGAGTTCAAGAATGTCGTTCGCGCAGATAGCCACATCATTCAAGAAGATAACCGTTGAGTCGGGGGATTGAGCCTCGGGAGCAAGCATCAGAGGATCCAGGGCAAGATTTCTCAATTTTGCTAACTCCACAACACGGTCGTGGCCTTCCTTTAATGGATCGATATCGCTCGTGGTGAAGTAGTACTGCGATCCCATTTCCACAACTTTATTCCTTAGCTTAGTTAAAATCTCGGTAGTTCCGTCATCTGATCTTCCACCGACGATGGACAAAACACAGTTGCCTGGGCCGAGGAATTCCATCGTTTCAATAATTGAGCCGAGAAGCCTAGGGAGTACGTAGGAGCAATTGAAGAGATTGAGTGCAAAGAAGTATCGAGGTAAAATAGTGTCAGGTGTGTCTATAATGACGGTAGGTCCCCGAAGTCCCATGTAACGTTCTTCGCTGGGGCTCGAGCATGTTAACCTGTTAAAGGATATGTCTTTTGGGTCCATGATTGCGGTGATGTATACATCAGCCATATCCATTCTCAACTCGTTTAGACCTTGAATGCTGGGCAGAGCCAATAGTTCGTTAGCCACACCGGGAAGCGTTTGATGGCTAGATGTGCCTCGGTCGGTATTGAAAGAGGGCGTTCGTTGTTGCCCAATTGTAGATATTGGTTCGTAGGTAGAAATTCGAGAGATTGAGGTTGTAGAGGTGCTGAAGATAAAGTAGAGGACACAGATAATGAGGCATGAGAAATAGATTCGACCACTTCCTTGCTTGAATAATTGGGATACCATTATGATCTTGGCAGTAATCAGTTCACTATTCATAGCCTTATGAAATTTTTTAGCCGCAAGTTAATTTTGGAACGAGAAAGTAGAAATAAATAAACTCGAAGCCCATGGGTATTGCTCGTATGCCTCTACGAATATTGAGCGGTGCCTCCCTAAAATGGGCTTAGTAAACATTTTAGGCATCAATATGATTTATTACCGGAGTTATTACGAAGGACGTACAGTATCGGTAATACTATGATGAAATATACTCGTTGGTGATTCGCCCTTAATCGTAGAGTCGAGAAAGCGTGACCCGCTGCTATCCTTAGCTTTAGATCACTAAAGTTAAACGTGTATCCTCGGGGGAAGGGAGTCTGCGAGGGAAACAGTAATGCACTAGTACATTTCGGCCACTAGCGAGGAAGGAAATGGGTACACATCAAATTTCAAATTGGAAAGCACGGCTATATTTCCTTGTGCGCGAAGGAGGAAACAGCCCACACTAAAGTATGGTCATTTCCTCCTCAAGCTTAGGAGGAAACGGCGCACTTTAAACGAATCTCTCGGTTACGCTTATCCGGGTGTAGCAGCGCCTTTAAGTAATCTTATATTAGGCCTTGTCAACATAATTTTCTATATACAGATGAATGTCCTCTCTTTTAAACCTCAAAATACAATTTCTATACCATCGAATCATACAGCGGCGATCGTATTAATGGCACCAGTTACAACTGACACAGCTATCAGACGTCCAAGTGAATCTGACCACGGCGACCAATGGACGTACGGGATTTGCGACTGCTGTTCACCATTCAAGATCTGTAAGTGTTATATATAACTGACCTAAGTTCAGGGTTAACTAATTCAATAATAGGCTTGCTAGCAGTATTTTGTCCGAGTTGCTTATTTGGGAAAACATATTCCAGAGAGCATAAGGGTCGAGGATATAAAAGAATGGTATCTAACCCTATTTACCTATGCTATCTTGAAAAAGGTTCACCTTACTAACTTTATTAATCAGTGCTGCGCATTCAATGTCCTAACATGCTTTGGCAGTAATTGGATCCTACAGTGCATTAACCGGGGTAGTTTCCGGGCGGACCACGGAATCGAAGGAAATGCTACCGGTGACTGCTGTACATCACTCTGGTGTTATTCCTGTGCGTTAGCGCAACAAGAGAAGGAGTCTTGTGTTAGGACTGCTGGAATAGATCCTAAGACTAAGCAGCCTTATTCCTCCCCTGCGGGGATGTCCCAACTGTAAATATGGCTGGCCGAAACGGATTTGAGCGGAATGAGGAGAATAGAGAGATTCTTTATGTATTTGGAAATCTAGTAAAAGTGTCTGTTAAGTCTACGAGATAATACTGTTACTTTTTTTTAGGGAGGCGAATCGATGCCCGAAAACACCGCAATCTACAAAATTGTCGTGATCTTTCGATAACCTCAGCTCCTCAAAATATATCGCTGTGATTTCCTCAAGCGTTTGTCAGGTCCAGCCCTAACGCGACATAAAAGTTCCAGTGGTTCCATTTAATTCCTCCACCAGGCTGACAACCATCTCTTTTAGTTCGGCGTTCCAACGTTCTAGTTTTTTCACATTAATTTCAACCTCCACGCACAGTCTTGTTACTAATTAGCATGGGATTCGTCCACAAATTTCGATCCACGTTACCTTTCCCTCTCTTCCTCCCGCCTATGAGCATTCTGTTAGCTTTTGCCTAACTGTATCCGCTAAAACAAGTAGCTTACTCATTCCGGATATTCTCAAGTTCCCTCTCCAGTTTTTCCGTCTTCTCTTGAAGCCGTAAAAGGGTCTTTTCCAGCTCTCCTTCGCGGCTCGGAGATTCATTAACTATATCTCGCTCGGTAATAGGCTGTGCTTGCAGTATGAAATCTTCCGCCGCCTCTGTCGGGTAATTAGCCAGTTCTGTTCCGTAGTCTGCCCATTCCGTTGTTGGTAGGGGTGGTATGTCAAATGAATCAAACACGGCATCCGAGAGACGTTGCTCAGGCTTGTCGCATAGGAAATCATACGGATAGGTATCAAAATAGGCAAAGTCCTGATCTAGTACTTTGAACCCCTCGTTGGGATTAAACTGATCTGCTTGGCAGATATCCCTGTTCGACATGGTCATCATGTTGCATGGCTCCCGCACCCTGTTGGGTCCGACCGTGGCCTTTTAAGTATACAGTCAAGCTCCACAGCTCAGCAGAGGGTATAACAATAGCAACAAGCTACACGGTGGCTTAGAACATTCCTTGGATAGTGAGATGCAGACTGTTGCTTGGTGAACGGGCCCCATTTACAAACCGCCCCAGTACGTCTTAATTTTTATCATTCTGATGCTAATTAAGGGGGTATCGAAGGCCCAAATACTTGTCAGGAACCAAAATTGGGAACTGCAAGGGTTCCCAAAAATGGGACACCATTTATATCTTCTGCCTGTGGTAATCCACTAAATATCTTAACGCTAGCATAGCCCAAAGTGAGGCACTAGATCGGCAGCTGGCAAGTTTACGACTCTGGTAGGTGAGCATTTGGCCTTTATTTGACAGCCACTAACTTAAAGAAAATTAGGGTCAATATCTGCATGCATCTCATAGCAGAGAGGCTCGTTATCTTGGCCATCAGAGCTCACCCCATCTCCATTTGGGTCATTGAAAAACACGTGCTCTAATATACCATCACTCACCAGGCCTATATAGAACCACTTGATTCCCCTATGTTGCGAGAAGGATATCACATCGACCAAAGATTAGAAAGCCATTCATCAAAGCTCAGTGACCAATACTGATGGCTTCTCAACAGCAGAGTGGGATACCGGTGAGGTCCTTATTATTTAAACGGCGCATTCAGTCTAATTTAGCTAGGTAGTTCCTGTCAACCAGAGAAATGACAACATCGCTTGGGCCGATCACCTTCCCGCTAATCAACAACTCGTTGAGGTCGATCGGATGCTTTACAACATCTCTCACATGTTAGACACTGCTCGCAGTATTTTCTCCGGGTTCTCTGACTATGCCACAACACATAAGACTTACGAGAACGCCTACCATCAGGAACGGAAGACACGTATGGAGTGTGCTCGAGCGTACGGCGATCTCCATGACCAACACAATAGGGCGATTAGCGATCTCCACGGTATGCACAAAAAATACCAGTCGCTCCACGAACAACTTGAAACCACCCAAGAAGTCGTGCAGACCCTTGAGTCAGCCATCCAAAAGCAACAACCAGTAGTCAATGCCAATGACGCTATTATCAGCCAGTCAGACTGGGATAGGGTAGAATGGGCACTAGAAAGGGAACGACTCGAAGCCAAGATCGAAGAGCTTGAGAACGAGAAATCTGGGATGGAACGGGAACATCATAATGCATTAGCCAATGCAGCGGACCATATCCGTGCGGTCGTGCAGAGAGCTGATGAGCTCGAGAAGCTGCGTGAGACGTCTTCTGAGCAGGTTCAGGCATTGGCCGCTGAGTCAAACAACAACGATAATCACGAGACCGCAGCTGCCTCTAAACCAACGGGACAAAATAGCCGATCTCGAAAGCGGAAGGCGGTCTTGAAATAGGGAGGTGAAGCTATTTATATTCCTAGGTTGGGCAGGTCGGCGTAGGTTCAATTGTCGCTCTTGGTGTTATTCGGTTTAGTGAACGATGCCTCGCCGGATTATTAATAGAATACTCTTCTCTATTCTGGTTCTGTTCAGGCCGACCGTGAAAGTAGGGTATGGGAAATCGTTCAGTAAAGAATGGTAACACGAGGGGCTCTCGACGATGGACGCGGAAGCGACTTACTCTGCCTCCTTACCCGATCCGTCATCTACAGAAGACCGCAACAATATCGAACATCTCTAGTCTGAGCTCCCATATTGAAAGTTATACCAGTGCCTAAAAATCGGTTCATCCAAATTTAGCTCGTTGAAAGAGAGGCAAAAACAGGGTGACCAAAGACCATTTTCCCAGTAAGGACTATATTTATAGGGGTATATATGGGTGTGCTCGCTGGTACATCGAAGAAAGGGACTGGTATGAAAAGAGACACCGAGTCCGGAAGTCGATAGGTTTACCCTCCTCGGTGCTACTATAAAAACTCTAGCGTGCTGTTTCAAAAGTCGTTAAATTTTCAAACAATATGCTCAGACATAAAAGGACAAAGTTCCGCTTATTGCCTAGCAGCATTAGTGGGCCCCAGCCAGACCCTACCGATGTCGACAATCCAGTATGAATCGAGGAAGCTAACGAAATGCAGCAAGCCGCAAAAGAAAATACCTACATCTAGCCTCTCTTAGATGATACAACAGCGAACTTGGGAGAATGACAGCCGAGAAAAGAACTTATTTATCAACAAAGAAACATGGTGTAAGCATATATCTGTTGGAAGAGGTTAAACTCGTAGTTGAGTCGCTTCAAAACGCCTTGACAAACTTCCAACAATGTAATGAGAATATTGAAAGTGATGGTATAGGGATAAGAAGTTAGAGGTTAGATTGCCGCTTAACTTTCTTCACCACAAGTCTTTAATCCATCTAGCTGGGCTTCTACAGAATCTCATCAAAGTAACTTGTGTATAGGTTCTACCGCGAACGGAAAGTTTTCAATGTCGCCCCTGCTTATTTTAGAAACGATGGATGTGTCTCTGATAGATGACTGGAACCGCCGCCCGACTTTGATTTACTGGACCCATTCTTGAATGGGTCCTTGTCACCGCATCTTTTACATGCCCGCGTTTCGAGTTGCAGAACGCAAGCCTAAAAATCACATGTTTTGGCGCTCCGATGCGAAGATAACCCAGCCAGAAGAAATGTAGTCCAACCTTGTCCACTGCACAGCCTAAATGACCTAGTATCATCAAGCACAAAACAACCCAATCACGGGTAAGGTGAAGGATTTAATTGGCCGCGTCGTGTAGTGTAATTCGGCTACATTTGCCTTCACTGTGATCGGTGTGCAATTTTTGTGAGCTCGGGAGGAAATGATGCACATATAAAGCAACCATGCTAAGGCGGGATATGTATGTCAGAGCTGCTGCTGTATCACCTAATAGGGTCAGGCTCCTCAGTAACAGATCTTTAGTAAGTATGAATAGAGTGAGGGAAGTGCGAGGTATGAGTAGTCGTGTTACTGAGAACAGTATGCTGCAGTAGATAACATGAGTTGACTACGAAGGGAGTGTAAGTTATCTAGGGGTAGTGAGGGTACATATATTGTAACAGAGTACTTCAGGGCTCGGCATGCACGTGCAACAACGCACAGAGCCCTGTCCAGTAGGTCGGAAATTGAGAACGCGTTTCTGGTTGACGCTGACAGGGCAACACCATCACCAACACCACCCCCAGAGAGAGAGCGGCTAGGGCAGCAAGCGCCTAGCACGGCGACGGCATTGAGAAGTCGGAAGGGGCCGATGAAACACCCAGGAATAGGTAGACGACATCAATAGCATGGAATACTCTGTCAAACTGTAAAGAATGGCCTCGCCTACTTACTGGCTCCCTAGACGCTGCCTCTTTCCCGCACGCTGCCCAAGTTCTTCTGTCCTCTTCCTCTTTCGGTGGTTGGCCGTGCCCAAAGAAGCGTCCAGGCTTTGTGCCAATATTAGCTTTTGTAGTGAGTATGGCGAACCGCTAATGTTGCATGGCTCTGAGTGGCCTTGCTTGAGACATATGGCGAATTTATCCGAGACACTCAGCTCTATCCGCTTTCGAAAGTTGCCGTCTCCGTCAAGGAAGGAACTGTCCCCGAACCTGCCGGGAATTGGGCAGTCGTCCAGGTAAAACATGGCGGAGCAATCTGACAACCGACCGAGCAGAAGAGAAAATGCTAGATGGTTACGGCGCAAGGAGCATTGGATATGGCCAATGGCCACAAACCTACCGTCGATTTTCTCTGGGATTGATTCCAATTCGAAGTAAAACAGGGATGTAAGCATGCAGCTGGCGATGTTATCGATCGCTTCTGACAGCGATTCCTCAGCCTGAACCTTTGACTTTAGCTCGGACATCGTCGTCGCATCATCCAGCCTGGGCTCTCCTTGGTCGAATCCGACATCGAGACGGTGATACCTGGGGTTAGACCGGAAAGCCTGTCTGATGTTCTTGTCCCGCATTTTCTCCCAAAACAAACGGCACAGCCTTGGTAAAGCTTTCTGCTTCCACGTACGGCGTGTGCGAGTTGGGGACGTATTACTATCATCCTTCGGTGCACCAGTGCCTAGAGAAAGGACAAAATCTGGTTCTTCAGTTAGCGGGAACATTGAGGTTGCCTCAGAAAGAGCGGAAATGAGTGGATCATTCTCTAGTGGGCCAGCATCCTGAAATGTGCCCACTTCATGAATTTCTTTCGGCGGGAAGAAGCTGTCAGGACATTAGTACCTTCCATGCAAAAGAGAGGGACTCATACCCAGGCGCTGCAGATGCAGACCGTGCGCTATTCAAGTGTCAGTGCTCACTCAGACCGATTGATAAACACCTACATCTCCCAAACTGGCACTCTTCCAAAACCGTCTTTCGGTTTAATAACTTGACCTTTGACCTTGTTAGCTCTTACATGAGAAGTCCGTCATTGCACTCACCTGGATTTTGCTCCCGTGCTCCAACGCCGTTGTAGTTGGTGAATATACGGCAGGATGGCTTCTCGTGAACTGTCGCAACGGGCAAACCGATCCTCGTTCCTGTTGAAGTTGCATGCGAGTAGTCGAGAATACTTTCCTCTGTACCAAATGCCTCTTTTAAAGCTGCTTCAATATTTTTGGCCGCATAAAGGCCGTCAGTGAAATATGACACCAAGAGCTCTCGTAAACGGGAAAGAAAGGGGATCCCTAAACCTTTCCGGCGCCTAAAGGCCAGCTTTGCCAACCTTTCGAATGCGTCGGACGATTTTTCAATGGACCACCCGTTGTGAAACATGGCCAGGACGATCAGACCCCCTTAAACAATCAGTGTGCAGCTCTCTCATCGTCGGGAATCCACTGACCTGAACTCACTCCAAAAGCGAGCTTGAAGAACTGCTGAAAGGGAATGGGCAAACCGATCCGGTCTCGTATCCGCTTCATGAACTCGAGCGGCATGATGCCACGTATTCCTCCTCCGTCGATGCACAGAACGCTCGCTCCAGCAGTTGGAGGGTGCACTTTCACGGTCATCGCTTCGTGCGCCATCATCCTGCATAAAAAGCATTGGCGTACCTCAAAGTCCCAGGGATCGTCTGTGCTCTGGTCGCCAAAATTTATCACACAGGTCTGACATACACAGTGGCCGCAATACTGGTTATACTGTGGTCTGCGGCGTAAACAGGTGAAGCAGGTACTATCACTTCGGATATTCCGCCAGCGGTCCCGAAAACGCTCGAGGTTCTCTGTGTGTATCTCTGCAGAGGATTTCCCACCTCGCCGGCTAGATTGCTGGAAGTATCCGAGAAGATGCCTTTCGACTGAATTAATGAAACCGCTCCGTAGAATCACGTCGCTGGACTCTTCGAAGGCCATCACTCTAGACTCGCTCAACCGACAGAGGGTGTTCCTATATAATTCTCTGAAAACACTTACTGGGTCAAACACTAGGTGATCATTAAACGATTAATAACCTCGTACCGGGTGGAGAGGGAAATGGACTTACTGTGTGCGCCAGGAGGATAGCTGTCGAGAAGGAAGCTGGAAGCAATCATTGGAGCTCCGAACTCCATTAGGTCGATGGGCTTTCTAATGTGTTTGAGGAAGGTTGATAGGTGTTCTCCTAGGTCTGAAGCGACTGGGTTGTATGCCCTTGATGCTTTTATAAGATTTAAGGGTCGTTCCATCGTTTCCGCAAAGTGTGTACACGCATGCCTAAAAAGAGCACAAGAGTGAGTTGCGGAGAATAGATATCGCGTTTCTTCCCTAATCGCTCGCAATTGATCTGATGCGCTCATAAGACGCTCCTTTAGGGGCCTGTGGCGCGCGTTGATAGACATCGTACCGGCAGGGAAAAGCGCAACCACACTAATATCCGAAAATTGTTCAAACGGGTCCTTAGTCGTTTCCTCACTGAGCATCCACAAAAAAGCTTTTCGGGCCTCACTTTCGCTCCCGGTTCTTGGAGGTATTTTGTCGCTAACGATTATCACTCTTGGATATGCAGGCTTGAGCAGAGTCGATGAGATACCTTTCTCCAGCCATGCAGCTATATGGACAGCAATTTGTCGAAAGCCACCCAGATCAGTAGAGAAGAAGCAGAAGATGTCAATAAAGGGGAAAAGCAGACGAGTGTGGATGCTGACAGCAATATCACTTAGGGATGGGCTTGGCAGACTCGTCACCCATTTGATTGTATGTCTTGTTGTCTCATGGCACTTGTCTCCTATAGTAAACTTGACCTTTGTGCGGGAAGGGTCGATATCGGCGTCGACTAGGAAGATTGGTCTCTCGGTAAAAATTGTGGCGGGATCGAGATGGAGATGGATTCCACCGGCAGTTTGCTTGCTTCTGGACCTTCGCGTTCTCTTGATGCCAAAGAGCTCCCGGAGGGCGAGTGACTTTGCTGCGTTACCGATTAGCACAAAGAAACTAGGTTTTTGGATGTCGGGGTATTGGATATGTTTGGTGAGTGTGCGGAGCCTGTCCGATTCTAGAAGGACGACTTCCTTCCCTTGAACATAAAGGCCGAGCCAACCGCTATGGTCACAGGGCTTCATACTGGGGATTGTGGACTGAAGAAATGTGAAGAGCGTGAGAGAGCCCCTTGATGCGATTATATGTATCTCCATTTCCTCGATCTTACGGAGCCGAAATGGGGACCCTGTAGAGATCGGAAAATGGGACTCAGCCAAATGACCCAACCCGACCTTGCTTTTGGATAGGGCCTCGAATCGGGCTCCTGAGGACTACAAGTGGCCCCTCCGTAATCTAGCGCAAAGTCACCCCAACTTTCTTCGATTTGCAATTGACGAGTCGATAGGACTGCTCAAATTTCTTCATCAGAAGCACGTACGAGTTCTCGCAAGAAAACGATCCAGACATTGACCGGATAGACTCTCTCTCTGCTATGCTATCTCAATTGGCACCGAAACTGAGCATTTGGAAAATGCAGAAGTCGGCGAATCTCCCAACCTTTTCAGATCAAAGCTCCACCCATCGATATCTTATTCAAGGAAGTAGAATGCATATCTGCGTTCTCTGTGGCAAACCTCGATCCCGAAAGTACCAAATGAGCCACCCTTTGGTAGCGGGTCAAATCCCCGAACCTAGGATATGTTCGAGACCAGCCTGTACACGAGCTCAAAGTGTACGATGGGACGCCTCCCATTTTCGGCCTTTGGTCGTTGAGGTCCATCACTACTATCATATTGGGCCCGGTTTCGAAGCCAGGCCCGATCTAATCTCAACTGCTGAAATGCCCGGAGAGGGTTCTTTAACTGGCCGAGTTGAGGTAGCCGGGGACCCGAGTCACGGTACCTTTTCGCACAGGTACACACAAGGGCCGCTTTCTCCAATACGGGAGGAATCACCCCCACCTGTCAACAGGCTCACTAAACCTACCCTGTACTGTTACTAGTGTGCATGGCAGAGAGGTTCGATAGAGTCTTGCAATGTGGTCGCTTAGTATATTCGGCTCGGGATTCAATTGCTCAATGGGTCTCCATCCACAGGTTCGCATGGTCCGGGTGAGAAGAATGACGGAGGAGAGTTCGCTGGAAACAGCGGCCATTCAACAACGGATGCTTGATGTAATTAAAGTGTTCTTCGGTGCGTGTCAATAAATGACATGAGTTGGCTCCGCAGGAGTCTAATAACCTGATCTAACGGTGAATATGTTTATCACAGTGATGCATTTTGTTTAACTAAGCCTCGTGCTTGCTTATCAGCCTCAAGAAGCTGCCCAGAGCTGATTATGCCAAGCTGCATATAAACTAGAATAGGAGCCGGAGTAAAGAATGGTACGGAAACGAGCTACAGAGCATCTGGGTCTAACTAGTTCAATAGACCATTATCTTCACACTTTTTATGGGCTGGAAATCAGGGCAGTGCAACAACGTGAAATAAATGGCCATAGGGTACTCGTAACCGCATCACGTTTTCCAAGGTTTCCTATTCCTCAAGATACTCAGATCAAACGCCGGTGGGTCCGGAATGATAAATGCTTTTCTCCCAGTAGTTCTTTCAGGCTGATTTGCGTCCGGTCCTGGCTTGTCAGCCTTCGATTGCTTCCTCGTGCTGAGTGTTGAGACGCTTAACCTTGTCTTAGCCGCACCTACAGAGTCGGGGCGTTTCCCCGGAATGGAGTTCTCTATATCTAAAGGACCTTCGCGTATAGACTCGGGGTAAGCGAGCTCCGCAGCGGTTAGAAAAATAAATGTATGCCGAAGTTCGACTTACGATCTGATCCATACTTAGCCACGACAACACTCCCTCGTTCGATATGTACGAATAGTAGGATCGTTTCGCTCGATTATAAATGACCAACGCAAGCTCGATGTTATCCAGCTGGCCGTATTCGTAGCATTTGTGCTTGAGCCCTTTTAGCCGTCTTCTGAGTTTCTTGTTGTAAAGCTTAATTGACTCTCGAGCCATCGTAGCGTGCTATGACTGAGGACAACATCACGAGTGGACGGGAAAGAGGACAGCGGCTTTATACCGGCTAAATCTCTCCCTTGGTAAACGGTTCCCCGTTTCAGTCCCCCTTTGGCTTTATTTAGTAGCGGGTGCTAAAAATTAAACAGATAAAGCGCGTCAGCCTTAGATTTATCCTCTATAGACGTTTGCCGAACTTAAAACTGTCTCCATGGACATCACGCAGTGGTATGCCATAGGGCTTAGTGGGCTTGTTGGCCTTTATGTCGTTACTTTTGCACTCATCACAATTTCTAAGAAAATTATTCCCCGAGTGAAACTTCTGTTTCTCCTGGTTTTAGCCGGCCTCATGAAAATCGGTACCTATGCGAAGCGCCGATTTCTCCAGCATGTGTACTATCCTCAGACTCACAGATACTTGAGAGGATCGGAGAAGATAACACGCTTTGACCTCCTGGTGACGATCACTTTCTTAGTCGGGGTGGTCGTCTGCACCGTCATTCAGGTTCAGAATATCCCCGGCCTGAGACGACGTTCTGGACTGATTTCTATTATTAACATCATTCCCCTGTCATTGGGGGCTCATATGAACCTGCTCGCTAACGTCTGTGGAATTAGACTCGGTGCTTATGGACGCATTCACCGATGGCTCGGAAGAGTAGCGATCGTCGAAGGACTTATTCACACAGCCACAGCAGTATCCTTGAAGAGGCCGAATTGGCACATGCTCCCAGATATCGGAGGCCTCACGGTGAGTTTGTGTGTGAGCCCTCGGAAACGGCGACCGATGAGCTGAAAAGTTCTCCAGGCTACTATCAGCATAGTTTTGATGCTGCTTTCTTCACTTGCAAGGATCCGTCAGCGTTTCTACGAAGTCTTCCACAAGCTTCACCTGATATTTAGTACGACACTTATTGCCGCGTTGTTCATCCACGGCCAATCGAAGGACCTGTTGACACCGCCGACGGTCTATCTGTTGGCGGTGATATGTCTCCAGATATTGACGGGTGCACTGCGATTCGGACAAATCTTGTATCGAAATATCAAGTACGGAAAACCTCTCAACCGAGCTACCGTGCAAACGGTCACGTTCAAAAGGGACTCGGGAAGGGACATACCGGTCTCCGACGCCGTTCACGTGCACGTCAGATTGTCCAGACCGTGGCGGCCCCGAGCTGGACAATATGCATACCTCTGTATTCCGGGGCTGAGCCATACCTCATTTGCACAGTCGCATCCCTTCTATGTGGCCTGGTGGTACTATGACCACGGCCACGATCATGTAGTTTTTCTCATCGAAAGGAGAGAGGGATTTACAAAGAACCTGTTCCTACGCGCCAACGCCAGCAATGACCCTGGCCCGAATTCTGAGATGAGGGTACTGGTGGAGGGACCGTATGGAAAATCGTTGAACCTCGAATCTTACGCAACGGTGTTGTTGTTCGCCACCGGAATTGGGATCGCTGGTCAGATGCCCTATGTCACACAGCTTTTAGAAGGCTCCCAAACCGGCCAGGTCGAAACCCGAAGGATAGCCCTTTTCTGGGAAATGGCCTCCGAGTGTGAGTCGCTTAATCTCCTCTGCCATGTGAGAGGTTAACTAGCTTTTAGTGCATGCCGCCTGGGTGGCGGACATGATGAAGGTGTTGTTGGCCAAGGATACGAATCGGGTTTGTCAGAACTCTTCCTGAAGATAGTTGGACTCTAATCGGTTGTCTCAGGTCCTTGATATCAAACTTTTCGTTGTGGGGAGGTTTCTCTCCCCTCACACTCATAAAGGCGACATCGCTCAACTCGGCGAGCGCATAAAGGTCATCTACCAAGCCATGGACGTTGAAAATCTGATCCACTCGGAGGTCGGAGATCGACAGGGTCGCACCGTGGTCTCTTGTAAGTGGCGGACTCGTCCATTCTTCGCTCATTGCACTGACAGACATAGTGTGCACCGACGACGAAACGAGTGACACAATTCGCGGGATCGTTCGGGGTATGTTGGAACAGGATGTACATTTGGAAGAGCTTGATTTTCGTCCGGCATCGTCTCGAAAGGGAGAGATGGCGAGGGACATAACGGTCACAAGGTCGAAAAGGAAGGTATCTGGCATTTAAGATTTTGGGACCCGTGAGAGTTTGCTGAATTCATCATACCCACGGTCGATTGTTTTGCGATTTATGCACCCGACCATTGTACTCGCGTAGCTAATCCTGGAACACGTTCCTTACCCTTTCATCTCCTTGCTTTCGCAACGTACACAGTACACTGTATTCTCTTTGCTCATTTAAGAAACAGAGGCGGGCCTCTGACATGTGATATCATCGCCAACTTCTCCGGTAAACCCTGGGTTTTGTCGTCGATATTCTAATTTTGGACCCTGGACCCTGCCCCTCTGTGGATCCCCTAGGCAGAGGAAGGGATGTTCCGGGACGGCAGAGATGTGGTTAGGTTCAGACCCCACCCACAGACATGAATCGCAATGCAACGAGCATCGAAGGGCCCGGTACGCTAACTTCCAAGTCCCGCCACGCATTTCCAGCTATGGTTTACGTATAGTAATACAGATTGGGGGGTTTAAAAAGAGTGGATCTGCTTAAAGCTTTTCACAACTCGAAGCACCCGGAAGACCGGCACACCGAATTCAATGGTCTTTTTGTGAGGAATCGTGCAATATAGGACCCAATCTGCGGGCTGAACAGGGCCGAGCGGCTCAGCCCGAGCGTCAGTCAGCAATGCCAAGCCGGGACATCAAGATCCGACGCGCGGCCGCAAGAGAGGGGATCCATCGTAACATGTCCAAACCAAAGGCGACGCCCATTGCGGGCTTAGAATGAGTGGCGGGGTTGACAAGCACAGACACAGAGGATTTGACGAATGGAAGACCATTTCACGACGGAAATGGACGCAAGTTTGGAGTAGGGCGGCATACATAAGTAATGCGCGCGATGAAATTCCCAGATATCTATGTGAAATTAAGGTTCTAGCCGGGGCCCTGAGAAGCGTTCTGTCCCTGGCTTCGTGTTCCAACAGTGTCACTTTCAATCTCACTATGGCATTGTTGGAAGTTGATCAAGGCCTTTTGAAGTGACTCCACCACGAGCTTGACCTCTTCCATAAGATAGATACTTATGCCATGTTTTCTTTGTTGATAAACAAGCTCTCTCCTGAGCTGCTCATTCTCCCATGTTCGTTGTTCTATCATCTGGGAAAGACCTGGGGTCGGTATTTTCTTTGTGGCTTGCGGCACTTCCGTAGTTTCCTCCAGTCTCGTCGGGGGGCCGGGACTGTAGGGATCGACGGGATCCAGTTGCGGGGCACTAATGCTGCCGGGCAGCAGGCGGAATTTTGTGCGTTTATGTCTGAGCATACTGTATCGTTTCACGGCTGGGGTGATGGAAAATTCAAGGACTTCCTAAGTACGACCCGCCACTATCTTTATACCAGCAGCGAGGACAAGTTCCGTGTCCGTTATCTCTTTTGCGATTTATCGCTGACCTTCGCCTGTTGCTATTCCCTTATGGCTAGTCTCGTTGTGCTATTGGCCAGGAAGTTTTGGTCTCACTGACCGGGACCTGAACGGGACCCTTTCAGATCGGGCTGGGGACAGATTTTGGGCACCCATGTAACCTGGCAAAGTCCTCAAGTGAATAAGGCCATCAGTCGATCGGGGTGCGTAAGCTCCCGTCCCTTTTCAGAGCCTCTTGCCACCCTAGGCTCAACTCCTTGGCCTCCTGAGTATTGTCAATAGTGCCGCGCTTCTAACGTCTGGCTGAAACAGGCAAGGTCACTTAATATGTCGGTCGAACTTATTGGACAAATCCGTTGCTGACTGTCAAGCAGACTATGCACAGAAATTGAAACCAACGTTAAAAATTTGGAAAGCTGGAACGCAGAACTCAAGCAGATGGTCGTCAACCTAGTGGAGGAGAATGGAGGTACCGGACGATTAACGTCGTGATAGGGCTGGGATGCCAGCACCGTGTTCGTGTGGATTTTATCGAGCGTGTACGGAGTATTGTAGACCGGATCTGTGAAGAAAATAGACCAACTTCATTTCTCTACTCGTCCTCTGGGAATGGAGTAATCAAAAGCAAGGGCCATACGTTGCATCAATTATTGATCCGGAATCTACACATTAGGCTAGGCGAAAGATGCGGAAGCTTACAGCGCGGGCAGAGTCGCCACAGTGTCTCATGCGTCCAGCCTCGAAGACGTGAGAAAAGTGTAGAGCACCCCTCTGAACTCCAACATCTGCGGAGCCTAGCTGCACATGCCGTTGCCTAATCACTTACTCTAACACCTAACTCGTCTGGCTGAGTATCAGTAAATTGTCGCAAGGGAAGAAGGTCGATGGCACAGAAATACATCGACCTACGACGTCGCAGACTGATTGAATTACTGTTATGGAACAAGCGTAGCGTATGTGGCGAACCCTGACGGTCCTCTCCATGCTTGCAAGTCTTTGTTGATGTCATGACTAAGCCAATGCTAGATCCATCTGGTTGGGCTATAACCGGATTCACCAGGAGCATTGCCCCTGGTGCGCCAAGAAGCAAGCCAACATCTTTCGGCCTCCATTTGCTCTTGAAAGCATCTTCCAAGGGCGTTTTGTAATTGCAGAAGTGCTTCATGGATATGTTGGAGCAAATCTAGCGTCGAACACCACTCTTCTTGGTAGTATAGAATCCGTTGTTGCAGGTCAGAATTCTCGGTTGTGAGCTGGACAAGTGTTTCCAGGTGGTCCCTTCGCTGAAATTCCTCCACTCTTTGTATTAAAGATTCGATCGAGAAAGCTTCGTCCGGAGTGGAAGGCTCGGTCGGCTGCACCTCAGTTTCGTAGTCGGATTCCGTATCCATGCCTTGCTGGTCTGCTGTACTCTCCAAGCACCACGTACTATCAGACTGTATCATCACCACGAATAATGGGCAATGTCGTCGGTACACTCATTCCATGAACATTTCACTGTGCTATGTAGGTGTACGTAGTATGGGAACCAAAGGCGGGCCCCCTGGGTCTGAAAGTAGGGCTTCCTAGGATAGACATTGCAATATTTCAAACCCGTTTTTCAGGCACCCTAGGAGGACCCTCTTCCGGGCCTGTTTCAAAGAATCAAAGAATTCCAGTTTATATTAGATATATCTTCAAGATTCCATTTCTTAAATATTGTTTCCCGAAGACATTTTCGAAAATGAACATAGCTGATTCTAGCGAACATCATGCACGGCTTTCTCGCAATTACAGCACTCTCCATGTTTCTTGGAAACGTGCTCGCAAGAAATCTGCCGAGGCACTGGAACGTCAGTATCACCGAGCCAACCCCAATCCTGTCAGGAAATGCTTCGTCGCGTCATCCGGAAATCACTATCGAGATTCAGATAGGTGACCTGACCGGCTCGGGGGTCATCAACCTCACCCACGTGAAGGCATCACCCTCTTTCGCCAATTCATCCTCGACAATGCTCCCTACTGCACGCATAACCAGCTTCTGTCCTAACACCACGCTCTCTTTGCCTGAGGCCACTCCTCCTTTACCCAGCACCACTCGCGTTTGCCCTACTCCAACAGGAAATTCTGCGTCTAATCTGACGTATAACTTCACTGGAACTCTACAATCGGCGGTTCCTTTACTTACAACACCAATATCAGAAAACGCAAATCTCAGTGTTTCTGCCGGAGGAACCTTCCCCTCCAAACCAGATGTTACCTATCTTCTCGCAGTTATTTGTGCCATTTCTGAGGTGTGGTGTTGAACTTAGCGGTGACGCTTTCGTAGATGGACATTGAGCGAAGCGATGTGTTGTACACAGAACCGGAGTGGTTCTATCTGATTGATTGTGTCTTGTCCCCCTGTCTATTTACTTGGGAATAGCTGTCCCTGAACGAAAGTAGGGGCTCAAACTGTGTCATCAATCGCCAGAGGGAAAATGTACAATTAAATAATCGATCGGCTCGAAAATACACAACCTGAACTGACCTCCATTCAATTCTCAACGGACAAACCTTTCCCAATTCATTCTGTTGACAGGGTCGCGAGATCGCCACTATGGCAAACCGCCTAAGACGCTAGCGTCTCACCAACTGCGCCACTTGCCTCAACACCGTTGTTCTCGCCGTTCTGCGATAGCACGACGACGGAATAGGAGGTTTCAAGAATGGCCTTCGGATCATAGGCCAAAGTGTATATAAACAGGCAGAGTCTCCTTCGAGACTCAGCCTTTTAAGTTTTAGACCTAAAAATCTCGTGACCGTTCTTGTCCGTTCGAAGAAGAATCTCATTGGTCGATACCAGGTTTAAACAGGTTGAGACCCATCCGAGGTTGGATATTTTGCAAGGCATTTCGGAATCCTAGGATACCGAAAGGCATCAGTAGTTAATATGAAGCTTTCCGGTCCGCTCTCTCGGCTTCTCTATCAATAATCTTCTTCACTAGAGCGGCGCTCGGTTCAACTGCATATGTAACCATTCGCCTTGGTGCTGCCTACCCAGCCCGTAGTGAAGCCTGATAACTCGGACGTTCCATGCGAACAGTCAATCAGTAGACGCACGAGAAGAAAGTCCTGTGACTGTTGGGGGGACTCGTCCATTTGACTGACACCCTAGCTGAAAGCACTTAAACAAGACGGTAAACCGAGTTGGAACCAATACTTCACGTCGCTCAATGCTACGACTGGCCCGATTCTGGGACTCCCGTTTCCCCATGTTATCAGCTGTTGTGTATGGACGTGTTAGAAGTCCCAGAATGTGGGTCTCGTCAAGGGGTGCAGAATTGGGCCTTGAATATGAAATACATCAAGGTTGCAAGGCCGGCGCCAGGGGCTCCTCTTCGTCTGAGGTCCTACCTGAGAAATTTCAGGACTGTGATATTGAAGCCAGTATGCATTCGATATTCTTTCTCACTACGACGTTGCTTGGCCGAGCTTTTGCCCATTCATGGAATGAACAGCTAACGGTAGTTGAAAATGGGTTCTTCATTGGGAATAATGGTTACCCTCGTGGCTACGTCTCGCGCTCTGATCCGGGTTTTAACGATGATATGATGACATATCTTTTGCCACCGTTAGCTTCGGGAAGAACCAGAGTGGATGACTCCGATCTTGTATGCGCACCCACCCAAAGAAGTGCCAATCAAACGAACGGTTACCCCCGCTTAAGCGCATCACCCGGAGTCTATATCGCCATGAAATACCTCGAAAACGGCCACGTCACCCTCCCCCAAATCCAACCTGGCAAGCCGCAAGGAGCCGGGATAGTCTTCGTCTTCGGCACTAGCCAGCCAACGGACAACGACCTGCTGACGGAGGTTCTTCAATGGACAACGAACGGCGCAGGGGGTGATCGGCGAGGTAGACTACTCACAGCTCAGAACTTTGACGACGGCCGGTGTTATCAAATCAACGACGGCGACGTCTCCGTGGCTCGCCAGGAGGAATACCCTAATCTAACTCCTGGCCAACCTAGATCCGTCAACGAGCAGTGGTGTGAAACTGATGTCCTCATACCGACTGACGTACCGATTGGTCCTTTATACACCTTATATTGGGTGTGGCAGTGGCCAACAGAGCCCGGAACTCCAGGGCTCCCTGATGGTAAAGACGAGTACTACACGAGCTGCTCCGACCTTGACATAGTCGGGGGACCTTTCCAAGGGACGGACTCCAACCCATTGCCTCAGCAGGATCCTCAAATTGCCGCTGTGCCCAACTTCGAGTCTCGCACTGCATTCAACACTGACCCATTTGCACGGACATAGGAATTAATTGAATAGTTATTAGAATCTATTGCTTTACACTCAATCCATACCGGCTACCTTAACGTGCTGTCTATACTAGGCTACATCACCCTCCCTTATTTCTCAAGAACTATCTAAGTACTGTCAACTTATAGTACGTATCATCCACTATATGTTCTGCCTTGCCCGGCAGAGGGGATATCAGGGTATAGTCAGTAAATATTCCTCCCCCTTCTCGTCCTCTGTCGTCTCATCCGTGTTCAAGCTTGTGATTTAGCGGCCGTCCTTGTTGGATGCGGTCAATGACGGTCCGTACATGAAAGAATCCTTGACCCTTTCAGATTAACGTCATTTTGCACAATCTATAAAGGAGAAGCTTAATGTCAAAAGCCGTCTGAACATCTTGACGCAGCCGAAACTTTCCATCAACCCTGGAACGAACAAGACTCCTTCTAAAGGAAGTATTCGACCAGTTTCGATTCTGTAACACCTATTCTTTAATTTTCTTCAAAATTGCTGGCGATATCTCCCCCATCGGATTCCGGTGATGGCGCAGCAGATCGAGTGAAGTAAGGCTCCTTGGGCCTGCGAACGTGCACTATCGTCGTATTCTCCCTTCTCAGGCACGGACATCCTGGTGCGATTTCCACAATGCGGCTTGGGAAATCCTCCTCTTCCTCGAATAGGTACCTCCGTGAACTCCTATATTGCCCCAGTCCGAATCTGAATAAACAAAACATGTTCGGATATTGTTGTTGTCTCAGATTAGACGAGAGATGTTCCTCTTCAGCAGCGTTATTAAAAGAGCGATGGAGAAGTGACTAGAAACTAGGGTACGCAAATAGTGTGCGAGTAGCCAGGTTGAGGTAATTCGTCGTTCACTGCACTTATGTCATGGAGGGTAAGGGGTCCGAATATGGTCTATTGCTACAGTCATCGAGGACCCCAAATTCAAGATCCAGGACCCAGAACTTGGACCCCTTGGAGGAGTCCTAAACGGGGTCCAAAATCATGTCTCCATTTACCCGTTCAGGATATCTTTATGAGCTCGTAGGTCGTACATAAGTCATGCAAAGATCCGAACTCAATACCTACGATAAATGAAGTCATAGTTGAGCAACCCTACCGTTCGTCCACGTATCGAAGTCCAAAAGAGCGTGAGAAGTCTATACCGATATAAGCCATAAAAGTTCAATCACCCATTCGCACTTTCGCTTGAATAGGGATCTATCTAACGCGCACAAATTCATAGGCTTTCTGCACCCCTTATTGGCGAGATCAAGTCAGGCCCTAATTTACAAGCGACGATGCATCGAGAGCCAGTCGAACCGCAGGAGGAACCACGGGATAAGATCTTTGAAGACCAACTCCCACCTTCAGACTATCTCTCTCGGCAAATAGAACTTGACGCCAAGGGGCGATCTATAGTGGTTACTTGGTTCGTCCGACTTCGCAAATACTGCAACTTTAGTGAGGATACGTTACATAAAACTGTCAACACTTTCGATCGCTTTATGGCTTTAAACCCAACCAGGCATGGAGATATTCCCCGTATCGCGGCTGGAGCACTGGCTGCTACACTAGGGGCTAATGGCTGTTCTTGGATGAATGTTCAGGATACTATCGGCCTTTTTCACCATTCCCAGGTCACGGAAACTAAAAAGACCATTCTTGAGCAACTTGGCGGCAGTTTATTTCCAGCAACCCCAATGCAGTTCCTCGACGAGGTCAACCAAGTCGATGGCAGCGAGGAAGCCCCAAAAGTCTTGGCCAAGTACCTTCTGGAAGCGATGCTATATGACAAACGATTTATAGGTAAACTACCGAGCCTCATGGCTGCTGCTTCGTATTGTCTCGCACGTGAGGTATTAGGCAAAGGTCCCTGGGTAAGTAAGCTCTATCCACAGTCTAATGCTATTCTAATAGGACTTAGTCATCCCAGCATGTCCAATCAGTACAGTATACCAGGTCGGCCCTTGAGGAGCCTATTACAACTCTGCTGGAAATCTGCCAGAACCCAAAAGAGCATCATCCGAAAACCATGAAAATGTTTAATGAACAGCATGCGGCATTATTCGCGGAAATGGAAAAGGGCTTACAAAAACTCAAACCAAGTAGCAGTACCACGGTACAGTCACCCACAAGGACGTTCGGTGTACCGTCGTCTAAATGCTCTTCCTAACGCACGGAGTTGATTTCTTTGGAGTTCCTAATTGCCGTTACTTCTGTGGTCAAGGTTGCTTAGACTTTACAACGAGGGTTCTAGCGTCGATATATCAAACGTGCTACACTCATTTACTCTGATAATATAGCAAGAACATGTAGCCCAGAGCTCTTTTTTTTTTGTGGAGGGGGTTGGTCGTTGAATAGAGCCTTGAAGTTAAAAGAGGAGCCTCAGCAGAGCTTTTGGAATGTTGAGTTTAATTCTACAACGAGGCAGCCCTAGCATACGCGACAGGTGACTCCTTTTTGGGTCCGTTGATCACCTTACTATATTTATACCATCGGCCATGTAACAAAGTGTTAGAGCTGCTGCTGTATCACCTAACTGGGTTAGGCTCCTCAGTAAGAGATCCTTGATTAGTATGAACTGGGCTAGGCAACGCAAGGTATGAGTACTCGTTGTTACTGGGAACAGTATAGTTCAACAGGTAACATGAAATTGGTTACAAAGAGAGTGTCAGCTATCTGGGGGAAAATGAGCGTAGCTATATAGTTGTGAGGTACTTCCTGAACAGGAAGTCTTGGATGGTATGTTGATATGTTGATATGTAGCATACCACCATATCAACATAGCGTACATTCCCCTTTTTTGTCATCATGTGACCCAGCCTTGTTTGGTCCTATGTCTTGCTAGGCTGCCACATCCGGCAGACCTTCCCTGAAGCATCCCGCTCCCAGGTCGCATGAAAGGCTGTTTCTAACACCAAGCTCTACAGTAAGATACAGTTACGAGATTTTGATAGCTCTGGGGTCGTCTATCCTATGGTCTTGCAATAATTCGGGTCATTTCACTTCAAATTAGAAGCAACGCTGAGCATAGGTACAACTTCATTCGCTACAGCTTGTAACATGAACCTTACAACTTGGAAATCTTATTCCGCAGTGCTAATCTTAATCTGTCTCTTCTGCTCCTTTCCGGACCCCATGCGTTAGCTTTTTCCCTTAGCTCTCTTTGAAGTACGGTTTGGGTGCAATACTTAAGATAACTTTAACTACGCTTTACCTCTGATGCCGTGAACCCGAAAACGGGCCCCTCAAGGAGGCCCTAAAACAGGCCTTTAATGGGATCCGGGACGTCCCAGTTCTGAGCGTTCCCTGAAATGGGCCTCTAGAAAGTCGGAGGGCTCCCTGTCCCTCCTCCTCGAGTCGGGATAATGTTGGTAAGTATAAAAAAGGCATGCGACAGTCAGCTCAGGTAAAAGAAAGATTCAGTCCGACACTCAAGAAAATAATCTTCGTCATGAGCTCCGATACTAGAGGAGATATTGACTCAGCCCTTTCAGTTCTCGATGGTTGGAAGCCTAATGACACGCACAAACGAACAGGCGAGGCAACTCTAGGGGTGGGTGGTCTCTTCACCCCTAGAGCAAGTGAAGAGCCAGACGCTTCCAGGACTGAAGGTGACCAGACAAGAGATGAGGAGGCACGCCGAGCTGCAAACAATGATGTCGGTGATTTCTCTACCTCAAGACGTCCGCACCCAGATGAGGTAAATGATGACGTGATTGAAGATGTGCTAAAATGTGGTGATCATGAGCATCGCAAAATCTTGGGAATCAAAGACCAATATGAAAATGCCTACGAGGAAGAGACAGCTATCCTCGATGCAGTTAACGAACGTGGAAATCAAGCTAACCCTAAGTTTAGCACACACAAAGATGCTGCAAAGGCCTTCGAGAGTAAGTGAACACCACAGTTCCGGTACCTTCTGTGCTCCTGTCCTGACCTCATTTGTTAGAGATCTTAGCTGCGGGTCGAGCACTGGGCGTTGGTGATGAACAAATTGAAGAAGTCAGGGAGTGGGACGGCGATGAGGAGGACAACAACAAAGGAATGGATGGAGTTGAAATGGAGTCTCCCGCTCCACACAAACTCATCATTAAGATCTGGCAGCAAGCCACACCCGCCCTCGCCCAGCTGCAGAAAAATCCCGCATCTAAGGCGGCAGCCAAACATCTGGATGAACTAAATGATCAGATTAGGAAACAAAATGAGAAAGACGAAATTGCGCCAGATCAATGGGTCATCAATTATGCAGAGCTTGCTGAAGCATATCAGAATGCTAGGCCAGCCATTAAGCGCCTCATCAAGAACCCAGAAGATCAAGGTGCGAAAACGGAACTTGAAGGGCATCATAATGTCTTAAAAGAAGTTATTGACCGCCGTCGGTATTTGGACTGGAACATCAACTTGGACTTATTCAAACCCTTACAAAGACAAGGTACCGCACAACCTGCTCAACCTACAACAGGTCAACCTGCACCTGCTGCTCAACCTGCACCTGCTGCTCAACCTGCACCTGCTCAACCTGCACCTGCTGCTCAACCTACACCTGCTCAACCTGCACCTGCTGCTCAACCTGCACCTGCTGCTCAACCTGCACCGGCTCAGACGTCAATTCCTCCACAGCCATTTTCTACCACGCAAGAACTTCCAGAGGCCGTGAAAAAGGTTCAATCAGAGGTCTTGGAACTCTGGTTGAAGATGGACTGGAGCACATATAAGACGAGTGATGGAGATACTATTTTGTCCTACAAAGCTCTTTCAAGAGAGGGAAAAGATCCCTACGGGTATGAATTCACAGTGATGACCCAGGAGAGTCCTTACTTCATGGTCAAAACCGGCTCCGAAATTGGCAGCGAAAACAGGAACAGTTATCTTGGCCTACCGAATCCATACCAGAGGAAAACTGATCCAGGCGACCCAGAGACGCCGGTGTACACTTACAGGGACAAGGATAATTATGTACGCTTGTTATTCACTGCCACCAAACCACGAAAACAAACCGCGGTGGGGGGGAAGCCCAGAACCGGGGATACGCAATGTGCTGTTCTGTGGAAAGACGGCAAAGTTTCGGAAATGGCTAGAGCCCACTTCAGGAAAGTAACGACCGAAGACGAAAAGAAGGCAATTGAGAGATGTTGCAAGGCCATTAGCATTCCGCCACCATGGGATATAGACCCTAAGGGCATCTTCGTGCCGACAGGTACCGATCTGGGGCGGGATCTTTTACACGGGGGGCGTACAGGTTCACTGATTAACCTCAAGTCTTCTCCCACAAGCACAGCATCCCACGATGCCGCCCTTCAGGGAGTGGTGACTAGTCTGCAAAGTTCCATGGTGTCACTTCAAGCAAGCCTACAAGCGATGGATTCCAAAGTTGAGAGAAACTTGACGGCGATGGATTCCAAAGTCGAGAGAAACTTGACAGCAATGCAAGAGCAAATCAAAAACCAACAAACCCTTCAAGGGCAAATGCAAGTTCAAATGCAGCAACAAATGCAGCAACAAATGGAAATGCAGGCTAAATTGTTGCAATTCCTGAATCAGTTCAACCCATCACCCCAAAACTCATCCTCTACAACATAATTGGATTCAATGGCAGCCCGGATGTTTACTTTGCCACTGATTTTGGAGTTGGTACGGCTTGCGATGAGACACCATTCTAGTTGTTGTTCTGTAATCGTTCCATTCGATTTTGATGGCGCTGAGAATCGGCAGGTTCCGATGGGTGGTTCATAGGAGTTGTTTGGGTGCAAACTTTTATTATTATCGTAGCTGTCAGTACTTAAACGGAGCCAAGTTCGCCAATTAACGATGAGTGATAAGTCAGGGTCATTGCCGCCGAGAACGTGGAAGTGACACGCAGTCGTGATTCCATTGATAGATTCGCACATCACAGAGGCGTCCGGAGACCGTTGGCATCGATGAACCGCCTCCGGTGAAGATGCTGAGGACGCAGGAAGGATGCTAAAACGATCCTCGGCATCCTTCCTCTCGAGTGTGTGCCTTTGGTGGTGTGTGAACAGGTGACCCTCAATTTTCGACATAATCTCCGAGCATTCCTGCAACCGACATGCCCTAACTCTTGTCCATCTTCTCAAATCCATAGTGTCACCCAGTATCCCGCCAACTTCGGAGCAGGCGCTAAGTGCGGTCCGTCTTTGCTTCAATTAGAAGCTCTCTCGCTTCCTTTTCGCTCCCCTTAGTGTCGATAGGCGTGTCGCTTGTAGTGTGGACTTCTCGATAGCTTGTAGAATGGCCGTCTGGAAGATGCTGTCGCCGGTGGCGCTGACAGATTCGGTAGAGACCAATGATGTCTGTAATTGAAAGATATGCTCTACTCCGGTCGGACACGGTCAAGTCTTGACGGCTCTGACCGAGCGCAAATCCAAGAGTTCAATAAGACTAGGGACTCCAACACATTTTGGTGGAATGTCACGGCTGGATTTGGTCTCACTCCTCTTGGCTGTTCGCCCCTTTTGCATCGTCGGGATGCTGGTCAACAATTGTCTTAGAGGCGCTTGAACAAGTTGAACCAGAGCCATCAACCCCCTTTCCAGATGAAGGTGATTGGCTTCGCAAGTGCTTGAATGCCAGGTCACGATGGCTATTAGAGTGAACCTGGTCATCATGACCGTATCCCTCCTTATAATTGCGATAGTGTTGCTCATCGGGGCCACGGAGCTGCAACGAGTATCGTGATAACCTCTTCCACAGAGTACGTCTTCTCGGAGCGGGTCCAACGCGTTGGGTTGTGGACATTGCTCTAAGACTGCCCAGTGCCGACAAATTGAGTGGAGGATTGCGCTGCTAAAGTTCAGCATCAGCTCGTGGATTACGCAGATTATGTGCAATTCATAAACATTATACACTCACCTCGTCGTTACTGTCGTCGCTGAGGACAATCACTGTTCGCCCGGCAGCGGGGTATTTCACTAGATCCTCGGTTTCAGGAGGATTCTCGCACTCGCTTTCATCGATTTCATGTTCTGGGACGAGGCGAGATTAGCCAATAGACACAACCTTCGATACCAGCACATCATACGTACCAGCGGCATGGGCGCGGAGGGTCATAGGATTCATTGTCCTGGTAATTCTTAGTTAATCTAGCCCGGTATATACAATGGTGCTGGCCTCCGCGGAGGAGTGAAGAAACATGAAGATGAAGATGAAAAGAAAAGGAAAGACAGAGAGCACTGGAATTGGATACACCTCAAGTTCAGTTCCTGCTCACTCGAACAAACTCCACCTGTTAGCCGGATGCAAGGCAAACTGCAACAAGCGCTGTCGTGGCCAACGTTGCGATCCTTGACCAAAGCAGTGAGGCAATTTTTGTGATGTGGCTGTAGGGAAGACTTAGCTTCTTCAGGAGATGGGATGGGGAGGATGTTGGCTTGCCCGGCAATACCGCAGGAACTAACCATCTGAGAGACTCCTCTAGATGGCTGTTGATCGCTGCGACACTTCCCGTTTGCGTTGTGTGACGCGAACGAAGATCATGGGGTCGGGGTGTCCCTTTCCGGTCATCGTTGAATGCTGGCTACCATGTCGGAGGTTAGAAATCCTGTGAGACATAGGAGACACATGAAGTCTGGACAATTCAAGTCCAGGCTATGCACTGAAGCCGCTTAGGTATGACCTCCTGAGCACAATATGACAACTGATACTCTGTCCTTCAGGTAATCGGCCCCTCAAGCTTGGGCTGGCTCATTCGCTTACCCGGCGGTTAGGCTCCGGGGCTGCTTCGATAGGGGGATAGTGATGAGGGATGCTGAGGCGAGGAGGAGGAGGAGGAGGAGGAGGAGGAGGTGACACCGCTTACGACTGTAGCTCAGGCGTGTCCACAATCCGCAACATTCTCGACCCCCCTTGAAGTAGCTCGCTGTGGGCTGGAAGGGTCGGAGAGCTTTTGGAAGGGGCGCAGCTTTCTTTCTTTTGCCCGTCCTCAGAGGCTCGTGGGTGAGGTGGAAGATAGCATATGTCACGCCTCGGCGAGCATTGTGGCGCTGCAGGTTTGAAAGTCACCTGGGCATTCGCAGTAGCCGCGAGCTCCTGGCCCCTTGTCGGAAGGAGCGATTTGTTATGTTGACAGTAGCAGTATCTAGAGTCTGCCTTGCTGCATCAGCGATGTCTGCCACGGGCTGATACTGCGACAGGGATGAGTGACAGCATCGGGATCAGCAAATCATGATTCCAGGGTGCCTGGTTTCCAGGGAATAACGGAGGATGGGGGGACGGAGGTCTCGACTCCCGGTTGGGAATATTTAGGCATCCTTCTCGCAGGGTTTCCTTCTTTTGTATAATCATGAGCATTCTCTGCTTCGCCTTGATCGAGTAGGCACCTTCGTGCTCTCTTCAGGCCCCTGAAAATCTCACTTTGGAGCCCTTGTCCTTGCAAAATGGAGAGAGCCGAACCCCTGTGCATTGTACCATCACCGGTCATTGCCATGCCTGCGAAAAGTTTGGTCCCGCTCAGAGATGATCTTTCACAAAGCGTTTCGGTATCCCAGGATGCCGAAAAATTCTCAGCATTGTATTAAATCTGCCTCATGTGCTCTCTTTGCTGGTCCTCCTATCTGCACACTTCTTCGCCAAAGCAGCGTTCGTTTGACAATTCGCATTTTCACTCCACTATTCACTTGGCTCGTTGAAGGTTTGCACGCATGCGTTGAGGCGAACAGTATGAGCAAATATATGGACGAGGGCAACGGATCATCCAGCGATTCGGAGAAAATTCTTGGGAAAAAGGCAAAGAAGGGGCGGCTGAGCTTGTCGGCACATTCTCAAAAAAAACTCAAAAAGCCACCAACAAATGAGTGAGGGTAAAGTGGTGGAAGCCAGGTGTGCGTAACTATTTGCAATTGCTTATTAACAATGCCTGTGGAGGAAACAATTAGAAGGAAACAAAGAAGCAAAACTAACGACCAGATGGCGTCAACGGCTTAAAGTTAGTCCGCGCCGTCTCTCCATAAGATACCAACTGGCCTGAAACCAGATAACCACGACGTGATCCTGCTCGTCAATAGACCGATCCCCATGGGGAGCATTACACCCTCTCACTTTCCATCATCCAGCTTTCGCACAGTGAGCAACTTCTCCTGCGCCGTACTACCGATCGGTTCAAAATTACTCTAAGTAAAGAAGTCACGTCGGTGGGACTAATGTGACCCTACCGTGGAAGCCGCTTCGCCAGCTCCTTGTCGTGGGGCGTTTTTATCTTCTCAAGAAGCCAGTTGTTGTATAGTAGAGTCAGGGCGGATGTGGCCCCAAGGTACAACGCAATGATGATGATGTTAACTTTAGCCGTCACTGACCAGTACCCATCCTGAGCTGTATAAACATTGATGAGCATTGTGGCCAGGCCGACAACTGAATGGGAAACCCCTGGTCTGTGATAACATTAAGTTTAGCTCTGCGTGGCTGTGGGTACACTTACAAGAATATCCGCCCCACTAGCCAGATATAATTTCGACGCCATCTCCGCCACAGACAGTAAGAGCCAATGACTCCCACGAGATAACAAACACCAGCCAGGGGCAGGAGTGGTATATTCTGGACGGCGCCTTGCACTGCTTGGCCACTCTTGCTCTCACCCAGGGTGTCAGAATTTTTCAAGGAAGTAAACGTACCAGGGAGAAAAATGAAGCCTGCAAGGGTGATCCAGGAGAAAACTGCAGCAAGAAGGTTATCCCGTTTCGGAGCTTCGATGGCCTGGAGCGACATTACCATATACGGCGTTTGCATGGTAGGTGCCTGGTAAGTCCTACACGCCTCACTTTGTGGGTGTAGTTCGGGTGTCGAAGAATCCTTGGATCTGCTGCTCATGGCTTGCGTAGGTAAACTGGTGAGTTACGATCCACGTGAGAGTTCCATGATGTCTTTGTTCGCTGTTAAAGACTGATGGTCCCATTCTAAGCTAATGTGCCCGCATGGGGGTGAACGAGAGGAGACCAAAATTTGGCCTTGAAGGGAGGGGCCCCGTTTTTGGGCCCGGAACCGGAACTTCAAAATCACGAGAGCCCACTTCCTGATAGCACTCTGGGTTTGGCAGGCACCTCTGAAGATTCTTTGCACCCATCTCTACCTAAAAAGTCAGTCGAAAATGTTGGTATTTACTGGACGACAACCCCATGAATCGCAGATTTGCGCGAAACTCCCTTTCAAAATCCCAGTGAATGCAAGTAGGGGTCAGAAAGGGTCAAAGGGACTCCAAGGGAAGAAGTTCAACGTCCCAAAGGATCTTCAAGGTTCTGTAGAGGAGCTCAAACTAGCTAAGGAACGGCATCAGCTGAAGAGAGCCAGGGAGCGTGACCAGCTTCAGAGAGGTTCGCCGTCAAACTGGGAATTTTTACAAGCCTTAGATGCAAAGGAATGTGTGTTGGAAATCCAGACAATGATACTAGGAAAACTGGCGACCGAAGAAAATAAGCTGAAAGGTTTGGCAGATGATTGTAAGACGCAGCTGAATCCGGAGCAATTTTCCGGGCGAATACAAGATGTGGTGGAAGCAATATCAATGCTGAAATATTAAGAGCAGCTACCTATTTGCCGGCACATCCAGCGTGCATCCGGAAAAGGATAATATGGTCTTCAGTCTCGTATCGAGAGAGCGGTTTAAAGGTCGGGCAGACAGGCGCTCGCTACCGCAGGAAGCGCCAGGTAAACAGTCGGGGGATGGTCGTTTTGAGCCCCGCTGAAACATTCCTCAATTGAGAGCTGACGGCCCTCGAAATCAAATGGTTGATATCCTTTAAACCTTTCCAGATATTGTCTTACCTTTGTCTCAGTATCGCCGTACTGGACGTTTTGTTGTATAATTTTCCAGGCATTGTTGTCCCAGATGGAAATGTTAATAGGTTTGGCGTTGAATTTGAGAATTTCCTGCCCCACATGAATGCGCTTGGCGATCTTGTGAGGTAACTCTTCCTCGGAATCATTATGGTCTTCTAATTGGCGGATAAGTTCTGCAGGGTTACCATTCCACACCACAAGCGCTGTATTCAAGTCCTGTGAACGTGCTGCCTCAATAATGTCAGTAGCAGCAGTTGTCCTGAGCCGCTTCCCACGATCTGTGGTGATAAATAAAGCTTCGGACGGCAACTGGAGAGCTTCTGTCATCGAGGTAATATTTGTGGAATCGGCTTCATGAACACGGAACCGGCCTTGACCGGTGGGAACGAGAACCGCGAATGTCCGATTTGTGGTTCGCACCCGTTTTCGGAAAAGAATTCGCCTAGCCTCCTGGATAGATATCGTCGTTTCTTCCTCCCGATGCTGTTCATGTATTATGAAAGGAGTCGTTGATGGCTGATGGTCTGGGAGGTATTCGATGGTGTGGTCGAATGATAGAGAGGAAGCAGCAGAACCCGCCTCATCAACATCTTCCATATCTTTGTCCGCAATCTGGATTCGCTCTTGGGCTACGCCTCCTGCATCGTAGGGCATGACAGAGTTTTCGGTGTTATAGGGCACAAGAGAGTTTTCCAAATTCGAAGCAACGTCAGAACTTCCTCCATTTTCGATTCGTAACTTGGCTGGACCGGGTTGGCCCAGAGCGTAAATAGACCTATTTTTCGGGATTCTACTGCCCCTATTTGGAACAACCGAATGCCCTCGGTTTTCTTGTCTAGCACGTCTAGGGGGACGTTGAATTTCCGGAGGCCTCGAAGGCCCGAGTGGTCCGGCAGGGCCGGGAGGACCTTGAACTCCCGGAGGCCCAGAAGGACCAGGTGGTCCAGCAGGGCCAGCAGGGCCAGCAGGGCCAGCAGGGCCAGCAGGGCCAGCAGGGCCAGCAGGGCCAGCAGGGCCAGGAGGGCCAGCAGGGCCAGCAGGGCCTTGAGTCCCTGAAGGCCCTGAAGGACCAGGTGGCCCTGCAGGCCCAACTGGTCCAGGAGGACCCTGACTTCCTAAATTTGGAGGAGCGCCTGAAGAGGCTGTCGCGTTGAGAGGGGCGTTGGTATGTGCGTTATTCGGTGTCCCGCGCCCTTGTTGATCTCCCGAATGACCTTCACTTGGAGGAGGTGCACCGGAAGGTGAGGTCGGATTCTCCTCCCTATCGCCGAAAAAGCTGCGAAAGCAGTCACGCGTGATAGCAAAAGATGTGAGGAATCGCTTAGTAGTAGTATCGTACGAAGTCGAATAGATATGGTCAAAAAACATGTTTCCCTCATCATCTAATAAAACGGAAGTGCGCGGCCGGCCACATCTGTCTGATATGTCTGGTCTGCAGTTATTATCATCTGAAGTCAGGACTGGAGCCGTCGTGATTGTTTCGAGACGCGGAATATCACTGAGAAGGCTTTGCATCAGTCTAGCCTTCCGTTGAATTAAATCTTGATCAACTTGATAATAGTTTGAAGGTCGGAGTTGTCGGATCCATCCCTCAAAAGAACTGATTTCGGCTGCTTTGTAGTCACGAAATATTTGGCGGATGTGCCTATATCCGCTTTTTTCGGCGAGTAGCGACAGATCCACCCACCATTGAGGTTCTGATCCTGCTTCCCACGTGGATTTCTTTCTAGCATCCACCCGTGGAGCTTGCCCGTCCATGACTGGAAAGCGGCGGAGAGCGAAGAGCCAAAGCTGACGATATGCAATCCAAGAAGCCTCAGATGCTGATGATACTTGCCGGTCTTCGAAAGCAAATTCGCTTGTCTGCACTTTGATGTTCGACTCACCATTGTGTAAAGAAGCAAATCGCTGACGCAGGGAACCTTTGCACCTGCCCCGGAACAATTTTTTCAATATCCTAGCTCCGGGCTCGAGGAACTTGGTATCTTCAAGAAAGGTGTAGGTCGACACAATCATGTGCTTCATTGAGCAGATTCGGTCGAAGATCCGTGACCGAAGATTTTCCTCCTTAATCGCAGGAAAAATTTCTCCTGAAATCATTCGTGTTTGAATGAAGGCACGGTCCTCGTACGAGAGGCCTGGGCAGCGGCCTTGGAGATGATAAACGGTCCCGGGGTCCATGAGAAGCCTGTCAGTTTCACTTTCCCCGACAATAAAGGCCCATGTCTTCTCAACCTGGCGTACGCAGTGTGTGATCTCCTGTGACGTCGTTAGTGCGTTCGGCGATGGCACGGATTAACACCGACCTCGGGGCAATGTAGGTTTGAGAGACGAGAGAAAGTCCCAATTCTCAGCGCAGGCCACAGCCCGGCGAAGGGAATCAGTGCATCAAGGCTGTCTAAGAATTCTTGAGGCAAGGCTTCTAAACGTCTGACATAGTCTTGCTTGCTGGCCGTCAACCTAGAAAGCCATTTCTTCCGTTGCACCTCATCGTCACGCAGAGTTGAGATGCGAATCTGCCTGAGAATATCTCCGTCGTAGAATCTCGCGCTATTCGGGTCATATTCACGAAGAGTGTTCTTTGCTTCTAGACTAAGATCTGTATACATTAGTGTAGGAACAACAAGATCCACAGACCAGCCTCACCGTCAGAATATACGTTAGCCGACCACCATCTTTCGTTGCCGGTGAAGAATTCACGGGCGGCCTCAATGCGATGTCTTCCGTGCAAGTATACAAGTGTATTACTTGGTTCCAGTAGTTGTAAGTCGTCTCCTGTTCTCATAGGTCCATTGGGTAGAGCGGACCGAGACATTAGTACTGGCACGTAGTTATCAGACTGGCGCCGCAAACACCCTTCATTGTGAAATACGTTAACCAACCTTGCGATGTTCTTCTTGTCAAGCTGTCGCGGGTTGTCCGGAAGATGCTCATGTTGAAGTTTGGCTAGTGGTATCTTGAACGATCCGCAGAATGCACGGCTTTTTTCTCGGAATATCCGCAGGTCTTTCGCTGTCAGAGTCTCCATGATTCAGAACATCCAATTCTTTGCATGAGCTGGTGCAAAGTCTGGAGGTCTCTGGTTTTTAAGACTCTTGGTACTCTGGTGGCATTCGAAGGATCTATCCTTGCAGACTGTTGGGGGGACCCAAAATCGGGAACCAGGTGATCGATTTCGTCCCCGTCCAAATAAGGGAACACATGAAGGGCTAAATAGTTTGCTTTTGCAGGAAAAGCTAAACAACAGCATTTACAGCGTACTACACCTTCTAGTGGCAATATACACTTAAAATGGCATTTACAAAAAGTTGGCGTGACACAATTTTTCCGGGAAGCACTCCGGACTCCGCTATAGAAGAAATCATTTCGGCGCCTGGACAGGTCGACGTTCTGGAAAATTACGCCTCTGGTGATAGTTCAGAAAACAGGGACCATCCCTTACTTGGCTCAGGGGTTCCACAAAAGCGACTACTAACGGAGAAGGCTGGCCCTTCCACAGCTGCCTCACCCTATGATGATCCAAACGAGGCTTCAGTCTTCAAGAGAAAGAGAAGAGAGCATCAAGTCCACATCCCTCCTCGAACGAACTATCATGAATTCATGGACCTTGACCAGGCCGGCACTGCCACGATGGCTTGTGAATATGACAGATCGGCCAATATAGTCGCGATCAAGAGACTGAGAGGTATTGATGCAAGTTCGACGCAGCTAGGAAGACCGTTCGTGAGCGACACTGTGGTCAGCATTATTAACATGTACTTTGATGGTGATCTTCTAACGATCATTTATGAGCCCATGGACATATCACTACGCAAAGTTACCAGTATTTTGAAAAGCCCTCTGAAGCACTTCCACATCGCGGCAATCTGCAAGGAGGTAGGTGCTGGCGGTCCCCATATCAATTCGTCTTTACTTACCAGAGTATAGCTCGTAGCAGGTCTCTCTTACATCCATGACAATCTCTCCCACTATCACGGTGACCTTAGCTGTGGTACGATAATGCTCAACCTTGACGGATCAGTTAAGATTGGTAAGTCAAAGTTCAGCTCTTCGCCACCGCAACTAATGGCCATAGCCAATATCGGAGAATCTTTTGCACGAAACCGAATTATTACTGCAGAAACCAGACAACATGACATCCGTACTATTGGCTTTGTCATGATGGAATTGATGGAGCCTACAACATATATACTAGATCCTCAATCGGCGGGACTGCAGAATCCTGGGAAATGGAAGGAAGGCTGGGGGATTAAAGATTTCCTCAGAGCCACCCAACATCAATCGCTGGAGGGTTTGAAAAATGTGAGTCTAGACCTTCAAAGAAGATCAGCAAATTCGACTAACTGAAACTAAGCATGACTTTCTCCCGAAGGAAAGGATCTCACCATGTCTGAGACCTCATATATTTTGTGCACTGCGGGTAGCGGGGACGAACTGGGATATTCTATCTCTTCCGTAACACGGACTTCAAGTTAAATTAATGTGCACACCTAGGTCTCGCGTAGTTCCCCCAAATTGAGTTGCTAAGTTGTAGAGTCCCTCTTATCAGACTTTCTGCCAATTACATAGAAACTAGCGAGACGCCATTAATAACGTTTATATCGTTAAAGTCGTAAGAAAAGTCACTCACATTACGAGAGAATTAGAAAAGGTCTCGAACTAGGACTTGGGAAATTAGAACTAATAATGGGGACCTAAGGATAATTGGGGAGGGCAGGCACTGTGACTCCAAATCCGGAGCTTGAACTCGGAGAGGTCAGGGCAAACGAATCACTAACCAACGAACTGCATAACAGACAGGACACCTGGGTTGATCCCGGGCGGTTTTGGTCATAGTATCAGGGAAGATGAAGGGACCCTTCCTGTGTATCCTGGAGGCTATGCTTCTGGCTGTGCAGCCAGGTGCACTTCTTCTTTGAAAGAGTTGGCGTTTCTCTTACTGTGTGCGAAAGGGACAATTTCTGGGCCCCTTAAATGATGTGCTAGGGACGCATTCTTGCCCCCCTTCTTGGTTGTCTTAATAGTGAATTACGGGAGACCAAAATAGGGGGCGCGAAGGGAGAGATGCCTTTTTCGGCCTGGAACTTCCAAAATCTCAATTCCCTTTCTCAGAGATCGCTCAGCGTTTGACCGGGTTGTCGCATATTTAAGCCAATAGCCCTTTCATAATCGGCGTCAGTGCAAGTAGCGGACCAGAAAGGCCTCGTGAACTTCACAAGGGGAAGATTCATATTACACTGTGCCGTCACGTGATTTCGCTGAACTTGGCTCTTCCACGGGTCCAAGTTGCACTGGATCTGCGAAATCCTTCAGACCAGTTCAGGTCCTTCCCGGCTAGTTCAGGTCTCCTCTAACCAGTTCCTACCTTCGGCTGTAATGGTCTCCGTAACAGTCTTTGTAACAGCCCGCCTGGGTGTTGCAGCAGCAGCCCTTGCCCAGTACAAACCATCCCGGATTCTAATGTTATGTATACGTGAAGGGTTCCCCGATTTTAATACTTTACCCGATACAGACAGAACAGGAACGCAAGAGCTCTTTAATGACCCAGAATACAACACCATGGGTGCCGTTTTCTGGGTCTTACGGCCTAATTCTATGGCGGGTCTCCCCATTTAAGCAGGGTTAGAAATAGAGCCCCTTAACATTACATAATATAATTCTATTTATTTTTATACTATATAAGTATATAATTTATCCACTCAGTCTGGCTGATTGTACAACCCCTACCGTCTAATACTGTTTAAATCAACCAGAGCAAGAAACGTGAAGAAAATGACATCTCTAAGTTCTCTTATCTCCGAAGAAGACGAGTATACTGATGAAAATTTTGAACATCTTACACAAAAAGAGACCAAGATGGTTCCGAACCCACAGTATATGACTCTACAACCCAAACTTAACTGGGGGATGCGAACAACAGTAGTAGAGTGGTTGATTGTGGTTTGGAACTACTTAAACTTCAACCATCAGGTCTTATACCTAACAGTTAATATCATGGACCGCTTTTTGTCCTTGGAGCAGGTTGAGCCTAACCAACTGCCGCTCATCGCAACAGCCTCACTGGTTTTAGCGGTCAAATATGAACATCACTATCCTCACCATTCAACGCGGCAGATCATCGAAATTATTAACCTTGAGCCGACTCCAGCAGTACTTAGGGCCGAGTCATATATCTTTCGACGATTAGGCTATGACCTTAACTGGCCAGGTCCGAGTATCTTCCTACACAGGATTAACAAAATCAACATTGAAGATACAAATTTAATTGTCCTAGGTCATTATCTCCTCGAAATAACGTTAAGAGACGAACGATTTGTAAGCAGCTTACCCAGTTTTACTGCTACTGTGGCATATTGTCTTGCACGTGAGATGTTAGGAGAATGGTTATGGGTAAGTAAACCTTCCAAGTAAGGATCAAGTTCTAAAGAGACTAGACACCTCAACATGTCCAATCGTCGGGCTATACCGGAGCGGAATTAGAACCATTTGTCCAAATATTACGAGAAACGTGCCAAAGCCCTTATTCTGAAACCGTCAAGAGATTCAGTCAAAGGCATGCAGTATTATATGCGAAAGTTGAAAAGAGATTGCAATGGCTAAAAGAATTCAACTCTGAGGAAGGAGAATTATGAGAATTACATTACATTTCAGAAGAGTCCATAGTCCGCATAAGAATAAAATTACTATGTTCATACAAAAAAGCAGTCGTAGAGTATATGGCCGTGTACTAAAAACTCATGGAGCAAATCGTCGTAAAGCAGATGGTCGTGTACTAAAAACTCATGGAGCAAATCGTCGTGTAGCAAAAACTCATGGAGCAAACCGTCGTGTAGCAAAAACTCATGGAGCAAACCGTTATGGAGCAAAAACTCATGGAGCAACTCGTCGTGAAGCAACTCGTCGTGAAGCAACTCGTCGTGAAGCAACTCGTCGTGAAGCAACTCGTCGTGAAGCAACTCGTCGTGAAGCAGAACGTCATGGAGTAAATTGTCGTAGAGCAGAGCGTCATGAAGCAATTTGTCGTGCGACAAACTCGGGTATACTCCGGGTCTTTCTACTATTGGGTGGTCCCGGACGCTTAACCTTCCGTAAATGGACCTCAATAAGGGCTTGCCGAGCTGGTCCACGCAAAGGTTCCTCATTTCTGGACCTCCCAGGACTCCATTCTGGGCCCGTTGACAGGCTTTGGAGTCTGGACTAGTTTTGGGGATGATACCAGTCGTGACGACGATGACATGATTTTCGCGGCCTGAGTTCAGTCCCTACTGTTACACACAGAACAGTTGTGGATCTATCTGCTTGATTGTGTTCTGTCCCCCTGGCTATTCAGAGAGACTCTGCCTGTTTATAATCGACATCCCGGCGTGGTGAAACGCCCCGCGTGGTGAAATGAACACCAGGTACTTCCCGCATTCATCCAGTCCTGTGCGCCACCCATAACCCTAGTCATCCAGTGGAATACTCTCAGATGCTACGGACTCATTGTTTTATCGTAATTGACATTCTTCCCATAAAATACTTACACCTAACCTTTCGCATACCAGTTTTCTCCGGCCCTTCAAGAGGGACGGAAAACCGTGCCATCTGCACAGAGGCCTCAACTCTAGCTATTCTATCTTTCTGAGATGATAGATATCGAATATTAGGCTGTATATAACGTATAACGAATTATCACCCGCTAATTCTTGCTGTCCTCGGTCTGTGTTGCTGTTTTGCGTCTTCGCGCATCCCCTGCCAGGTACTTCGAGCCGGATCAATAAACAGCCGAAGACCGACCCGTGGATGGCGGCGTGGAAATGACAGGTAATATGACAGCCACAGTTTCAACATCAGCCACCGCCACTCGACTAGCACCCCTGCCGCCTTGACCCTTAGCGGGAATCCACACGTGATATCTAACATGATCACATTTTCTACATCCAGCTGCCTAAGCGCCCACCGGCTGAAGGCTGAAATGCTCGAGGCTGTGAAGATGCTGCTGCTACTGCAGCCTCGTGCTGCACAGATCTGTTATCTACCCATCTCCCTTCGAGTGCTCGACGACCATACCATTCGCTGTGGTGTGAATCCTGTTAACTTCTGAGTACTTAATGGTGCAGTATTGTATACAGAATGAGAGTGGATTCATCTGATTGATTGTGTTCTGTCCTCTGGCTTTTCAAAGAGACTCTGCCTGTCTATGTACTATTTGCACTGTGGCAAGAAGCTATCCACTGAATAGATCTGGACCTGGCCAGATCTGTCCAGACCTTGTTGTTGATCAACGGTGGCACCGAGGCTATTATAGAGAGGCCTCGGTTGAAGCATTGGTGGATTGATTGGTTTGCCACAGTGGCGCTCTGCTGTCAACATGCAGACAGCCTCACGAATTGATCGCTGCTTCTCATGGCCCTATCTATCTTATACGCTCCTCAAGATGCAGCGACATCACCTGCGGTTGAGTAAGACTGTCCTAGAGATCCGGTCGTTGCGGTCTATCTTTTTTCGGATCATCTCTCGTTGACCACAATCTTACTTTAGTATTGTGGCCGTCCACAGCCTCGGCGGCGACGCCATCACCACCTGGACACACCCGAAATCGAAGAACTTCTGGGTGAGATTTTCCCTCCCCCAACAGATCCCTGATGCCGGTGTCATGACCTTCGGCTATAATGCCGACGCTGCGTTTGAGCGGTCGACGGCGGAGATTTTTGGCATTCCAAAAGCTTGTTGGCCAGCTTAATGGACAAAAGTCGGAGATGCCGATGCAAGGAACGAGGGTGAAACTGATGCTGTGTTAAGAAACCCATCGTTCTCTGATATGTATTTTATTATTGATATAATTATAGTACTAGAGACGGACTGCCCAGCGCTCAAGATGATCGTCCCAGCGGAGGTAGATCCACCCACTTGCGTACGAGAATCTGGCCAAAGTGCGGGAGAAGACTTGAAAGTTTCTACCCTAATTAGCCACGTTGCCACCTCTCTTAAATAAAAGCTGTTGCACTTTTTGATGACTAGTGTCGAATGCCGCTTGTAGCGCATTGCCATACCTTCCTCCTTGAGCATTGATATCTGCTTCACGTTTGAGGAGTGTCTGCACCACCTTGTCGTGACCACCTGCTGATGCCGCTTGGAGTGCATTACCATATTCTCCTCTTTGAGCGTTGACATTCGCTCCCCGGTCGAGGAGCAGTTGCAATACCTTCTCGCGACCACCGGCTAATGCCGCTTAGAGTGCATTACCATATTTCCCTCCTTCGAGTTCGAGTGCCCAGTTTTTGGGAACCCTCTCCACTATTTCTCCAAGCAGTAATTAACCCAATACTGGGTCAACTAACTTAGGCTTTGGCCCCGAATTTAGGCCCTACTCTGACCCCCTTAAATTGGTATTAATGATAGCTAGCCGTAGATGAAGATATAGAATTACATTATTGTATTTGTCTCTCTCCTGCAGGAATATGCGAATTAACGTCCTATATTTCAAAGCTTGCTTGCAATTATTCCGCAACATCCAAAAAAGCGTAGAACTTGGGCTGGTGCCGCCATGCCAGATACTGCAGAGTGGGGGGCGAATTTTGAGGCTGTGTGGGTCATAATTAACAAGACTGTATCCTGGGCAGAGGAAGAGAGTCTCTCGCATTGGGTCTGCTCAGCCCCTCAGCAGAGGTGGGATAGCAGACGTTGTAGTGACTGTTACTGTGGTAATTATTATCCTTCTTATTTTGTTCGTTACTATATGTGTGTCGCCGAAGACGATCTTAGGCTTCACAGCATTTGAAATCGCCGTGGTCACCCAAGATCAAGCTAGCTACATCTACTCCATCGCCAATCCTTTACATGACTGACGACAGCCCTTTCGTGTGTAAGCAGGAAAGATGGGGAGGTAGGTCAAGTTTGGGGAGCTGCGTACTAAGTGAGGCCTTACGGTTTTCCGGGACGCCGAAATGCGCTGAGCTAGCAACATTGAGAGCACGCTCTATATCCTCGATTCCAGTCGGCCAATGAAGGCCTTCTAGCGTGATAACATTTGGAAGATGAGAATTAATAATCTCTGTCGGTCTAAAGTGGAATAATGCTGCGTGGTTAGAGCAGCCAACAATCTTCTTCGGGCTCAACGCTGTTGCATTAGGCTTATACATACCTCTGCAATATCCCATGAGATATATTAGGAAGAAATCAGGTAAATCTAGAGCATTAGCAATATCCGAACCCACACCGCTGATAAGGTCATTGAGGTCCCCCTGGATGCCATTAGCAAGGTTGTCCAAGATTACCCCATCACCATCGGAAGTATTAAAGAGGCTGGTGTGGCCGATTCGGGATATGTTCAACTACATTATTTTAGCAGACAGGACGAATGGGGAGACAACGTGCTCATCCTGTCATGAAATCTGCATTCTGAAGAAATGATTTGTTTGAGCCTGCAAGGAGACAAAGCACGGAAAGACCGAACGCCGTAACCGTAAAGCCAATTACGAATATGTGGGAAGTCCTCATCTTGGATGGAGAGGGTTAGCGACTAAGTTTGAAATTTGAACGGTCGAGCTTGGAAAGAACTGTCTTAAAGGCGGATGGTTTGTGGTGGAACATAAATTTTAGGTCTATGAGGGGTTCGAGAAATATAGAAGATCTCACATTCGCTCGAGCTTACATTGAAGGATTCGAAAGCCTCCTTAAACCGATCGTAATCGAAAGCAGCTAGTACGGGGCGTTTTTAGGTCCTCTTGTAACCCATATCAAAAACAGAACCGAGAAAAAGGGTCCTCAGAAATAAAGGTTTATTTTGATATTATATATTCTAACTTGCTCTAGAGCAGATTTAGGGGACATCTATTATCATATGTAACTGTGTCTCTAAGATGGTTAGAATTTGTTTGTGATGGGTAGAGTGTTATTATGAGAGATTCATTATCCAAATAGTGCGCCTCAACAGTCCCAAATATACGACATTGCTCCTCCATCTTCTGGGTTAGTTCTGTACATCCCGCTCTAAAACTTGCACAGAACGCCTCTTCCATCAGAGTCCGATGTTGGGGGCAGGTGGATGGGATCGTCAATTGAAAAGAGAGCGCATGGAGAAAATGAAATTTCCGCAAGACTGCTTTAAGTGTCGGTTTTAACTCTTGCTGCGCTCTCATAAGATTCCAGATCAGGTCGATATGGCTCTGACTTTCAAACCGAAAATCTATGGTCATGTTCCGAATCGAATCTTTATATTCTGCAAACCGGTTGAATAAGCGTTTTGCAACGTTAGAAGTGGTAGGTCGTAGGATAAAGCAGTTCCCTCCAAAAAATATTGGGATACCTTCGTCTCTAAAGAGGCTGCAGGTCCGAAGCAACGAGCAGTCCAGGGCGAAATATTTGGTGAGGGGTATAGGATTGTCATGGACCAGAACAAAACGATAAATTATAAGCCTTACTTCGGGCAGAAGGTCCAACATTGCTTCTGTGCCACTGATTGGCTACCTAGATAGCACCATCGTGGCCAGGCTTGAGTCCATTATATAGGCAGGCACGCGCGGCCAACTTAGTGGCACATCGTAACAATAACTGGGCCCCGGTTGTGATTTATTTTGATTAGTTACCTAATAAGGCCGATCAAAAGTATTTTAGGGCTTCTCGAGGCTCAATAGCATCATCACAGCCATGTCGCACCGAATACTACGCCTCACAATAGACTTAACCTTCCTGTCGCCCTGGTGCTTTGGGGGCAACCATTGATTATGATTAAAAAAAAATACAAGCTTACAATCTAGAACTAGTATTTTGTAGAGTATCAATCTGATCATTTCCAAGGCCTCCCTCCCTTCTGTCTTAGACTTTGATATTTATTCCTTGGGTCACCTCCTTGCCACTCTCTTCTGTACTTGCCCTGACCTAAACCGGCCGCATCGTAGGTGAAGTCTTTTCGGTTGAAAGTACTTCTAAGCCATGGCCATAATCTTATTAAGAGGCATAACATAGCGGAGAGGTGGTATATAGGTATCACACGTAATATTATGACTTAGAAAAATTCAGCTGTGTTGTGATATGGTTGTCAGTCGATGGAGACGTAACAAGCTAGGTAGAAGCTTGGAAGTTACTTCGTGTGAGAATGACAAAGGACTGTATACTGTACAGCCACGAGGAAGCCATGAAATTTGTCCGCAAATAGCAAAAAGGGTCTCAAAGGCCGCTATTATGCCAAAGTGCCCAGAATTGGGCTATGCAGGTACAGAAAAGGGGGCCACTTAAGGGCCAGATGTGATACACAGAATGAGAGTGGATCTATGTGCTTGATTGTGTTCTGTCCTCTTGCTCCTCAGAGAGACTCTGCCTATCTATATACTATTTTCACTGTGGCAATAAGCCGTCTGCTGAACAGGTCTAGACCTGTCCATCTCTGTCCAGACCTCGTTACCGACCAACGGTGGCACCGAGGTTGTTACAGAGAGGCCTCGGTTGATGCCACAGTGGCGTTCTGCTGTCAACACCAGAGTTCCCAGAAAAAGAGCCTACAGTTATTGCATAATATGCTTCGAAGCACGTGATCCACCGACAAGGGGGCGAGTCATAGCTCTCACCACTGCTTTGGTGCGAGGGTTTGCCCGTTTATGGTTCACATAAAATCACTGACAGCTTTACGATACTGCTCGGAATTACATCAAGCAGAATCATTAACGCTGTTTACTAATCCCTCCTATCTAAACATCCTTCATAACTACGGTGACTAGGAGTCCAGTGTGGTTTGGAGAGGATATTAACTGTATGGGTTAACGGGGTTTTGCTATATGATTATCTACATAAAACCAAACAATTCGCCAGACTTTGCCAGTTCCCAAGTGTCGTATTAATGACCTAATGCCCATATAATAGCAAGCTCTTAAACCTGGCTCAAGTACAAATTGGCAAAAGATTCAAGACAAAGTATCGATGAATAACTGAGGCCAGTATCCTCTACCTTTAGAGTGCGAAAACCGGAAAAGTAAAATCTAAAAACTAAGTACCGCCAAAAGAACAGGAGTTCGCTTAAAATAAAAAAGTAGCTAATGGTTGTCCATTCACTTTCTCTCGGAGCCTCTTGGACATCGGGAGCATCTTCAGGGGCAGTTATCCGGTCTGACGGCAACGTTAGGGAACGGCCTCCCAGATAATACGGCTGCCGACCCTAAGTATATATCAATGGCAGGCAGGACGCTGTTGCATCGCACAGTGTTGATCATGGTAACGGAGGAAAGCACTTGGTCAGGAGAAAAATCCGCCCCATTGATCACGAGATCGTTCAACCCATTAACAACAAATTGGAATGTTCCTTGTTCAACCAGGGTTGTGTTTGCGGCAGTAATATCTGTCAGTGCACCACCTGCTTCCCCGCTCCCCAAGGTTCGAAATACTGCGTCAAGGACGCCTTTTTGGGTGAGCTCATCACCCTCGGAAGTTAGAGCTGATGCCGCTGCGTTAGCCAAATCTTGACCACTGAGCGAAGGCGCCATGGACAAGAACTGAGATACCAGGGATGTATCTCCGGCCCAAAAGAGCTGCGCATTGCCGACTGTGTCGACCGGAATCTCGCGGGTGATAAGAGCAGGTATGCCTAGGGAGAATGCTGGAGTGATGGTAAGGAGTATCGTGGTAACGGTGTCGTAATGCATATTGAACCTAGGTATGGGATGTTGAAGGGAGGTCTGAAGAAAGTTGCGAGAGGGTGATTTGAAGACAGAGAGGACGAACTGGGTGCTGGTAGTGGTCGCTCCAATTGTTTTCCCGCCAGGTACGAATTGTGGTCCCTTCTAGGTCCCAGAATTGGGCCAGGAGGGCCCGAAAGACTCCCACTAACTCTGCGTATGGTCTCTACTTGCTAATAGGAGGTGGGGTTCATAGGATAGGCACCATCCTCAGAGATAATTGCTAATAGGATGTAGGGTTCCTAGGATAGGTACCATCCTCAGAGCTATTTCATTATAGGAAGTAGCTGGGGATGGCATCGGTTTCGGGAACGCTCACATCCTGTCATGGAGACCAGAATTCGAGTCAACGTAGAATACTATGCGTGAGGTGCAATTAAGTCATCGCGAGATTATCTAGGTTCCCTTGACGCGTGGTCCCGTGATACTGTGAAGAGAGTGAGAGTCCCTATCGGCATATGTTACCAGAGGGCCTAAAATAGGGAACTCCAGATTATATAAGTAAATCAACAGTAATAACGTAACTGCTTAAGTTAAACATGAACGACCGGGTTCTTATTGCATCGTACGAGAATATTTCAGTTTACGAGATGATCCCTCATAGCTCCATAGGAACAAACCGATTTCAAACGCAATCGTGACTCTTTGGGCAAGCAAGGTGGAATGAGTGCTTGAAACAGCGTGTTACCACGAAAGGGTTGTAGTCCCTGAAATTTTTGGATCCGTGGAACCGCATTGCGACGCACTCTTTGTCAAAGCATTCCCGTGCTGAAGGTGGTAAAGTTTCGATAAATTCTTTCGTAGCAATGAAGAAGTTCTCATCCTTCGGATTATCGCGAGCTTCCTTCATGTTCCTAATTTCAGCCTCCGTAAGCGTTTTCGTAACAAGATTCTTGGATTCGGGCGTTAGTCGCTTTATAATTGCGAGGCGCGTAGAAATTTGTTGCATTAACCGAAATGCTTTAATTGCGTTTTCAGGTGACAAAGTTTGAAGAATTTGTTGTAAGTAGATCTGCCTCTCTATCGCTGCGACTTAGGGTACTATAATCAAAGCTAACAAGCTCAGGCCATAGTGTGAGATTGATATTCTCAAAGAGAAAAGAGTGATCGCCTGGTAAGCTCGCAAAGAGTCCTCGGAACTTTGGAGGCTGTGTATACAGTCTGACTTTCCCAGCTGTATCGTGCTGACCCCACAAGTATGAGTGGAATGCGATTTCGTCCTTCGTTAATCCTGAAAGATGATCCATCTTTTCATGAATAGTAAAACATAGACAATTTGCCTTCCAATTAGACAGCCGAACCTCTATACAAAATAACGTAGAAGCGAGGGCTCATTTAAGGGCCACTTTCATTCGGGGGATTTGCCACCTACAAATCTAATTCTAGCACGCTCCGAGGCCGTCCAAAAATGCAAATAGTGAATTTGGTCCCAATTTCCCCATTTCTGGTCCTACCAACATATGGGTTTTTCTGTTGCTATGGAAGGGTCCTGAAAACTGCCTCTTAAGACCAAAACTACCGCCCCGGACATTATTAGCACTTTGTCTGCCCCCAATAAAACATGACCTCTTTCATAGAAATTATATTGTTATTGCAGCCCACCTTCATTCGAAAATCATAATATTAGCCTCATTGGATAGCTGTCTATCTTATCTATCTTATCTATCTTATAATACCAATTTTGTACCTATTGATAGCGTCTTAGTATAGATTCTCGAATCCATTTCCTTTATAATATTATCGATCAGTGATCATGCTAAACGCTCCCATTCCAAGGTAATTACATCGGGAAATGTATCGGGAGCCTCCGGAGACTTGCTGAGACCCACAAAGATGATAATTTTGTGACACGTGATCTAGTAACGAGGCTGTATAGTCAGGGGCCTAGTTCTCGGCCCACTCCACGACGACGACCTTGAATGTAACGAAAAGTTCCATTATTTTACGTCCTTCAATTGGGTCTGGTAGGTTATTGATCAAGAATGCGCTGACTAGCAGAGGCCCTACGCAGATTTGTGCGGGACCCCTTGGGCACAATTCTGGGCCTTGGAAAGACCACAATCCACAAGCGGGCGGCAGCTATCAGGTTCCAACTTGTCCTACCTGTTCGAAACGGATTTTATCAGTGAAAGTTATGTAATCGACATCCCGGCGTGGTGAAATGCCTTGCGTGACGAAATGTACAACTGGTACTTCGAGTGCCAATTGCCCCTGCACCCAACTCTCTCACTTTTCTTTTGTTCCCCAAGTTGTCGACAGGTGCGTTGCTCGTAGAATGGACTTTTGTCGCCGATCGATTCGGCAGAGACTAATGAGGTCCCGGAACTGGAGATGGTTTGGCCTTGATGACGAACTGAAAGCCAATCCAAGAATTCGCTAGGACGGTGGGCTTCAACAACCTTGCCCTAGAATCTTATGTACGATCGTAATTTGATTCAATCTCGCAGCCTTCACTATTCTCCCCTTCTCCCGCGTCAGAATATCCGTCGATAATTGTCCCGCAAACGCACGATAGATAAATGATGCTAGATAAGCCTTAGTTTCTCATCTCTATCCTCCCGATGCTATAATAATCTCAATCTTCCTGTACAACGTATACCAGCTCGCCCCTAAACCAGTACTATAATACCAGCACATGTTTTTCTGATTCCCAGCATCAATCAAGACGTACGACCAACATGATCTTGTGATAGTTTTCCTCGGTCTTCTCAAAGCTGTTCTCCAGCCGCTTGCTCCGTCGACAGCCCCGATTCTTCTGGGCTTCTTTCAGCGACGGCGCAAGCCAACCTTTATCGTTGATGTTGCTCTCAAGAGTCCAACAGGCCTTCCATCGTACTAAATATAGACTACTGTTCTCGGTTTCAGGTATATCCACAACGGCATACACCTGGGAATATAGACTGCTCCAGCACTCTGCCTGACAGCGTCGTGAATGTGGGTCAAAGTCTGGAAGCGTGTCCTTCGACTTGTCAAACAGGGCCTTCAACTTGGACTCAGCATTCGGGGTGTCGAAGTCATCAGGATGCATCCACCTATCAGGAGTGCCAAGAAGATACTCGGTCTCACCATGCTCAAAACAGAATCTTCGGTCGTAGACGGCGTCATGATGCCAGAATTCGTCAGAAGGTAGTCCAGTATCATCATGGAATATCCCAGCATCGTCAGGGAGTACTTCAGTATCGTCAGGGAGTGCTGCAGTATCATCAGAAGGTAGTGCTGCATCTTCGAGGCTGATGGGTAGATCCTCTGGTGCGTTGATAGCTGCGTCTATGTCTCTCTCTCCTAAGGGGTTGAAAGTCAGGCTGGCAGCATCTGCGTCAATTGCAAACTGGTCACACGTTGCTGATGACGGCAACGAAGCTCTCGTCACCGAAGGATCTGGCTCAAAATCAGGCCCAGTGTCGTGAAATTCGCGGCCACCTTTCTTTCTGTTAGTATTGCCGGCTCTGTGCATAGAACGAGTTACCAACTTGCTTCGCTGACACAGCGGTTGTCAGATTGGACTCTTCTGAGCGATCGTGGTTTCTGGGACTGGGCGGGCTGTTTGCTGCTGCTCCCCCGCTTTGAGACTGATGTTGGGAAAGGAGGCGATCTGAGAATCCGACCTGAACGGAGTTGTCGCGAGTTCCCGAGGCGACGCGTGAAGGCCATAGCCAGGAGAAACGATGATGCGGTATAATGTTGTAGTGGGGACAAGGAGTGAAACGAGAATGAAGAGCAGACAGACGAAGACAAGCGTGGACGACGAGTTTTATACTCGTCGATGCCCTCTGGCAAGCGCAATGCCTGGGATTAACTTCACCGTCCAGAGCAAGGGTGAGAACAGGAGGCAGTGCAGGACCTAGTCGAGTGTGGTCAGCATCCTCCGAAACATCCTTGCCATGCCAGTGCCTGCTTTGCCATCGATCCTGGTCGGGGATTTGGGTACTCCGAGGACATGGTCTGTCATGGTGGGCGGTCGATGTGCTTGGAGCCTGCCGTTCAATGCAGGCTTTGCCCGTTATTGTACGCTAGCACCAACTCCGCACTTCCCATCGAATGCCAGCTTTAGGAAGATCAAATGGATCTTTCGAACGATTTCCCTTTTGGTTTTCGAGTCGAACTGGCTCTCAGAAGTAAGAGTTGGGCATTTGCGATTCTGAATTTGCCAAAACTTTCGTACATGGGGCTCATGTTCCGCATGGCCATCGATCAATCCTCATTAAGCAATGGTGGAGGAGATGATTGTCCAACTCCATCTGTCAGCCTGGCCCCAAGGCGAACTACCGCAAGGGCCATCATTGCCGGGGTGGCCGTCCCTCTGTGAAACGACAAAGTCATTGTCCTGGAGGCTAGATGAGCCAAATCCAGAGATAGCACTGACTTCTCTCGGATATGGGACTGTGCGGGACACCCGTAGCTGCCAGCCATATTACAGACGGCAGCTATCTCCGAGAGTTCGCCGGACGACTGGTGAGATCTGGTAGGCTTTACCGTTTTGCAGAAGGTAAAAGAACTTAGCCAGAGGACCCGTCCGAATCCATGTTGCAGCCTATACTTCTTTTTGATTGTCATCGGATGCTGGCGGCAATGCTGGTGTATGAAGCCCTTGCGAGTATGGAAGAGACAATGGAGTCCCGACCACGCAATTCCATGTTTTCCACTGTGCTATCGTTGCATTGGTATTCTGGGTGAAGGATGACACAGCCATCGCTCTCGTCTTCTCTAATCGACCCTGTAGATTTGGTCATTGCAAAGCGGCTAGGCTCAAGGGCAGCGCCGATAGGAGGGTCGGACCTAACGAGGCACTTTGGGCAGGGGAGATTGTGGGACACCAATTACGAGTGCAGTTGAGGCGTCCCTATCATGTGCGGGATTTCTACCTCCCGAATCTTTGACCGTTGGATCCTTGCAAGGTTCGAGGCCATCCGGGCATTCTCAAGAGATGCAAGCCCCTGGAGCCCTGTTCGAGTGTCTCAATCTGGATTCTGCCTTGCCGGGCCGGCAGTTCTGCGACGGGCTGATACTGGGACAAGAAACCAATGTCAGCATCTGGGTCCGTTAACAGCAAATCATGGCTCCAGGGTGCCAGGTTTTCCAGGAATAACGGCAGATGGGACTAACGGAGACGTCAAATCCGGGCTGAGGAAATGCCAGGCGTCCCTCTCACCGGGGTTTCCCTCTGTAGGACAACCATGGCAATCGCATGACCGCTCCTTCGGAGCCCCTGTCCTTGCGAATTGAAAACACCTGAATGGCGGAGAAGTCGTGCCTTCATAAGTTTCTCCCTAGCCTATTCAGATTTGGGGTCCTTTAAGGCCGATTTTCAAACAAGGGCGCTTCGGTATCCTAGGATGCCGAAACGAAATCACACAGTCGTATTAAATTCTCAGTCTGCTCTCCAGGCTTTTGGTCGCATCTGCACTCTTCTCCGTCAGGAAAACTCCCGATCAGTTTACATTTGTTGACGAGTCGCCTTTTCATCCCATCTGCACGGCTGAGGATGGAATCTAACAACCCAGGCTCCAGCTCCAAGCACGAACCTGGGGACTGTCAATTGACAAGCACTCAACTGGAAGCGCTCTCGCTGTTTCGAAGGCTTGTCAATTTGATTACTTCGGACACGAAGACTGATATCCAAAATCTGCAAGAGGTACGTGCATTGGTCCTAGTTGATGTTAGCAAAGGGCGTTGACGACGATCCGCGGTAGTTCCGTGTCATAATTCGACAACTATGCGAGGCAGCTCCTGAAACCGCGCAAGCAGTGGCAACGGCAATTCAGGAGGCGAGGAGCAGTATTAACAGCTCTCTTCAGCAAGAACAAGACGCAGTACAAAGGAATACCCACCACGCCGCGAAACGCGGGGCTCGCAAGCCCGTGTCGCGCAAGGACCTGTCCTACAGACCACCCAGGTCGGCCAAGGCCACAAAGAAAGAACCTAGTTCTACGGGCGATTCTAGCCTGCCGGAAAACAGTGCGATCCGAGCTAACGTGTCGGTCGGGAATTCTACCGCCCATGGTGCCCAATCATCGGTTCTCGATGCAAATGACCTCGTCTTGCAAGATCAGAACGCGGGAGTCGACCCAGAGACATCGACTGAGAGTGTCAATGCAGCTCAACTTAAGACATTGTCGCACCCGGATCAGCAACAACGGATCACCCAGGATTGCTCTGTTCCAGACGAAGTGGATACTGCGGACCGCCGAGGAACGGTAACTGAACCAAGTAAGGATATGAAGGAGAGTATTGAGACGTCAGAAGCCACGTCATGCAACAGAGTTGAGAACGCGCAATCTGGTGTCTTACCCCGACCGTCGACACCTCCGACAAAGGCCAACCCAGCGGTAGTGACCCCACCGAAGCCAACAGAGGGTGCGCCGACCCCCCCCCCAACGGAAGAGATTGTTAGAGAGACAATACCGACATCACTCAAAAGTATTTCATCATCTCCTGGGTCGATATTAGGATCGTCCTCGCCGGAGGCAATCTCCTGGATAGACTTGGTCATCGAGGCGGTGCGGGTCCTTCACCAGTTCAGCAAGCACCCGGAAGCAGTTCCTCCAGGGGTCCATTCACGAATCCTGCAAACACACCAGAACGACAACCAGCAGACAATCGACGCATTTAACTTCGACCAATGGACTGATGGATCGATGTGGGTGCGCATACTCGAGATAGGGTCCACACAAAACCAGAAGGTCACGATACTCAATATGATCGAGTACATTGGGGCCTGGGAATGGTACGACAGACAGGTCGAGTTTGCGATGACCACGATTCGAACGAAGAAGAAAAAGCTTGTGGACCGCAAAGGCGCAGCTACGCATGTGCTAAACACGATGCAGAGCATGCGACGGGAAACTGTACCACGAGGGAGATGGGTCGGTGGAGTCGGCAGGGTGGCTGTAGAGCAAGAGTCGGACGCGGCCGATCTTTACTCTGATGGCGACACTGATATCACCGAAGCTCATCGGCGAAGTCATAGGAAGCGGATAAGCGTGCAACTCAGCCGAGGTCAAAAATTGACGAAACTCGTCAAAGCGCTCAGTCTTGGAATCCTTTTCAGCCCAAAGATCTGGCAAGTCTCGTCCTGCCGAAATACTTTGTCCGATCTAACCACCCGTGTCCAGGGAGTATACCAAGATGAATGAAGAACTCCTCGATATATTCATTAGGAGCGTTCAGGCGGACCCAAGAAGAATGAAACTCCTCCAAATCCTCGGTCCACAGCTGGAGCTGTTGGTCAATAAAGGGCAACCTAACCTCCACGCCATATATGATGCACTATGCCAGGAGAAACTCGTATCACAGCAAGAGCTCCAGGAGCTTCGCGTAACCTTTGCTTTGGATTCGGTAAGTTATAAGAACCCCTCTAGACAACATAAACTAAGGACGTTGGTTTCGCTGCAGGATCCGATGCCGAAAGGTTCGTTAGATACGGCGGTTCGCGGGCTGATCAGAGACGTCAGCAGCAGGGTCCTAGGAAAGCGCAAATTCGAAGACATCGACGCCGTGACGGTCAATAAGATACCAGTATCCTGTGACATATTCGAGAAGCTTCGGAACGGAAGATGGCTGAATGACGACATCATTAACCTCGCTATGAATATATCGGATAAGCCTAGTTTTGTGAAACATGGCTATAGTGTCCCACTGGACGAGGTCGGGAAGACCAGAACTACAAAACCTATTGAAAAGCCACTTGCCGCTTGGGCCCGGAGGATAGACCGACTTCGCAAACAGGCGAGAGATATCTTTGGAGATACCATTCATCCGGTGTACTTCTGCCCATTAAACCACAACAACAATCACTTCACGCTGCTCGAGGTCAACGACAGGGAGAAAGTGATCCGTCATTACGATTCAATGGCAGACCAAACGATCACGGAGGGCAGGTTTACGCTGACAAGGGTCGCTCAGCTAGTGGAGGTAAGACCTTTCCTAAAGGTGATGACGAGAGCATTCCTGACACGATGGTAGGAAGAGTTCGCAGATTTGGGATATGCGTACAGCGAAGCAGTAAGCTCCATGGCCCTAAAACTTTTTCCCTCGTTAATAGACTGATGTTTATATGATGAATAGCCTACCCCACAGCAGACAGATGGATGGAGCTGCGGTATCAGGGTTGTCTGGAATTTCACCCGCCTCTCGAATGGTCTCCCCATTGGAGGGTGGGACGCCGTGCTGGAGCCTGAGCGAATGATAATGGAACTTGTAGAAGGCTTGCGTGCATGTGTCGAAACGAACGCTATGGGTAAATATACTGAGGACCCCAGCGAATCATCGAGCGATTCGGAGAACAGGTCAAAGAAGGCCCGCAACTTGAGCCCGCCAGGACATCCTCAACGAAAAACAAGTCGAAAGGCCACCAACAGAGACTCAAGATGACGCAGGCGCCTGCTGCTTATTCCGAGGACGGAGACCTAGGCAGCGATACAATGGGGCGAGGCACTGATCGGAGGATTGACTGGTCACGATTGGGCCGACGCCAGAATGTTCTTGGCTTTGGCCGATATGTAGCACATAGCGCCTAGAGTGGCCGGGCTAATCGGCATACAGGACATCGACATTTTTCCCTTCCCCAATACTTTTTGCTGTAGTGGACAGTGATCTCTTCCCCATCATAGACATTTCGTTCAGCGACGATTGCAATCCTAAACTTCCCTGATACCCTCATGCCCTTGAAGCGGGCCGATGGGTCACAGCTATGATTGACAAGTCGAGAGATGTTGCCGAATTCAGTACAGTTAATCTGGGCGACTGTGGGCTCGCCGAGGATATCGCTTCGGTCCACCTGTATACATTGACCGTTGTGGTACGTATCGGGAGGCGCTAATACCCCCGTAATGAAGGCGATAATGTCGCTCTCCGAATACGCGATTTGGCCCGCTTCTCTCGCGACGGCTTGCAGACCTCGGTCCTTGCCTTCATATTTGCCCTTATATTTCCGAATACGAGGCTGTGTCTCGTGACGAATAGCGGCGCAACAGCAATTTTTCTCATGACACAGTTCACAAGGGCAATTGCTCTGATGACACAACTTGCATTGAAGCCCCCCAGAAGGAGGCAGGGACGTCGGGTCAACCGGCCACGGTGAATCGTCGGGCCATTCTTCTGGTCTAGGCCATTCCGGGTACGCATCAGGATCATATATGTTTTCGTCCTTTGCCGGGAAGAGTCCCAGAATGGAGACCAACTCTCCATCCGAGATTTTGTCCAGCGATACATCCAGACTTTCCCAGATGAAGTCGACATCGTCTGCCGCGGGGTCCAGTGACTGTTCAAATGCTCTCCCAGCGATGCAGAGAGCGGATGTATAGTCGTTTTCCAGATGAGAACGTAAGGAGACAAAATCTCCTTCGTCAAGGTCGAGCCAAGATGTCGAAGAAAAGCCAAATCTTTGAGTTTGAAAAGGGATGAAACAAAGGATACCTGGAAACGCCTTACAGTATTCCCGCCACTTCGCGCCCCTATCTCGATGATATAGGTACTGGCGTTTCGACATCCCCGTGCGCTTCAGGATTCCTGCAATGACGGCTGCCTCACTCCTAAGACGGCCTTGATTAATTTCGTTGACATGATCGGCAAGACGGACTTGGAACAAACGAGTAAGAAAGTCATGAAAGGCAGTTTTGCGTGAAAGCGTGCTGATGATCTTCAGATCGTTCTCGAGCATTTGGGCCGGATCTTGGCGAAGTGGTCTTTTAGACGGGCTTGTGATGAAATTTATTTGTAACGCTGTAGGTTCGAGGTCCCGACGACCCTGGACAATGTCAAAGAACTGCTTGATTACGTCTCTACTGCGAATGGCCGCCACCATCCGTGAGACTAGATCATTGCAGATCTCGGTTTCAGTCCCCATCGTATCAGCTGAACTGAGGGTGGTCCGAATCATGGTCATTTTCCTGGACTGCTGTGGGGTCGGCACGTCTCTGCGCCTTTTGGGGGGTCTGGTCTCCTGCTGGTTCATCCTAAGTTCTGTCTCTGTCGCTTTACCATCCCGGGTCCGCGCTGGTGGACGGTCTCTAGCTAGCCGCTCGCGTCCTTGAGTCTGGACCGAGTCGTGAGCTCCCTGTGAAACTTCGTCGTCTTGCTCACGCTGTGGTTCATTCGGGGCACGTAACTCCAAGAGCGCATTAGGAATAGGATATCCGGGGCAAGTACAACTGCACTCGGAGTAGCCCTCGATGCTCCAGTTAGGCCCGCCATAGTTCACAGCTTCGGCAGTGGCGGGACCAACAGTACCGCCTTGGTGGTAAATATCCCCCCACACCACGACCACCTCCCGCGGGCGTTGGACAAATGTGACAAAGGAAGCACCCATGGCTTTAAGCTTCGATCGCGGAAACCAGCGAGAACCGTGTCGTACCTTCTGTGCACATTTCCCGCCTTTCACTTCATTTTCGATGAGGTAGCTATCTTTCCGAGCCACGGCACACCACGGTTTCTCTCTTCCACTGTATAGAGCGTTTAACGATATTAAGTTTGCGTCCTCGCGGTGTATGGTGAAGAGCGACCCATCCTTGCCCGATAAATATCCGTACGGCCGATGGAGCCCGTCGACTTTATACTTAGTGCGATCTAATAGATTGTTCTTTAGAGGCCAGATTGGGGATTCCGTAGGTAAGCCCAGCCGTTGTCGATCTTCGGCAGTCCAGGCCGGAATATCTGTACAGTATCGCATCTTGCTTATGGCTGCGGGATCGGCAAGACGGCCCTCCAACATTTCAGCTAATTCGTCTGGTTCAGTGGAAATGAAACTGGTATCGCTAATATCGAGCGTCTCTAGATCCTCGGTCCGTGAAATACAAAAAACGCCTTCCGGATCGATGCGAGACGTGAATCTGGACACGCGTGTAGCAACGCTGCGGACAGTGTGCCTGTTGAGATCAAAATCCTCTGGTATTATGTACTTGAATATTCCAGTTTCCCGCGCACCTAGTGCCTCGGCCTGCGAGAGAAGAAAAGGTGTATCGCGACACTGATCCTTGTTCAAGGGCATTAGAACGACGACGCCGTACTCCTCTCGATAAGGGATGGTGATGTCCGGATTTCGAGGAACTTGAGATACGCTCTTTGCGGAAATGGCAGACTGAGAAATTGTCGAGACAGGGTGCCGCGAAGGGCGTGGCATAGTTACGACCACTGCAGTGTTTTGTTCGACTTCTGACCTTTCGACAGTAGTGGGAACAGTGGTCGATACAGTAGTTGGTGCAGTGGGAAACTGGTCAGGAATGGTAGTTGATCGAACGCGATTCTCGTCCATGTCCGACTCACTGAGCAGCGGCGCAGGAATCGCCAGACGGTTTGTTTTCGCGCTGAGATCTGCAGAAATTGGTCCACCATTTTGAGTGCCTTCCGCAGTGTTCGAAGAGTTGTGGCTAAGTTGCTGCTTCTCATGTGGCGGCGGATCTGAGATCTGTAATATTGCTGCCGGAGTGGCGGTTCGGTGATCAGCCCCCGGGTTTCGGTCGTGACCCGTATTGAAATCCCAGCCTTCGACCATTTCTTTGACATACTGGATATCTTTCACCAGCTCATCAATTATGGACCTGATCGTCTTCCAGGGCGACTGGCTTCGCTTGCGTGATGTGGCAGACCGGTGCCGGCCACGTGACACACGCGCGTCCACAACAACCACGAGCTTCTTGAGCATCTCTTCTATGCCTTGTATTCTCACCTCGACATCCGACATGGTTGAAAGGATGACAGTTTGAAACTTCCGTGGTATTGACAGCGGAGTGCTGTTAAAACATTTGATTTGGTCTCTGTTTTGGCTTCTGTCTCGCGTGGGTTGCTAGTAGAGAAGTGGTTGTCTTGCCGTGCATAGTAGTGTACGTGATGCCTTGGCAAAACATCGGTAACTTGGGAGTGCACGGGCCACAACTACGTCGACGTAGTTGTGGCCCGTGCACGCCGTGAGCAAGTGTGGGCTGAAGGACGGGAGGTGTTGTCTGCACGAAAAAGCAAGAACATAAAATACGTACTGTCAAGGCGTAAGGGTTTCTGTTATCCACAAGCCTCGTAATGCCTGCTGCTGGCTGCAGCCGCCGGTCTCTCGTACACTGACAGAATATATGGATCGCTGTCTTCCCTTCCTCTAACCTGCTGAAGTGAACTTCGTATTGCTTGTACAGGCATCCAACCGTCATAATTACGCTCAATCGTCGCTTATCCTGACCCAGCCACAGGCCGCGAGTTGAACCTTCGATGGACGCATATATGTTTCAACATTTCATGACATATGGTCAAAGATAAATCAAGTGGGAGCAAGGATGGGTCTTTGTCTCCAAAGTGAGGCCATCTTCTCTTCATCCTCCTCCGGTTAATATACTTAAATCATAAAGTAGAATATACGTATGCGCTCTCTGTGGTAAACCTCGATCTCGAAGATATCAAACAAGGCACCCTTTACCTCTAGAGCAGATCCCCGAACCCGGAGTATACTCTAGACCACAATATATACGAGCGCGGGGTATCCGACGAGAGGATTCCAATCCTCAGCCTTTAATCGTTGAGATCCATCACTATTATCATAGAGGGTACGACTTGGAAGCCACGACCTATCCAGTTAATACTCTTAAAATGCCCGGAGAGAGTTCTTTAACCGGCCGAGCCGAGATCGCTGGCGACTTGCATTACAGACACTGTTCATGGAAGTACATACTTAGGCAGCTTTCCCCAATAAGGGAGGAATCACCGCCTCCCGTGAATAGATATATTAAATTAACCTAGTATAGTTACTAGCTTGCGCATTAGATACAGTACTTCGGTTCGGGGTTACAAAATAAATAATCATGGGCATCATCATTAAGCCTTCCAACATTTCCTATTCCTCAATATACTCAAATTAAACGATGGCGGCTCTCGAACAGTAAATGGTTGTCTTCTGGTAAGCCTCTCGGGCAGGATTACGTCCGGTGCTTGTTCGTTTAACATCGACTTCTCACCACCGTCGAGTTCCGAGACGGTCGACTTTTTCTGCTTAGCTATAATTGAAGAATCGGGGCGTTTCTTTAGAATAGAGCTCCGTATTTCCGAAGGACCTTCATGTACGGACCGGGGATGAGTGAGCTTCCCTAAAAGTCAGTAAAGAAGATATAGTAGAAGTTTTAACTCACGATGTGATCCATACTTAGCCACGACAACACCTGTTCGTTCGATATGTACGAATAAAAGGATCCTTTAGCCCGGTTACGAACGACGAAAGCAAGCTCGATGTCATCCAGTTCGCCGTACTTAAATAATTTACTCTTAAGCCCCTCTAGCCGTCTTTTGAGTTTCTTATTGTGAAGTTTTATCGATCGTCTAGCCATTGCTGTGTCCTGGGATGTGAGGATAGTATAATGGCCCGAAAGAGGGCAGTGGCTTTATATCGGCTAAATCCCTATATCAGTGAAGAGTTCTCAGTTTCGGTCTCCTTTTTTATTTTCTACTTACCATATGGTGCTAAATCGTTTACTCCTATTCATTTCTAAGAAACCGGCTCCAGAGCGAAACTTTAGACTTTTCGAGCTCTTAGAAATCTTCCAGAGGATCCGGTACTAACGGGGAATGCCCGTTTTCTTAAGCACGTATACTACTCATAAATTCACAAATACTTAGGAGGCTCGGAGAAAACAATAGAGTTTGACCCCCTGACGATGATCGTCGTTTTAGTGGTTTGGTTCCCACTACGGCTATTCAGGTTCAGGGTATCTCTTGGGCTGAGAAAGACGTTCCGGACTAATTTCCATAATTAACTTCAATTCCCCTGTAACTGGGGGCTCGTAGGAACTTCGCTAACGCCAGTGGGTTTAGACTCGGTGTCTATAGCCACGTTCACCGATGGCTAGGAAGCGTAGGCATAACTGAAGAACTGGTTAGTCAGAGTAAGATCGGCGCCAGCTAGGTGTTGAGGTTTCTGCATGGGTCCTCCCTGATTTTCATAACAATGCACATAGCTGATCATGGCAAATATTCGACATTCATCTTACCTTTCGCCGCTGCTTACTTTAGAAACAAAGGGTATGTCTGGGGCATGTGACAGAACTCTTTTTTTATCGTTGGACCCATTTTGAGTGGATCCCGTTATTGCACTTGAACTTTTGCATCTGGGCGCTTCGAGGGAGTATTGTGGCGGGGCTTTCAACCTCAGTGGTTAACGATGTCCTTGCATTAAACGCAATGACGGATAAGGTGCACAGTCTAGTCAAATCGACCGTCCAGTTCGGTTGGGCACCCCCGGCTTCGTTGCGAGCCATGTATAAATCCTTACGGGGTTCAGAACGAAAATGATGGGCTTGTACGTATTGTTAGGCAACAATGCCAAGCCGGGAAATGGATGGATTGGGGATCCGATTCCCGGAAGCGGCGGCACTGGACCCCACAAAGCCTTTTGTTCATTGAATGGTGGGGAGACAAGTGTCAAGGTCAAAGTGGTCGTAAATGGCTCCCATCTACTATCTACTCCTTCAGCGAGTTCCTTCTGTTTATATAGCCATTTGGCCTGTGCCAGGAAGGCGGTTCCTGAATCTGCCTTGCAAGTCAAACACCGTTCCAGATGCTCTATCGGTGACCCTGTGAACGTCTCGTGAATGCCTTAGCTGGACACCTCAAGTTTTCGCCCCAGCCACCGCCGTGACCACAGTGGCTAGCGCTGACTTTTCTCAACAATAAGTTTCCCCAACACGGAACATGGGTAGAGAGCATCCGCGATTGATGAGAATTTAAGGCGGCCAGCTATCTAGATAGAGAGTTCTAGCGTTGACTTCTTATCCCTACACTCTCATTTTCAATTTCCGCCTCGCACTGTTGGAAGTTTGTCAAGGCATTCTGAAGCGATTCGACTAGTTTGACTTCCTCTAAAAGGTACATACTTATACTGTACAGTACCATGTTTTCTTTGTTGATAAGCCAGCTCCTTTCTGAGCTGCTCGTTCTCCCACGTTCGTTGTTCTATCATCTAGGAGAGGGCGGAGGTAGGTATTTTCTTTGCGGCTTGCTGCATTTCCATGCCTTCCTTGATTCTTTCTGGGGCGCCTGGATCGCAGGCATCGATAGGGCCCCGATGGGGCGCGCTGATGCTAGGCAGAATGCGGAATGTTGTCCGTTTATTAATATGTCTAAGCATATATTCGAACAAAAGGCACAACGGTCTTATACTAGAATCCAGGATAGTCAACTTATCGGTTGTTGGGCTCGGCATTATTCCTTCCCGCGATATCGTAGTGACTATGCATATAGATATCCCTATATGGCTGGTCTTAGCCAACCATTTATTTGAAAATCAAATATTTTGGCCTCGCTTGCTAGGACCTATACTGGTCCTTCGCCCTGGGTTCCTTATTTTGGTACTTTCGGCGAGCCATGGCTGGGCAGATTTTGGGACCCATACAACTCCAGATGTGGAAACTCCCCTGAGGTGTTTCGATCTTACAGTAACAATAGCCGTTCTTAACCTAGCGTATATAAATAGGCTCATTCTATTATTAGTATTAATATTTATCTAAATGATTTCTGTATTCTCTATGATAGTGGTGCACAGCGATTACTATACCTACCGTATGTCAGCCGTTCACAAATTTTATTTATAGATGCTACTTTCCCAGCTCTTAGCCTCGATCTCATTGTATGTTTTAGACTTGTATATTAGCCCGCAATAAATTCAACAGCGTATTTTGTCAGTGTTTCAGAAGGAAACACGCCACAAGGTGCCAAGATGCAACGTAAAGCAACGATGTTCGGAGATGCTCAATCACACGAAAACTTAAACGAAGTCGATCACATCAACAGACTAGCAATACAGTCAGCTGAAGCCGGTTATTTAGAGCCTGCAGAGAAGTTGTTTCGAAGAATTCTCCACTTTGATAACTTCGTCGAAAATGGACCCAGGAGGATAATTATGAATAATCTAGCCACCGTGCTCAGTAAACAAAATAAGTACACAGAAGCAGAAACACTACACCGAAATGAGCTGCAGTTAAGCCTAACGGCATTGAGCATAACACACCCTGATACGTGGACCAGCATGACAAACCTTGCTATGGTATTGTTTGATCAAGGGGAGTTCTTTGAAGCTGAGGATTTACTTCGGCACGTCCTGGACCTAAAGGAACAGACCTTAGGAAGAGAGGATGTTTCAACGATTAAGAGCGTGGTATGTCTAGCGTGTATATTAGATACACAAAAGAAGGTCGTGCAAGCAGCAATTCTATTCGAGAGAGCTCTTGCTTCGTATAAACGGATATTCGGGCTGGAACATATAATTACCGCCACTTGCCAGCAACGCTATTCCCAAGTAGCACCTAGACGAGCAGAAATCTATTCATCACATTTATCTGGGGAGCACAAAATTGATTAGTTGTGTAAGGTAAAAAGAAATGGAGGGAATCTGAGACAAGCGTTAAAGCAGATGGTTGACAACCTCGTAGAGGAACTAAATGGTGGCACCAGGGAATTTACACCCTGTTAGGGTTGGAACATGAGCACCATTTTGCAGCTGATTAACATTTATTTTAGATAGGACCTTTGAAAAAAAAATAGACAAAATCATATCTTAGCTTTTTGGAGGGAACGATATCCCATACACTCGTTTCCCGAAATCGCCCTCCCCCTCGCGTTTTGTGTTTTGTGTTTTATACCATTGGCTGTGTAGAACAGATGTCTATGTAGCCCCACTCCTAGCTATTTCCTCTACCTTTCCGTCTATCACTTAGGGTTCATACACTCATTCAGCAGCCCACTCCAAGCATAACACCTACCTTGACCTACCTTGATCCACCTTGGCTATCAGCTTTTTAGAGTCCCTTGTCTCGACCCGTCACGACCTGCTTCATCCGCGTTTCCATGCGCTGCACTCAGCCTGCCTTTTGCCATTGCATATCTGAGAACCGCCCGGACGATCTTCAAGTTGGGTAACCATTTTTCCACTGGTCCATCGACCCATGAGCCATCCGGCCGACGATTTTGTGATCTCCCTCCGAGCATATAAGACATATCTCCATACCGGTCTTGCGCTTCTTCTATCATCTCCGCTCGCAGATCTTGGAAGCGAGGGCAGTGGAGGAGGAAGTGGCGCACCGTCTCCATCCTTTCACCACATTCGCACGCTGGGCTGTCTTCAAAACCCAACTTCGCTAGAAAGCCTCGTAATCTCGAGTGTCCTGTCCGCAATTGAGCCAGGACCTGGGCTTCTTGGTGAGTGAGCGCGTCATAGAGCCTGCGGACGTGTGTGCCTGGCAAGGCCGCATCGACCTGTCGGAGATGTTTGCCGGTCTTTCAAGGCCGGTCAATTCGATTCTTCGCCCGGGTCTCTGGTGGCGGACGGAGGGCGGCAGATTTGCACACCACGTCCAGCCATGGTACGGGGTCACCGTCTTCCCTGGTGTGGTCGTCTCCAACGCCAATTGGTGAGCTTTTTCGTGGTCCCTCTTGCGGACACATTGCAACTTTCTCTCATTAGGCGCCAAAGGAATAAGCGGGTCGCGCTTTCCCGAATTATGATAGTTCGACTAACTCAACTACAAATCAGGAGCATTGGACCATAACTAGCCCGTCTCGGAAATGTGGAAGCCATGAATCGACAGGTAGGCTAATCACGTAGCTAACCAAGGATCACATGCTAGACACCAGCCCAGTGTCTCCTGCTTTTTCCTTCGATCCGTATCTACCTATTCAACAGCTCCACTCAAGTGTACGGGAGATGGCTATTACACAAACTCGCCCACCCGACTTCAATGGCTTCCGACCTGGAGGGGAAATTCTTGATCCGTACAAACCGCCTAGCCTTCCCGATATCGATACTCTTGCATGGTATTCTCCCTCCGATAACTCTTCGAAATATATTGCTAATATCTATAGGATGTTACAAGACCTAATGAATAAGAAGGACGGGACAAGCAAATTTTATGATCATATGCACAAGTCTAATCTACAAACAAAACCTATACCTACATTGGCTGCTGGAATCGGATTAGCAGCCAATCCTTCCGAAGAATATGGGGAGTTCTCTCGATACCTTCTAAACAAGATTTAAGCGGCGTGCCTACGCTCTTCGAAGAAGATTCGGCCCCACTAGCTTAACAGCAAGCGACGAAGCTCGTGGAAATACTGGCGTCAGTCCGTGCGGAACTCTCAGAGGAACCTTTTGTTGCGCTCTCCGTTCTTCGAGCACAGGAAAGAGGTGGCTCTCAATTCGCCTGCTTCCGAGACTTTGGAAGTGTATACCTCAATAAATTCCAGTTAGAATACGCTTTTCATCATTGTGGGAAATACCGTAATTACGGAAGTCATCATTGTGGATCAATTTTGGAAGGCCAGCAGCGTATCGGACTATTTTGCCAGGACTGCTACTTCCCGGGCAGTCCAAATGAGAATCAGCCTGGGCTTTTCGTCGTGCGGCAAATTGCCCGTCACCAAGTTTGCACCGAGTGTCGGAGCTACTGGGCTCTATCGTTAAATGTACAGAGAGGATAAAAGGGTGAACAGTCAAGTAATGTGCAAATATCTACCGGTTGCTCAGGCGACGAAGACTGCAGAGCGGGGATAGCCAGAAGAGGAGACTGAAGGGTTTAGGACTGCTGCGCGTTTCGGCAACCTAGGATTCCGAAATCTCTTCTGAAAAGATTAACCGAGGAGCCAAAGTTTGCCGGTGTTCCAAACCCGAGTGACATCAACTCGAGCCCGAAAGGCTGGGCAAGTAACAGAGCGTTTAATTAATGTGACGGAGCACAGATTTCCAAGGCCTGGGAAGGAAGTTGGGCAGAAGCGATAGTAATATACGTGTAAACTAAATAACCAATTTGACAACTCTGCACCCTGAACCGATGCGAACAACTCCATTCAACCTATACCGCTTAATTCAACACCAGACTCCAAAAATGACGCAAATAATCGTGAAGAGGTAGGCAGTATCAGGTTGAGACGGAACAGCTCCTCCGGTGACGAGACTGAGATTGTCGCTGGCTGACGTCGGCGCTGCGAGTGAATGAAATGTCGATGGTGTGGTCGCATTGAAGTTAGGCGCTAGATTTGTTGTATCAAATCGAGTGGCGTTAGGCCAGAAGCCTGTCGTATTCGCGGTAGGGGAAGTTGTTGGGGACGTAATGGAGAACGAGGGTGTGGCTTCCATGTGGGTGAGGCCGATGGTCGCCGAGCCAGTGAGGCCACCTATCTGGATCTGGATAATAGCCTCCGGATGTCGAAATGAAGCATTTCCCGGCGGAGCTGGCGTTGGCTCGGATATATTGACGTTCCAGTGTCTCGCAAGTACATCCCCCCAAAACAAGGCAACTGGTGTTAACGCAAATAGACGCATGGTTTTCCTAAAAGTGCCATATAATAATTTAAAGGGCAGGAGAAGTTGGTAAGATGCAGAAGGAGACAAAGTTATGTGTGACTATTCACACAATACTTCAAAGCTCGAAGGGGGTGCGGAAAAGAGTACCCTGAACCCCCAAAAAGAGACCCCTGTTCCCATAGCTGTGCAGCACGAAGGTCCCAATTCTGGGCCAGTAATGGACCTCTGGAAACCGTGAGTGACCACTTCCAGTGAGCCGGAGTCTAGGTATAAGAAGAGCGCAATCTCCTGACTGGGAGGAAACAACATCCAAGTAGCAAATGTTAAGATGAACTCAGGCAACGGAGTGGACTTTTTCTCTACCTCCTATCTCCTCTCTTCCAAAGCCCCTAATACAAAGCCCGACCAGACGCCAGGTGGAAAGGACAGTGAAAAGATGCACGCCGGTCTCCTAAGGCTTTCAACGAGTATTGTACCTAGTGATGCCGGAAACGAAGCCAACAAAACCAGAAGGATAACAGAAGCATCCGCACTACCAACCAGCGAACAAGGTAAGGCAGAGCAGCTCATAGCTCAATCGAAACCAATTATGGGAGCCTGCGGTGATGAAGACGAGAGTGATGAGCAAGACTTCTTGTCAGCAACTAAAGAGCAAAAAGCTGCAATACAACGGGTTCTGAGTAAAAGAGACGGTGACCACCATGGGGTACTTGGGATAGAGGAGGGATGTTGCGATGCACTTATCCTTCAAGGCTTTGTAGAAACCGGGAAAGACATCCACCCATGTTTCAACCCAGATGAGAGGGCCATCGATGCATACCGACGTAAGTATAAGAGCGAATGCCATTGAAACAGAAGGGCTAATGAATATGTCTTAGGTGTCATAAGAGCAGCTAAAGCATTGGGAGTGTCTAAATCAGATATAAAGGCAATGAAGAGATACAATGAACATGAGGACGAGTGCAAAACCCTTCACCAAGGCGTCTGGGTCTATCCGAGCGCCGACAGATATAGGTTAAATCATCCCTCAACGTTTGCATAGCTCATCCATCCAGTTGACCTGCTCAAAGAGGTCCACTCGTCAGGCCAGGACATCATGCAGCTGGTAGAACAAGTTCATTGAATTATAGTATGATGTTGCTAGTTTTGCCACATCTCGTGTCAGTGCTTCTACCGATTGTGCAATTAGTTCTGCATGACCAGAAGAAGTGCGACCGGAGACTCCACTTTCACTGACACCATCATTGATTTAGACCCAAGGAAGCTTAAATAATCCCAGTAGTGCTCTTTGTGAATCGATATTTGTGATAACTCTTACCGGTGGCTCCGTCGGTTGATGTCGGCTGGGCCAAGTTTAGACAACTGAACAGCATCGGCGGTAAAGAGGTGTAGCGATGTCGAAAACCTGTCAGCGGTCAAGGTCGTCCGTACTAAATTTCGCCGCTGGAAACCCCGGCGCTTGCAGTTCTTGCCTTCCAAACCAATCAGTCAAATGCTGACGTCCATCATAGAACGGACGCGCCCCAAAGAAACTTACATAACACCTGTTTTTTTTTATCGTTCTTCTTCCTTACTCGGCCCGTACGACAATCATTTCTGCTTCGAGAGTAGGAGCGTCATTTCCGTCGGTCTGGCCCGGGCCTCTTTTGCGCCGTCCTACCATACTGCGCAATTGGACTATAAGTGACCCTGGACATTGTAGCATCCGTTTCCTGCCAATCAGAGCCATTCCTTCAATGCATCTTCTGGAAGAAAGCTCCTCTCTGACTCATCAGGATGTAAGGGACTGCATTTGTTGCTAGGCTCCCCATGGCGGTCTGGTCATGAACGGATGGGTACGGCTCATGACGGTTGACTTTTGTCTGATCTTCAGCAGACTCAGCTTCTGGTCATCCCGTTCCCTCTTTCTTTTGCTTTTCCCTTCGGCCTCGAAGATGTTGCCATCCTCAGATAAATGACGATGCAGCGGGTTGTTGTCAGCGCCAAACCAGGAAATTTCCCCAGTAGTGCTGACTCGTTCATGTTCCGACCATAGAAGAAGCTCCAAGTCACCCGGGGAACGGTGATTCTCTGGCTCCCAAGTCATGTTGTTGGTCGGGAAACCGTTCCACTTCACGTGGTACGTGACAGTCGCCTTTCCGCTTCTGCTTTCTTTGAGGCCAACGGCACGGATAAGGTCATATTCCCATATATTTCCCCCCAGCGTAGAAGCGTCACTGCGATCGTCCTCCTCAGGGATGGTAGGAACATACTGTTGAATACTCTGATGCCTTTATTTTATAGATAGTAAGCCACTAGTGGAGGCTGCCGAGCAGGTGTATGGTCACAGTCATAATTAGGGAAAGATGGTTGAGCAGATGGTTGAGCAGAAGGGGAGAATGGAATTCCCCCAACGGAACACAGATTTTCAGGCATGGAAAGAAGTTGAAGAATTGGTAGAATGATTAGGCCTACGAGTGTGTGGATGGACCATATTCATGGAGGTGTGCAGGCAGCAGGCGCTCAAAGCATCCAATCAGCAGTGCATGTGGTTATTTATAGCAGAGGTGCTGTTTAACACCCGGCTCCGCTCTTCGTGGGGGCTGTGCGCGGCCCCGCCTCTTTATTGCGTTGCTTGAGAGATTGAGCCCTCTGTCGATCATATTTTCTCTTTCATGACTTCTTTCTCAAATCCTTTCTTCTTCGACCGATAGTGCTGGTTCGGGATGACTAGTTGGCATCGTCGGGCAGTATTCCGGGACTGCTCCCCTGGAGGGCATGACTCCATAAATTACGAGCGTAGTCCAAAGTCTTGTGTCCAGGCACCCCTAGTAGTGAATTGGTGCACATGATTGGAGTCGTGGTACGACTTGGTCGCGATTTTGTATGTACGCTAGATATATAAGTAGAGGTTAACCTTTTTAAGTACAAACAAAGTTTCCCATGTAGAAGGGAAGGGAATAGGCTTTGACCTATTTGCAGCTAATGCACCGCCGATCTATATTAATTCTAGTAGTCTCACCTCCCGGGTTCTCAGTGAAAGGACCCAAATATTAACCCGGAAGCCGGAGTGGCGCCGCTATCCCCATTCACTCCAATCGTACGGAACCACATAACTGTGTATCCGCCAATGTCATAGTTGACAATTTCTCAGTAATTTCACACACGGTCATTTTATCTTTGGAGAACCCTGCTCGTCCGAAACCGCTCTTCTCGTATACTCGGTGTAATGCTTCCATGTCTCCTAATAGCTTTTCGCCAGCGGACACCCCTAATCGCTGAAGCTGGGAGTTCAATCGTTGGTGGGCCGCGAGCTTCCGCAGGGAGCTTTTCTCGTGGCAAAGCTTGTGCTTGATAGTACGGTGGAGCTGGCGAGCCTTCGAATCTGCCATAGTAGAGATTGTGACGAATCTACTATCGCCTCTTGTAGAGATCTTTCCACCTACAGAGGTTGTTAGTACAATGTTAACTTAAGGGAACATTGGGACCTTACCTTCTGCGGGAACCAGAATTGGGGACCTCTTTATCGGCCCAAAAATAGACTCCTTGCATCCAAAAAGGGGAACCCTACAGCTTTAGATGTGTTCAAGACCAAATGGGTTTTGCAACGATTGCATGAAGTTACATAAGATATTATTGCCTGATTGATCGACCAGCTTGAAAGGATGAAGGTGAAATATAGGCCTTCCGACTTCGACATTGGCTTCCCAGACTGGGTGGAGATGGCTTCCGTTGCGCTTCAAGTACAATTCGTGATGCTCCCAGCCAGGGGCCTATAATCCGTTCTGCTGAGCCAGAAGAACTTTGTCAGCCGAAGTAGAAGACACCCATTGGCATAAACCGATCGGCACCGTAAATGATGGTCTCTCAACGGCTCAGAAACCATGGAGAGCAACAAGACACAATGCCAGGGAGTCTTGCGGTTCATCACTTTATCAGGTCATACTTGCCGATATAAGAAGAGAAGCAGATACTCTTACCAACAGTAATGGCGAAGAACCTCTTCCCGTCGACCAGAAACCCATTGATCTTGATAACACCATCTAAAACGTGTGCGAAATCGTAGATACTGCTCGCCCAACTGTGTCCGAGTTCGGTCCCTACGACGAACGTCGGGTTCGTATCGAACGCGTTCAGGCGTATTCAGAACTCCATTATGATAAGACGGTCAACGACCTCCACGTCATGACCAGCAAATGCTTATCCCTCCGCCCTTGAGGGATGAACGCAACCCTCTTTCCTCGCCCTTGTGAACCTCGACGTTCACAACAGTCCGCCTACCTGTGTAAATTTTCATGCTCCGCCGCTCCACTAACGCAAAGGCGATCTTGTTCAAATCCTGTGATTTTGTGGATGTCCCACTCAAACAATGGGGCAATGCCAGTAGTGGGCTCCGTATGAAGTGCCTGATGCTGCTGCCTGCGACATGTCAATGATGTAATTATTTCTAATTCCCTTTGAGACAGGGGTTGAATGATCATTTGAGTCTGCCACCCTGAACCTGGCATAGACTTGGTTCCGAGGCAGACCAGCTCCTCTTTTGTCGGCTCTTTCAACGTCCGACAAGGCGATCGTTTGTGTCTTCCTATGACGCTTCTTAGGAGCTTATTCTGTCAGTCCCGAAGAAGAGGCTTAGTGAGGTTTAGCGTATACTAGTGATTGGCACTATGGAGGCGGTGGATCCAACGAGACTAGTGATTGGCACTATGGAGGCGGTGGATCCGACGAGACTAGTGATAGCACGGTATTCAAGATATTCCTGTCCAGCGTCGAGACAAGACGACGGTATAGCGTATACTGCGCCAGTATCATAGTAAATAGCTCCGTGGGTCTGAAATGGGTCCATAGAAGCGAAGGAAGGTTTTGAGTCTGAGCCCGAATCTTGACACCCTTCTTCGAAGAACGCTAGCACTAGTGCTGCGCGTTTAGCCTACTTAAGGAAGGGTGATAACGCCTTTTCATACAATTTATATTTAGCTTTGGTTTTTATGGGTTAGCAGCCGGGCGGGAAGTTGCGGGTGGCCCGAATCCGGGCTTTTGGTGTGGCAGAGCTTTAAAGCTAGGCTAAATATGGAAAATAGTAGCGAGAAGAAACTAGCTATACAGTCTTCGGGTATAGTATAATTCAAATAACTCAATGTTAGCTATAACAAGGAGGCACGGCACAAGAACGAGAAGCCCCTTTTTTTGTACTCGGGGTTATACTGCATAGTTCGTAGGTCGCTTCAACCGGTCGCGCCAACAACAGGCCAGCCTAATCCTTGGGGGCTGGAGGTTATGAGCTTCGAGTCGGAAGATATCCTCCTGATTTCAAGAACGTTACAGATCTCAGCAATCAGAGACTGTCCTGCATTCCACAGTCTCGTTGTGTAAAGAAATCTCAACTACAATGTATCTCATCGAACTCCTTGTTATTTACCTCGTCCAAAGAGCCGTCGCCCTACCCCAACAATTCCTCCCTCCTGTCGTGGAAATATCTGGTACGGCAACATTTACCACATTATTCTCGATCACCCCTGTCCCTTCTCAAGTTACAGCTCTTAGCTGTGCCACTAACACAGCGAACCCTCTACGAGACAACGTTTGTCTTGACTTCCCCGGCAATGTGGACGTGTCGATTTGTTGTCCTGCAGGAACTGCTTGTGAAGCTGTCACTGGGTCGGCACTGGTCTTTTTATGCAATTAAGAAAAGGCGGCGCATTTAATTATCCATACGGTTACGTTCTTCCCAAAGAGAGAAACTCGTGTCGTTGCGGATTCATCGAGTTGGGAAGGGGTGGAGCCGCTTGGCGGCGTTAACGGCATGGTATTGCTTTCACTACAGTATTTTCTCTAATTCCCGAGCTAGGAATGCCGAACTTGAAGGCGACGGTTGTGGCTGGCACACTCAACAGTTTTGAATAATCCATAGGAATATATCCTACGTCTTGCGATTACAAAACTTTTCCCCTTGTTCCTGCCGTGCCTGAACTGAGGCTGCTCCACGGTGGCTCGGGAGAGGCCAGACAACTGACGCTGCTCCTTATACCGTGTCATCACACTCTCATAATAGCTTGAGCATAGTCAATAGATCTTCCCACCCAAATATTCCTAAGTAGAGATAACAGCATCCTAGTGACTGTCAGTCTTGTCTAACCAGATCGAGCACCCAAAGCTGCCTCACTATAAGAAGGTCTAGAGACTGGTGGGGACTTGGAAGATTTCAGATAGCCGACCACATGGACGTTTGTCATTTAAATTTCCCAACCAGTCTACCAAAAGTAAACGGCCATGTCTATTACACCGTAATGGGACTCACCTGGCTCAGAGTCATTAGTGCATTCAGCTTAATAAAGTCATGGCACCAGCCCCAGAGAATAGCAACCGGCAGAAAGACAACATCCCTCCAATTTTTCCGAAACAGAGGCATTCTCTTCGCCATTTTGGCAAACAACCACCAAAGAAAGAACCACATGGCCCATCGTCCCTGCCGCGGGCAAAGCCACTAAAGTGTGACATGGGGAGGAAGCCCATAGTTCAAAAAACCGAAGATATATAGGGAGTAGGTACCCCAGTAATACTTTCTTATCATTAGTTAGTATGCTCCGAACGTATAAGATTTCTCTCTTACCGCCAGTTTTTAAAGTTTCGTAAACTTTTCGAGTTGCTCCTTGGATTGCTTCTCTGCCATCGCACAAATCTCCAGAGTTCTTGGACACTCGTCCCGAATGTTGTCTCGACCTGGCACTTCTCATGGCGCTGAATTTTAATGTTCTAACCATTCTCCAGCAGATACCGTGTCCAATAGTTATCGTCGTCTACGTTAAGCTTGTGGCCGTTCCACGTCTTAGAGACGAATCCGCTTTGGAATCGAGGGTCTTCGACTATCTCCGATCGAAAACCAGCCATTCGCCCTGATAGCATGAGATCGAACCATCTATCCACAAAGTCGCCGAATTTTCGAAAGTTCGACGTTCAATATAGTCAGCGAAGATCCAATTGACGATCTGCTCTAAAAGTTACCCAGAGTTAATGCGTCTCGCTCGTTGATAAGTCCCTACTTCGCCAACCTTACTCTCCTCGAAAGCTGCAAGCATCCACCGGACAGTGTTCTTAGGAAAGGCGATATCGTCGTCAGCAAATACTATTATTTTATGTTCTTTCTTTCGGTCCTGAGGAACATTCGTAATGGCCAATACAAGTTGTTCTCGCTTATTGGCGGAACTAGCTTTGGACACTAGAATTGCGACGTCGTCGTGCCTCTTCTACCAATACCACTCGATACGGCTTTAACTTCGCCAAATGTATCAGGAGGAGTGCAGACCGAGATGTACTTGCTTCCGGCTTGTATGTGACACTGAATTCCCTCTGAAAGGGCCTCAAGGTTTTTACCGAGCGTTGCAATCATAGTAGTCACATCGGTCGGTGTAAGAATCGGGTTGTGAGGAATTGGAATAGGCTTGTACCTAATATATGAGATGCCTTGGATAACGAGGTGATTGTATTTGAGGATACTAGAAAGGTTAACTGTATGGTCAACATTGTTACGCGTAAGGACGTACAACACTGCGATGAACCAGATGAGGTCTACAGCTGCCATCGTAGCTAGGTTATGTCCGTAGTATTTACAATTATTACGATTTGCAACTAGGGAGAAACGAATTCCTGTGGCGGACACTTCCTTTATATAACAGGAACGGAGAAAAAGCTCAGCTCATTGCGATGCTCGGTGCAACAAGTGAAGGCATGAAACCGATAAACTCCCTCGCAGAAGCAAGCCAAGACGTATGCAAGAAGCCAAATGAACTTTGCGGTATATTCTCTCAAGCCGCTATTCCATTCATTTACTGGCCTCAGGAGATATGAGACTCGTAAGCTCTTACACCTATTAAAAGACATCTGAGAAACTTCACCCTTGGGTCAGTCCAGGCTACGAAAGCGGCTTCATGTGCGAAGATTGTGGCTAAGATGTTCAAGCCGTCGCTGGATTTGTGGACTCATCCATAAAGCTGGTGAGGGTAGCTACTCGATATACACATTGTTTCTATTAGACTCAGGTAAAGCGAATGCCATTCTCAGATTGCATTAGGAAGCTTTTCCCCCCGGTCTTCAACTCGTTGTCGAACCCTGGTTCAGATTTGGGTCCACCCCAGCCTCTTCACCGCGGCCCCTTCACCGGTTTGGGCACGGCCAATCGGTGTTATTGAACCCCTTCTCCCGAATAGCGCCTGATTCTGGTGACTTTCCCAGCCTTATAAGCTCTGTCCGTAGTCACTGTTCTCCTTTCCCTCGTCTGTGCATTCGACCTGAGGCAAGTAGGCTGAGCGTATGTCTAAAATTTTGCAGCTCTTCACTATGACCGCGGGCACCGATATTCCCGGTACGTCAGCCTGTAATATCCGACCATCTCTCAGTGGCGAAAACACCCAATCAACGACGCAAAATTCGAGTTCAAGCGTTGTTATCCATCAAGGTTCAACGACGGCTGTGTGCCCCTGCCGAAATAATCAACGCGAGCCTCCCAGTGAGGAGATTAAATCATCGAAACGGAGGAGAAAGGACCACCGCGTCATTTTGTAGGAAGGGAACCTATGTACGTTATAATTTATGATTAGCGAGGTGTAACAAAAATCTAATGAAGGGTTTAACGAGAACTTGAAAATAGAAAAGATAGGGATATAATGGCTCGGTATATCCTCCGAGAAGATGTAACTTACAGCCATGTTATCAGCGATGTATCCTATAAGGTCAGCGCTTTGGAGCTCTGTAGGGATTTTGTTTGAAGTGTGGCGCGAGGTTGAGATTGTGGCGGCAATGACATTCGATCCCCAAACTCTACCGTCGAGACGCTCAGCATCATGGTGATTACCAGACAGTCTCCACCTCTCATATCTCTCTCGTTACTGGTGGCTTCGCGCCCATTTCCGATTGTGAGGACCAAAGCTCATAATATTTCCCTTGTTGTGCCATCAAGTCCAAGTGGCTACCCGTCTCTTTGATGCGACCTTCGTGTAACACAAGAATGAGATCAGCATCTTTGATCATTGAGAGCCGATGGGCAATGATCAGCGTAGTATGAGGATAGCCCAAGCTATTGAATGCTTCTTTGATTTTAGCTTCGGTGCTAAAGTTAACAGCTGAAGTAGGTTCGTCGAGGACGATTACCTTCGTCCTTCTCAAAAGCACTCGAGCAATTAAAATCAACTATTTCTGTCCACCGGATAGTCCGTTAACTCGTTCACCGACTCTTTTCTCGTATTTCTCTTCAAATTTCATAATCATATCATGTAGTCCTATTGCCTTGCACACTTCCTTCACTTCATCATCTGTTGCATCAGGCCTTCCGAATCTGACATTGTCTATAATTGAGCGGTCGAAGATGAAATGATCTTGATGGACAATCCCGACTACGTCTCTCAGACTGGAAAGTGTGACATCCTTAATATCCTGGTCGTCGATCTTGATGGCGCCTTTGTCCACGTCATCACCGCGAGATAAGAGATTCGCAAGAGTGGATTTACCGCTGCCACTCTCGCCTACCAGTGCGACAGTCGATCCATCTGGAACTTTGAAGGTAATATTCCGGACTCTACTGGCAAGGTCTTCGCCAGCCTGGCCTTTATACGAAAACGAAACGTCTTCAAATAAAATGTGTCCACTGTGTGTGCGTAACTGCTTACTTCCATCGATAACGGTGAGCTGCGTATAAAGAATCCTAAGCAGCTTCTCAGCAGAAATTAGAATGGCCCTTAACCTTTTAAGGCTCTCTGTAAGTCCGGTGAGATTGCCCGATATCGAATTCCAGTAAGTAACGAGGACAATAAAGGTAGCAGGTGATGCAGTACCTCTAATAATGCCCCTTGCGAGGGTAGAAACAACTGCCCCTAATGCAACTTCCAAGAGTATCCGCAAGGTATTGGTAATCAAATAGAATCTGTCGTGACATCGTAATTGGGTATTCAGATAGCTGCCCAATGCTCTCGAAAATCTGCTAATCTCGTCGTCACTTCGATTGAAACAAGAAATAATGGGTCGATTTTGCATCGATTCCTGGAAATTGTGTGTTGATTCCTCGTGGCACCTAGAATAGTCTCTTAATGACCGAGACACCCAGTGAGCTCCATAGTAGGCCACCGAAAGATAAAATGTGATTAGCAGCAACATTCCCAGCGCAACATTGCTATCCGTGATAAGGCCTAGAAGAATCGTGGCAGTGATAAGGTCTACCACGAAGGGGATGAAGGTGACCAACAACTCCTCGACCAAATCACTGACAGTTTCGCCATGCTAGAGGTCCATCAAAAGCTCAGCGGATCGTTCATTACGATAAAAGTCCATCGATTGGTTCAGTATATGAGCATATAAAGACTTCAATATGTTTCTGTTGGCGAATTGGGAGACATGAGTCGCGGCTCTAGCCTGGTAGAAGGTGCAACAGTGAATGCACCGAAGCGCGATCCAACAGACAATTTTTACCATGATGATGCCTATGATAGTCAAAACGTGAATTAAATGAGGGCCAAAGTTGACTGACCGTGGCTTGAGCCCGACAGCAAGCTATCGCTGATATCGCCCAGTTGACAGGGTATCAAGGGTCGCAAGACGCGGTCCTTAAAAAAGTGAAAGGTTGTCACAGCCATCCACAACTGTGTCTTCCGGTCTTTCGAAGGCCAAACAAGAGGGATCAGCGTACGGAGCGCTTTGATATATACCCATCCTCCGTGCTGCGAGGGTTCAAGCTTTTGATTGCTTGCTTGCTTGTCGGTTCTGCCCTCGACTAGGATCGTCCCATGGTTCTTTTCTTCTGAGCGAATCCCCTCCGATGCGCGCTTGGCTTGATTGAGTGCAGCAAGTCGCAGGACATGAGCCCTGATAAGGTGAGAGAGGGTTTGATAGATACTACGTATCGTGACCGACATTCTGGGACGGTCAAATGTTACTTCAAAAGTGGTTCAAAAATAACGGAAGGAAAGTTCAAGCGACCGAGAAGAGTTATTCTGCAGTCTTATACCTTGGAGAGAGGGGACAATAGCGCTGTTGATTAGACCAGGTCTGTAGAACGGAAGTGCGCGGCCAACCTAATCTTGTTTAGTCCCTTCATGGGCTATGTTTAGCAGGAGAACCACACGGAGTGCCAAAATGACTTTAAATGTTTGGTTTTCAGGTTGACTAAATCCCTATGTCCGGTTGCCTTTAGTGGTGTCTTCGCTTGTCGCTGGTTAGATCAACCTCTTCCTAAAACCTAATCTACTTTCGCACTGCGTCCGATCTCCCGTGTGTCTCTACTTCTCTTCTAGATTCCCTCTCTATCCTCCGTAGTCATCTAGACTTGCCTAAAATCGGGAACACTACGGGGGATATTAATAATGTTTAACAGCGCCTTTATTCACCCTATATGCTTGGTTCCGACGCCTCGGACACAGACATTCCTGAGGTCGGATGTACCTCCCATAGTAGTCTCCTCCGTTGACACACATTCCAAACATCCTACTAAATCCTTTGATAATGACTAGCTTATAACTTCTATATAGTGCTTTATCTTACATTGTATCGCACATATCCATCCCATCCTGCTCTCGTTATTAGGGAAGGACAATAGACATCAGGGTATCTAGGGCGAAGGCGGCTGTGCCCTTACTCCCACTGGTATAGCTTTTCCAACCCCGAGCAACTTGATGCAATTAAGGCAACTGATTTCGTCCGGACACGGTTCCGAAGTGATGTTTTCTTTTTTCCTCTGAGACTCGAAAACCCTCAGTGCGTGCGTCATTGCACTCACTAGGATTTGCGTCCAAGGTTCATTCAGCAAAGCGTCGCCAATGCCCGCGGGGAGAGATGATGATGCGCCTCTTTGGGAGTTCGCTAAGGAGTCTTTTGCAATGGCCGATATTGCTGAAGCGCTGCTCATCTTTATGTTCGGGATAGGGAACCTTGACGTTACCATCTCACCGTTAACTTGTTCAATTCGTTCGATCATGTCTACCAGGAGGAGACAGGCTAAATGCCAACGTATTGTTAAATTGACCTCCAACGAGAGCTCAAGGGGGCTTAGTGAAGTAAGGGAAACCTCGTGGTGGTAAATTTGCTTTCCGTATTGATACACTTTCAAGGCCTCCAAGATGAGCTCGGTGAGTTCGAGCTGTGGCCTTCGTCGGGAGAAGAGCGTTTGAAGCTGGGTGACCTTGCGCGTCAGCAATAGCGAGATCCAAAACCTTTCCTCCCTCAGGCGAGGAAGTAGATCTGAAAAGTGACCATTCGAATTCCCTTTGACTGGTAGATGAGTGAGTTTCCATACCCTGTTACTTCCGCCCCGGGAGAGCGATATACAGTCTTCGTCGGGTATGAAAAGCGGACGTCCATCGATAGCGGACGAGAAGGTGTCAAGAACCAGCCCGAGGCAGAAAAATGTTTGGAGGAGTTGCTGACCCGTGGCGGTAGAAATAAAGCCAGCACTTGGGCCATTTCTCACTTCTCGTACGAGCTGGAATAAATTAGAGATCCCCTGTTTCAAGAATCTATTGCTGATCCTTTGGTCGTCCTGACGTAAAACGGATGTTTCCAAAGGGAACTCCGCGGCGGAACTGATATTAGACCTTGAAGCTGGTGGGCAGACCATTCCCAGGATGATGGTCGCAAGGATGACCTGAAAAGAGAGATTATCGGCACAGTTTTCGATGGACTCCTTAGCACGGGCCCAGAACTCTTCACGGCAGCCATTGTTGTCTCCATACTTTGGCTCCCATCTTTGGGATTTCGAGTCTATTCCCTGACTTCCGAAAGCCGCAATTATAGTCTTCAGCGTCTTCCAAGCACTCTGTTTGCAATGGGGCACCAGTTCATGGTCCAAACGCTGAGCGATCTCTATTAAAGTACGTGGAGACTCGACTTGGTTCGGGGGCGAATCTTCTTGGTCGCTTAGACCTAGGTTGACGAACGGGACAGGAGTGAGTAAAGTTGACCGGTCGAGCCAGCATTGCATCGAAACCTCGAAACGATGGTAATAGTTGTGAAACAGGGCTTTATCGACTCCTAGTTTATCTTTTCCCTGGTAAGAATCGGTAAGTGGCGATGAATACACATTCAACGGAGAGCTGGAAGCTTCCTGACCACTATCGGGTTCTAAAGAGAAATGGTCGGTAGCATCACTTCTGCCTTGTGCCTCTATCCGGGGAACGAACGGCGTTGTTTCAGTTACAAAGCGTATAGGGAGCTCTGTGCGGAAACCTTCCTGCTGCTGTTGTTGACGTCCCGGCTTTGAGGGCGCTAGAGCTACCTTACACCATCGTTGGTGACGGCCACAGACATCCCTATCATTCCATTAGAATCCTTGTACTTTCGGGTTGATCGTGCCTCTCACTTTCGCGCAAAGCATTTAGAACAGTACTCGCAAGTGAAGGACCTTTGTCCAGTATCTAGTACCTTGTTAGATAGATTAAATTTTAAATTCAGGAAAAGTTTCGCAGACGTTGTGGAACATGGCGCGACAGGTGTGCCTTTTTCGTAAAGCGATTTGAACACCAAGGGCAAAAAATCAGTCCCTGCTGGTGAGATGCCGGTCCGGGTCGAGGTGCAATGACCATTTTGTATAATGGGTTGATTCGAGCATTCGACAGAGTCCCGATATTCTCCAATTAAATCGAGGTCGTCTTGAATGTCTCAGTGTCTTCAGCTACTGCCGTCGAAATGTACAAGGTCTCGAGAACGATTTCGTCCGTGATGTCCTCGGGATCGAGTGGAAGCTCATGGTAATAAGGAACCCAGATATCCACACTATGAGACTGAAAAAGCAGCAAAGACAAACCCAGAAAATCAGAGAGAGGAGGAGAGAGAAGAGGAGTAAAAAGAGTTGGACGCATTTTTTAAATACGATATCGCACGGCCCACCGGAGGTTGCGATCCCTATCTTACACCCTGGAACCACTCCCTTCGAATCCAGATTCATCACTTAAGTTCACAATAATAGGTCATCCCTCTACCCATTGTATTTTCATCTTCTCTGTCGTCTCGTCCTCGGCTCCTTTCAGTGTTCGAAAAGCCGAACTTGCGGGTGATTGAAGCCCATAACGTGATGCTACTCCTTCAATTCTCGTCACCTTAGCGGACAGAGACTATGACGGTTCGAGGGAACGCTCATAAGTGCCCTTGGGAGGCGGTAATTGGGGTACATAAATACCCGAGTGACTCGGATGACGGCCTGACACTAGAAAAAAATCTCTCGGCTTCCTGACCAATGCCACAGAAACAGCACAATAAGCTCGGGCATGTCGCGGGTGAGCAATCATACTAGTAATATCTTCCGTCGAGAGGGAGCACCCTCAGCTGACCGGAACATCTTCCATCTTTTTGAATAACAGACCAACGGAGAGCTGGGACACGACTGATCTAGTTTTACTGTTGGAAGCAGAAGGATTGTTGCAGTTAAACGGCGTCTTCGCCTTGAACAATCAAAATGGGTAACGCGACCCCAATGCTTTCGCTCTGCCGTTTGGTTGCTGCTTCTCCTCCCGGTCTCTTCCCAGAAAGAATCATCGTCTCGAAGAGCAGGAAGACAAGAAACAGGTAGGGTGCAAAGTCTCCTATGGTCATTTCTCGACTTTAAGCCATATCTTAACACAGTAAGGGGCAGCCTTTCGCATTTCTTGATTTGCCTCCTTTCGTGCCTCGACTCGCATGGTAGATTGTGTTAAGACCGATCGCACGCCAAAACCATGACTTCCTAATCAGATGTCTTCTGGGCGTAGATTACATGACTATAGCTGTGGTTAGTGAAGAAAGAAAGTTACGGTAAGGGGGATATATACGTACAGGGTGGTCCGCATCTGCAACCTCTTCCATTGCTCGAGTTCATTTCGCACGCGTACGAGAAAGCCTTCATACTCTCCATAGTTCCATTCCAATCCCTTTATGAAAGCTTGGAGGGATAATGCCTGTAGTTGTCGACTGAATGCTTCCATCCATGTTTCACCTATCTCGTTCTTGCGAGTTCATCAGCGTTGGTTCCTTCTTCCACGGAGCTCGCATACTAATTTTGGGTCCCTTGGCCATGGTCCAAGAGGCACGGTCTCTTGTATGTGCTCCATATTTCGGAAATTATTCTCTTGAAGGATTTGGAGAAGGTCGTCATGTATATCTAGCTTTCGCCCTAGCTTGGAAAGCCCCTCGGATAAGTGTCGGTGCAGCTCCTGAATGAAGGTAAAGCGCTGCGGAGAAGGTTGTTGAGAATCGTGTCTCAGCGCCAGTAGTTGGAATTCCAGCCAGCCTCCGGGTTCGAGATGCCTATGAGGTGGTTAATGCCCGTCACGTCTCGAATACTGGTCTTGGGGACTTACTCGTGGCATCGACGGATCAAAGCAGGCAAGTCTTTCACAACCCCCCCAAATCCACGGTAAAAGATAAACCGGAACGGCGTCCTCCATGTCCAATAACCGTCGTCCTCGACGTCGCATATCTGGAATTCGACGTTTGGAGAGACCCATTCTGTCTGCATTACACTCTCGTCGGTACCAATCACCGAACATGACGCGTCTTCGTCCCCGACGTTGATAGCCCATATACCTGTCCGAGTGTACATTTCATGAACGTTGCCGCCATTTAAGTTGACGGGTGCATGGTAAAGCTTCTCAAGGACTTCTTGAAAGAGGTGATTTTGTAAATCGTAGTCGTCGCGCGCCCTATCGTCGATAGGGAACGGGATGCCTGCGTAATTTCAGTAGTCTTGAAGGATCTAAGTAGACGAGGACTCGTACCACGTCCATATAAACGGCCATGTAACTCCGAGCATCCAAGGGCTTCAGGGCGCACCGAAATCGTACTGGAAGACAATCTGAAGAGCTCATTAGTATAGTTAATTTGGACCGGGGGGGAAGCGGTGGTACCTAAGGTCGCCAATGGCTGAATCTTGAGGAGACTGAATTCTGAGTTAGCAGTCGTGGAAGGACGTGCCCGCTTGATTTTTTTCATACCTGAATCTGCCCGTCAAGGTCAAGTTCATCAACCTCGGGAGTTGTCGCCATGCTTCTTTTTCCAAGAGATGTATTCTCATCTCGCGTCCAGCTGCGTCGAGGGACTTTTGGAATCGCTTCCGAGTTCCTTTTTGGAGGAGCAGGACTTCGAAAAACGCCTTCGAATAGCTTGGGTGCTGTGTTTGTTCTCTTTTGAACGTTGACCCTCCCACACTTAATAAATCGGTCGGTCCAGGGTCTTTCTCGAAGAACGGAGGAAAACTGTCCTCCAGGAGTGAATGGAGGATGAAGAAAAGGCGCAGCCGCTCGGCAAAATATAACCCACCTGGCGTCGAGACTGGCAGGTGATTTGAGCCGGGTCCATCGGGAGAGACAGCTCGTAAGAGATCGAGATCGGTGGCCGAGAAGGTGGCGTTCAACTGGATCACCCGTTTCGTCGATATTCAGTATTTCCTGGGCCCTCGACAGTGTGTGGGTTGTCTCGGCGATTTCTGTACGTCTTATATTGACGGTGAAGAGGATGGCTTGCCTTGTAAAAGAAATCTTTCATGGAAATTCGTTCTCTTTGGCGGTTTCGACACGCAATTTGATTGTCTTCTGTGACTAGCCGTTTTGCTTGCTCATGGGCTTCCCAACTATCCGTGGTGACTAAGCTCCTCTGCTCTTCGAGGTACTTGGAAAACTCTTTCGGGTCCCCTTTTCTGGGGTATAACTCCGAAAATCGCTTCCGAATAGCTTGGGTACTGTATTTATTCTCTTGAGGCTGATTCATTGGTCTTCCACTTCCGATAGTTACGGATCGCCCTTGTCCAGTCTCGCGTAACATTGAAGTCTCCTAAAGCATCCGCCTTATTTGTTCCGCCAGCAGCACCCGAGACTGTAGGTAGTAACCGTCCGGAAACGTGAATCGCTGCACCACCGCCGGTTGGCCTTCCCTCTGGTAAGAAATATCCAAAGAAACCCAGATAACATCAACTCCGTCATTAACTGCGGACAATTCTTCAATAGTACCATCAACTTGCCAGGTCGCCTCCGCACGCTTAGAGATTCCACTTACCCCTGTGTCATTGACCGTGTCATCGACCGTGACCTTGACACTCAAAGCACCTGGGGTGGAAAAACAGAGCAAGAGAATAAGATAAATCCGATAGCCACCTAAACCCGGGTAGATTGCCGTCTGTGCTGCTCTCCAGAGTTCAAAGTCTCGGATTTCCCAAATTGTCTCGGTTACTTTAGTCTGAAATTGTGACATGACTCTCGTATTTCCCTGAGGGCGGCCAAATAGGGAGAGTGCGGTATATAACGACAGGATAAGTGTTGACCCCAGTCCCATTGCTATAGCTGATCGTGGATGACAAAGACAATGGACCATTCCGTCGTCCATTATGACAAATGTGAGCGCTTCGTCGACTGTAACGCGATGGTTGCATCGCATCTTCAAGTTTGTCCCCGATAGATCGACTGTTCCTCGGTCCTGTAAAAACAGAGGCGAGATTGTCGCTAGGATGTTCCCAGGACATAGCTGGCGTTTGTCGAAACAAGTCCGTATTCGTATCATTTTCCATTCTGTATTCAGTGGAACCCCTGGTGACCACAGTGGTAGAGCGGGAGTCACATCCATTGGCTAGCCACGGGAGATTTCAGAGTGAGGTGACAGTGATATAAGGAGCATTGCCCTATAGTCTAGGAGGGTGCATGAATTCAGGCGAGTAGCGACAGATTATCTAGAATAATAAGATATATAAAGGCTGCGCGAACAGAGGCGCCAGTTACGAAATTCAAAAATAGCTACCTATTTATTAAGGAGAAAGAGTAGACGAGAAGTGACCCTACTACATAATTTTAATGTATTAGGAGTCGAGAAGCGAAACGGATATTAGGAGGCCGAAGGGCGGGTCTTCAATAGATCTTTATCGAGCTCTTGTTTGGTTTCCCAACCCTATTAGGAAGGTCAGTCTGGTCACGTGATACACTCCCGACCCATAAAAGTTTGTCCATTCCTAGCTAGATTTTCTCATTGCAATCAATAAAACTAGTTCCACATTCATTCCCTCCTTCTCAGGGAAACCGAACTCAAAGTCTCACTCGCCACCTCTACCTTGGATTATCTTCTGATCGGTTAAAACAACTCGTCCTAGCCGTATTGCATGATTCACCAAATCGACATTATTTCCAGCGTTCAGCGCCTCAAGCATTCCTCTCAACAAGGCTTCTATATTGACAGCAGTAAAGACTTCCCCAGGTAGTTCAACAAGCGAGCCAGAGATCTCTTTGTAAGTTTGGCGAGCTTTCTCGTAATCTGGATTTGTGATTACTGGCTGCATTGTGTGGTCACTGCGTTCGCCATCCGTCAACCGCGTCATGGCCACACATTGGATCTCTTTCGCCGTATCAAGGTTAGCAGTGACAGCTTGCCGAATTGTGTGGAGTTGGTCTTCATTATTGTGGTCTTTCAGTTCGAAAATGGCTTGTACTAGTTCGGCTAAGTCGAGGGAAGATGTCTCGAGGGAAGATGTCATCCTGATCGTACTCCAAAATGACAATATAAGTGGAAAGTCGAATAAGAGGAGGAATCGGCGAAACGAATGCGGCTGATGAGTAGAGTTTAAAAGTCGCCGACAGACTTCGCCCAACGAAGGACGATACGATGAATTTCCTTCCTGCGCTCAAGATCACCAGACAAGTAGCCACAGCTCACAAATACGAGAAGTCTTTGTCATTTTAGTCAACACCAATATCAGTGGAATCTGACGTACGCTAGACCAACTAGAATCACGCAACCGCCAATACCACACACGACATAGAAGAGAAGGCCTGCGAATAAAGAAGTGTCTGACCCATCCATCTTTTTAGCATCTGCGATGTGACGTCCGATTTGAAATTTATAGAAGCTAGGAGTCTGACACGGGATGAGTGGGTTGATTGGTGGTCTAGTGATAGAAAGCCAAGGTGGACAGCCATGAGATTCCACTGGTTATTATATCTCTGAGACCAGATAAATAGAAGTGCAGCAAAGGGGCTCCATGTGACATGAACGTCTTGAAGCGCCCAGTCCGCTTCCGCATAGAGAGAGCGATATCAACGGTGCCTGTCAGGGGTTGAGGGGGTTGAGGTAGAAGCGAATAGGCCACATAGAAGTCCGAGAGCGCTCTACCCTTCGTGCAGAGCGTGGAAATTTTTATTCGATTCACAGGCCATGGACTAGGAGTTTCACTACTCCATCGTGGCCCAACAGCGCCCAGGATGTCCTAACGGAGGGCGTACGGCGTGCGGCGTATCAATAGTCAGAAAGGAGTCTGCATGAGTCCGCATAGATGCATGCATCGACCTACGCGAGGAGCAGCGGCAACAAATTGGACCAGGGTATGTAGAAGACCGAAGTCACAAGGCCCGTAGAAACCGGGCAACGTCAAGGACAGCAGCCGTAAGAAGACTCTTGCATGATTGTCCCCCAAAGCGACAGGAGCTGAGAGAGCGCCCGGAAGTCTGTAAAATATGAAAAATCCTGGTCTACGCTTCAGGGGTGCCATAAGCGAAGCTGTCGCGTGGTGTTAACGCCACCGTAGTCAATTACCCTTCAAGGGAGCAAGAAGAACTAAAATCAAGAGGAAGCTCCAAAGTGACAATCGGAAGGCAACCGGACTAGCGTGTTCAACTTCAAGCTCGGAGCTGCGTATAGATCCAGCCATTCAGAAATCGACTAGAGTCGCAGCATCGTCGGCATCCTCACCCTCATTCTTAGCTTTCACTGGCTTCCTGGCTGCATAGAGTTGTTTATGGAAGTTATTCTTATGCTGGTCTTCCTTCTGCTGAAGTCTGGTTAATAAATTTTTGTCGTCAATGTCCATAACATCCCAGGTTTTCTTTTCCTCCCCTTTCATCATACCCTCGAAACCCACCGCAACGCGCTTCTTTATTGGCTGCCGGTACCACCATCGCATATTGTTGTCTTCGATTTTGTCCCTGACTGACCGTTCCAGAGATCCCCCCAATGGCGAGGATAAGTCGTAGAAGTTGCGAGAGGTAGGTTCGCGGACATCTTGGCGGTGGTCAGGAGACTCGGCCAATATTTCCCTCATAGCAGTAAGGCCACTCGGAACCATTGCCAGGTCCACCAGATCCTTTGGTCCCGCCCATGGGATGAATGCCTTGTATATGTCAATGGTATCGTCACGGCCAAGGTCTTCTTCACGCTCAGTGAAGAAATTGGAACAAATCAAGTTCTGTCGCCGCGTATGCCGCTGTTGTATTTCAGGACCGAGGTAATAAGTGAGACAATGCTTTCCCTCCCCTACGAGAAGAGCTGCTATCTCGCCAACCTCTTTGGATACTTTGCCGGAATCCTTGCAGACAGTGTCGGCGAGATTTCTGATCGCTTGGTGGTCGTAAATACCACCCAGGTGTCTCTTGAGAGCACTCTCCCAGGTGGAATCTCCTCGTTGAAAAAGAGCATGGATCTCTTCTGCGCTGGCGAGAGGGGCGTCTAAATCTGAACCTTTCTTAGATTTGCCCATGATTGATAAGTGCCCAAATTCTTGCTGAAGTACTGAGATGATAGTAACAGCTTATTGATCTGTCCCGCCTCGCCAATGCTGCTGAAATTGCTGAAAATCCAGTGATATAAGTAAAAGATTCATATATCGTGATAATGTGTTTCCGACTTTATGTGGAAAGTGAGGCGGTAAACTGGATAGCCACTCCCTCACCATTCAACCTATTACCCGGTCAGACACAAATGTCGTTAGCAGAAACATAGGCCAACTCACATTAGATCTGTCCGAGAGCAGCGTGGCAGCCGTAGTGGAAAGAGTCACACATGAGAGAGGCCCAACTGTCTCAAAGGTGAAGGGGTACATGACGAAAAGGAGGATATGCTGACCGTCGGGCACCGTAAAGTTAACATGCCGTATAATACTCATTGTCGGGCGTCGGGCGTCGGCAAGGGCAGACATTCGTGACCGAGCCATAGGGGACCGCAGGGGATCCAATAGTCCCGTCTCTCTTCTCTGTCCTCGCAGAATCGAACACCGCATGGTCCCCATGTACCCATCCAACTCGGTCGAGTCGAAATTCGTTCTTTCAAGAGATGACGGCAGTACGTCTCGGCGACAAACCAGGAACGTTCAATCATCCTCATGGCCCTTTCCGTGAACCAAAGGGCGTAAAGATGTCTAGCCCTATTAAAGCCCCAGTGCTTGACATCCTTTTCAAGGGGTTCAAATAGGTCATATTCCGAATCCAGAGTAAAGTTTAGGTGCATCTCGCGGACCCGGAGCTGCATAGTAGGGAGGTAGAATTTCTAGACAAGGATTTCCCACCACCCATCGTTCAGTAGTGCGATGCTAGGCGCCTCAACGATACTCCCTAAGATAGTTCCCAGGTTCGCGTCAAGATCCACTGAGACACCGTCCCCGTAGATAGAGAGTCGGACAAGGATGTAAAATTCGTAGATCAGGTCCTCGACAGCTTGTCTGCGTCGGAATCCTCATCCTCAGAGACCGCCGTGTCGATGGAACTCTCGCAGCCATTGGATGAGGCCTCGCTAAAGACAGACGATCCATCGCTGTCGGATGATGCTTCATCTCCCTGGTCAGGGCTAGGTTGGTTCATAGTGTGTTCTGTTGTACGGTGCCAACGAGGCATTGGCGGGATCACAATGCCAGCAAAATGATCATTCCTGGGTTGGCGCCTGCAGCTCTCGTGACAGGGTGAAGGCGGAGGTGTCATGTTGTCCTGCAAGAAGGCAGCCAGGGGGGGTTGCATAGGCGCCGTAGAGTAGCAAATGTCAAAGCAGACAACGCAAAAATGCCGCAACCGGTGAAGACCATAGAAATGAAGCAACTGAAGAGGCAGGGCTTCTGCACGAGTTAATATGCAAAGGCACTGTGCTTAGGGTCGTGCTGCATTCTGCGAATGCTGGACGCTATTCCCTTTTGCTCAGCTACCCGACCCGGGTTGAGTGGCTGAGCAAAAGGGAATAGCGTCCAGTCTTGGCGGCGGCAGAATTTAGGGCATACGCATCCTGAGGACTTTCTCATCTCATTCAGCAACAAAGTAATGGGGGACCAACCAAGTAGTATCTTGCGCCTCGCACTCCAAAACGCGAACCTCAATGACTTATTCACTAACTTAGAGGTAAGCTCTAGGCTACTATGCAAGAACGAAGTCCCTGAAGTTGATTTAGTTTGTTGGACGGTTCGACGAAGCCTGCAAGACGCACCCTTTCACGAAAGCTGCAGCTGCGAAACTGATAACGGCTGTCTTTCCTAAAAATAAGAATGGACGCCGTAAGGTGATAGAATCATTGTCCCAATGCGTTGCACTCCCAAAGAGTGTCAAAGAGCTGTGCAGAGAGTTGGACAAGGACCCCTCCTCCTTTTGTGTTGCTGCAGGCTGGTCCGATGTTAGGTTTGCCGTCCAGCATCTACAGTCTCTCCACAAGGCGCAGGAGTATCTCACCGAACTGGTCCAGTATGTGGCGGTTATCGACTCTCTGTGTTCTCTCGCATTCTACTGGCATGGATTGGAGTGCGGTGGCAAGGCAAACAGATACGAACAAATTGCTGAACGTATACACAACATCGAGACGGAAGGGAGCGACAGCGAAAAGCAAAAGGATGTCTTGGACACTTGTAAAAAAAGATGGATGTATGGACGTAAGATATTTACTTTCTGCTCAAACTATCTACACGACATCGGGACTGTCTTCCACCTACCAAGCGATGTAAAGAGGTATATATCTCCCTCTATAAATGCCGATCGCGCTGACGGGGGCAGTTTCATCCTCTCGCTAGGATTACCAAGGGAGAAATTTCAAAAGGACCATCAAACGCTCGCCGAGCGCCTAATCGACGCGGGTATCCAGACAGAGGCAAGCTCTAATGGAGGACGACAGATCCTCATAGCAATGCAAGCATGCATTGTGGGAGCCTGGCATTTAAAGGTGGTACAGTCGCAAACGATTGACTGCACGGCTTCTTCACAGCACAGCGAAAACTCACCCGGTTCTACACCGGCTACAGACACGACAGATATATCTCATATTGGGGGAGTAGGGGTGGATGACATATTAGCTGCTGCTGCTTTTTTACAGGGTCCGCAACGTCATCTGGTGAATCTTCCATAACTGATTTGAACTCCAGGTGATGAATCGATTGGCACATCGATGCCGATTCCCGATGACCAGCAGAACTGCTCAGCCGGGCCTCTTATTGAGAGGTGTGACCGATCGGCCGCTCCCGGAATTATTTCTCGACAGAATCAGATCGCTGTTGAGTCAGGAGAAACCTCTGGCAAAGGTTGTGCGATGGATCTGAATGGAACCGGAGGCTTCGGTTTGTCATGGAATTCGGGAACGAACGCTCTGGATCAAGTTCAGCCTATTTTGGATGATATTGAGCGGACGCGCAAGCGACCTCGCTTGGGTCACCAGATCAATGCAATGGCCTCGCGAGGTCCTGAAGGTTCTAACTCGATGGGTTACCAAGGGCAATATCACTTGGAGGACAATGTTACAGCCGAGAACAATCTAACCCGGAATCAGACGAGACCATCGCGCAAGCGTCGTCGTGCACCCCAAGTCTGCGACAGCACGATGAATAGTCAAAGTATAGAATCTGAGTCCAATGACACCCATTCAGCCACTATCGCGACGGCTACGGACGGCCCTACGCAACCGACGAACTATTCTCAACATCTGTTGGAAACTCCAGGGAGTTCCTCCACTCAATCCCACGTTGACCCTGTCTCCCATCCGTCCGTTACACCTGACTCAATTGAGACCGACCTCGTCCAGGAGGATGGCTCTATACCTATCCATGATACTGCATCGACTTTTATACTTCGGCCACCCGATCCGAACGAGATGCAAGATTCAACTATGGTCGCAGCGGACAGGAGTGGGCAATGGCTGAATCTAGATGACATGGAGATGGTTCGTGACTGGTCGAATCTAGATGACATGGAGATGGTTCGCGACTGGCCGAACCAGAGCGACCTGGAGATGATACAATCTTTGATCGCGCAACCAACTCCCCTCGTCGATCACAGTTAACTGCAACACATCAATGTAGCATCCATGGTGTATCCTCTTCCCTCCATTGGAATCTCAACCACTGTCTACTTCTACAACACGATAACGAATCAGCATGGCTGCAAACCCTCCCTCCTTCACCTCAAGCCCGTTCTCCCGTTCGAGCACGCAGATGTCACCATCATTCGAAGTTACGTCGATTCCGTTTGTGGTTTTGTCTCTGGTCCTAGCCACAAGCCTCAATTGCTGTCTCAGAGTTTCGACGTTAACAGCGGCGCCGGTCTGCGACGTTTCGGGTACAAGGGAAACCGCAGAACCGCCGATTGCGGTCTCTGTCTTATCCACTTTGGACCTGAAAAGTCGTTCGAAGATACTGTTCTTCCAAGTATCATCGATTGACAGTCTTTGGAGTATGCTTGCTATTACCTCCGGTGGCGGTAACCATATCAGCGCAGTGATATTCGTTTTTGTAAATACAGAATCTTCTATCCACACAACGGACAGGCCGTCCGGGACTATATTCAGTCCTTCGTCGGAGGCTCTTTTGACGATTTCTTTATGCTATGCACCTAGTTAATACAGTTCCGTCTTGAAAAACATCCCAACGTACCACTGTTTGTTCGAATATGGAGTGAAGTTCTTGCAGCGATGGTGGCAGGTCACTTGTTTTAGTGAATGGTATCTCCCACCACTTCCTCGACTCTTTTATCCGAATCAAATCTTCGAGACGGAGATGGACCTGCCGGGCGGCGCTCTGCAGATTCTTTGCCGAAGTGATATACATGTTGCGAATTGAATGAAAATAAAAAGAATTAAAAAAATCTAGAAAGTGGTAGTCGTAGCTCTGCCTAATGATGAGATAGAGGAGTATTAAATACTGAGGACAGAGGTCTCACAGCCTGCCTTGAATGGATATTGGCGAGGCGCGAAGTTCGTATTGTGTTGCCTTCTATTCAACTCGTTCAACGCGAACTGCGATTAATACATGTTTTGAGGTTGCAGAATGACTAGAAAAATGAGGAATCAATAACGTGGGGTTGATGGTACCACGGGTGCCACAAAATCGACTTCGGAGCTCTTGGCTGTGAAAAAATATCTACAATTTGGTGCAGGTTCACGATCACATGGGCTCCCAAAATTGCACCGTACCCGGGCGCTAGTGGCCAAATCAGCCGTTAAACACTTCGCCGTAGGACTCCCATACACAATTGGGTGGAGTGTTTCACGAATTTGCGTAGGTAGTCCCAAGAGCCCTTCATCTTCTCCGGACCTCATGCATGTTTTGCTTCTTTTATTCTTTCTCGTGCTTCATCTTGCCACAAGAAGTGTCGATAAATCAAATCTAATAGTTTAGGCCCTGTGGTCTAGAACCGTTATGTGCCGCCATTATTCCTAGAAAACTATCACAAAATCTGGACGGAGTTACACAGTGTCTAAACAACCCTTTTTGCTGCTACGCACCTCGAACTCCTGCCAACCGGT